TTGATTTTTTTGCTTCAATAAACGCTCAACTATCCCAAAAACGTCGCAGATAGGCAAGGCGGATTTGGAAACGACGTTTAATGTTCTTCAATATCGTAACATCCCATTTCAAAAGGCCAGGCCAAGGCCACACACTTACTTTCACATGCAGTTGCATTGTATTAGGCTGCTGCATAAGTTCTGTGCGATTTTTTTGCCTTGTGTTAAAAGCAGCCGTTCCAGAAGATTATTCGTAATCCTATATTATTGATACATTTGTAAGCGCTTTTGTTGCTCTTTCTAACACATACCATATTTTTCATAAAATCCGTAGTCTGACGACATTGCAAGCCTATGAATCCCAGATGGTCGAGACACGTTCTCAGCTAAGAAATGTTCTTGCGAGAAAATTTCTACAATAAACATTCCAAATCAAGCACATATTGTGGTCACGAAATAAGGGTGAAACAGTGCAGTATATGGATAAACTCACTTTCATGTGAAAAAACATCTTGCTAGTAAAATTTGTTGTTGGAGAATAGTTATTTGTACAAAAGTTCTACAGGCAATAACTTTCCTTACATAGAGGCAATCGATGAGTACAAAGTTGGACGTGCTAAGGAAACCAAGAGTTAGCCGAGCCCAGCCACAAGTTACTTCTCACTCCTTGCGGCAAGTGTAAAATTTTTGTAATTTGAAAGTTGGCATATATACAACTACCAAAACGAAATTGAAAAACAGCCTCGATTTCAATCGGTCAAAAAAATCTCTCGGCATCAAAGATCCTATAGGCACAAAATAATCTTTAAAATTTCTTCATCTACCCATGTCTACTTACAGTGCCTGTCAGTCCTCATAACGGAGCATTCCCATGTCAAAAAGACAGATTTGAAGAAGAACGCTGTGAAGTTTCTGAGTTCACGCTTCTTCTTCAACAGAGTTTTCCGCAAGAGCTAGTATTCCTCTGATAGCTAAAGAACTGCTCAAGACACTGAAACTAAGGTTATGGATAAAAATTGATTTCAAAAGAAGTTATGATATTTTAAATTCGAAAAATCCAAATCGGACAAAACTTATGCAGCAGCCTGATATATGAATTGCTCAGTTTCGCAAAGAAACTTTGTTTCGAAATTCGCCCCTTGGGTAAGATCGTTGAGCGCGTCAATCGTAACTGATTCAACTCCAACTGATTCAACTTGCAAAAGAGTTATGTCAAGCCTGTGTGTACGGTAATCGATCGTTTGCTTTTCCTGAGATAAACTTCTAACTCGGCATTCTTGACCCCCAGATGGCGTGGTTCGCCCATCCAGCAAAGGGAGTGATTTGATGTATGATTTTAGATTCTAGTTTATATCATTACATGTCTATAATGTGGCACTAGCTGGCTTATCCGGCTCCGCCCGGCCCTGTCAATGCTATGATTGAGGTCTTATCCCTATCCCTGCAAAACCTTTCATTGTGCCCACTTCTACATGCAATTCCCTATTCCCGCTGTGTTAGTAATTAGCATGCCCACCTCCCCACCTACCTCCCTCAACAATCCCCAGCCGCGTAGCTCAAACTTTGCAAAAAAAGTAATAAAACCGGTAATAGTAAGGATAATTCTGAAAACTGATGGTGCTCGACTATCGGGCCCAAAATATTTTCGTGATGGATCTTGCTCAAAGTCGGTAGGATTATTAAAGCCGCTGATGGCGAATACGGTAGTCATTTCGCGCGATAGCGCCATTTTCTGGGTTTACGTTGGGTACACATAAGAAGCTAAAATCATGGATTTCGCCGAAACTTTGAGAGGGGGCTAATTGACATGCTGATTACAAATATCATACTCCTTCGGCATTTTGAGGCAATTTCACTGAGTTATGGTAAGTATACTGCAGAGGGGCGAGATCTCAGTTTTGGCTGAAACTCGATCTAGAGAGATTCGACCTTCTGACCACGTCTAAAACACTCTCGTTGCGTTTTGAGACCTTTTCGCAGAGTTATGGTAGGTACATGGCAGCGTGTAAAAATCATGAACCTGCCTGAAACCTTGGCAGAAAATTACCTAAAGTGTTGTTTCAAGAATATCGTGCTCAATCCCCACGATAAAAGCAATTCGTGTGGTATAAAAGTTTCCCACGACCGTAATGCTTTCCTTATAGGACCACTGCCGCGCGAGACACCCTTCGGCGGCTTTTGCCTAAGCAAAAACAGGGAGGGGGGAGATTTGCCGCGTGCGTTACGCGTTGGGACAGGTTATCAGGATGGCGCTGGAGACCGCCATGCAAAACGACCGTTTCCCCATCTCTTGAATATCTGGGATCTAAATTGGCCCGAAAGCGAAAAAATGTCCATTCAAACTCTGCAACTCACCATAACTTCACTATTGCGTTATGACAGCGAGCAAGCATCACATTCATAAGCGATATACTTGTGAACCGTTGAAGGTAAGGTTTTGAGCAAATCTGGAACTTCGACCCATCTACACCCACCGTATCCCAAGAAAATGCACTAAGCAGTGGTATCAACGCAGAGTACTTGTTCAGCGCGCTATGACCACCCTAGACGAAGTTTGAAGCAAATCTATGTTTTCGGCCCCATGCCATATAACCACTACAACTCTATGAAAAAGTCCCCATATGCAGAGAGAAAGATGATATTCGTAATTAGCATGTCGAATAAGCCATATGGACCAAACTCCAGCCAAATTCATGATTTTGACTTTATACCGTACACCAGTGGCGTACCCAGGATTTCGGCTCGGGGGGGGGGGAGCGACAAAAAATTTTTTCTAATGAAGGTGCGAGGCGTCAGCCACGCACTCCGAAAAATTTTTTGGGATGTTTCCCAAAATTTTTCCGGGCCCCTGACCCCAAAATTTCAGAAAAAGGGGCGTGGCGGTAGCCACGCCCCCGAAAATTTTTTTTTATAAGGCTAATTTGAATTTTTAAAATTTTTAAAAAATTATTGTAATTATTTACAAATAAAAACGAGTCCTCTGGCACAATTTATAACACATTTAAGTAACTTTCAAAAATTTCGCGACCCATTCTCGGGGGGGGGCGCGCCCCCCCCCCCCCCCCCGCCCCCCCCCCCTCGGTACGCCACTGCCGTACACCTATTGTAACCACACGGGAAGACGTTCTGCGGAGAAAGTGTGATATCTGTAATCAGCATGTAAAGGGCCGAGCATACTTCCCAGTCGCGACGCGATTTGGCAATTCGTCAGAAGTCATCGGATCCAACATTAGCAAACTGCACATGTATAGTGTCTATAACTTAGTAAACTGGTGAAATGCCCTACCTTATGTACATTTATAATGTGCTTGCAATGAATTATGGACACCTGAAATATTGCCAAATCGCGTCGCGATTGAAATCGCTTGAAGGATGCCCGGCCCTCAAAATAACCCTTACACACGAAGTTTGAGCAAGCTCTACCAAAAAAAATTTTGGGGCCCGGATAGCCGAATTGCGCTAAACTAATATCGAACTCATAATCAGCATGCTCGATTACCCGCGCCAAATCTCAGCCCCGTAGCTCAAACTTTGCAAAAAAAATTGATAAAATATATAAAAATAATGAACGATTTCAAAAGCTAATTGTAATCGTAATCAGCATGCTCGATTACCCCCTGTGCCAACTCCCAGCCCCGTAGGTGAACTCTGCAGATAAATCGATAAAAATCGATAAAATCGATACCGATCGATGACGAAAAGTGGCCTATGACACCCGCCAGGGCCCGAAGTGTATGTTTGCCAAGTTTGGTCCGGATCGGTTCAAAAATGGAATTTTCTATTCGGAATTACGTACATACATACATGCATACATACATACATACATACAGACAGACAAACAGACATTCAGTTTATATATAAGATTTACATTGCTGACACCAAACGACGTCTTTGCTGCCGTATGAACATCTAAATGGGGCTATAGAAATCTAAGTCAGAACGCCTCTGGGGCGAGCACCGCATGACAAGCACGACAATGTGCTGCTCAAATTGAAATCTAGAACTTATCGTTCGAGCCTGATATCCTTGCAACAAATTTTTTAGACCGTTCAAATATACGCGAAAAACTCAGAGACGAATGGGAAGAGAAGATTGCTATTAAGAACTATCGTGCCATCACTCCTTACGCGGATTTGATGCAGAATGCACATATAAAGTGGAAAAAACTTTGTTAACAATGTTCATTGCGGCTCGCTGCCTTCCGAGATTGGCACCAACTAACGTAGTCCGCGTAGTAGTCTGTCTTTGTCGAAAGCTGAGCTGAATTTACTGGCAACTTAGTGTAAAGGGCTACTTGAACCTCGACTAGCTCGACTTTAGAGACACCAACGAAGGCGAAATCGCCCAAACGTCAACCAATTAAATTAATACAAATCGGTTGTCGCTGAAACAGTATTACACATAAACACGCCAAGATTCCGAAACAGCCGAACTTGACACACTTTTTGGGGCTTTCCCTGATTTCCAAACTGCAAAGCAATCAACCTTTTTTATTTACAAAAGTCTTCATTATCAATACAGTGCTCATGGATTCTTAGATAACCTGTATCTGCTGAAAGAACACAATGCCAAAACTATAATATTTGCAGACCAGCGACGACTGCATCTATAAAGCGAGAGTATCAGCTTACATTTATTCTTGCTGAAGTATATAGCTCTATATTTTTCATGGAGTCAGGCGAGAACTCCTTCAATTTTTCCAGACAGCCTATGAAACATTGATATTCTGAAATGGTAGTTCAGTATTTACCTAATTATAAGATTAGTAAGACACTCCAGTAATTTTCGGCACGTTGCTATATTCAAGCGGTAACGATCATCTGCAAATGCGAAATTGGACTCAAAATTCGCATATTTATTCAACTACATGAGCGGATTGTCAAGTACAACATTCATCATACATACTACCCGAAAAGAGCGTTACTATCCTTAGTGAGAATGAAGATAAAGAATGATCTGCGATGAACTTTTTGGCTCTGCTATGTTGCGCATCACTTAAATAAGATGCAAGGGGTGCGTAGTTACAGATGTCCACGGACATCTCTTTTTGACGACGTATAATCCTTTTTCCCATCACTGTTTTGGCTACTAAATCTGCAATATGAAACATTTTGAAAAATGTTGGGTTTTGCTTCTGTTCATTCAAAACAACTCTTCGCTTTGTTGTTGAGTGGTGACTCAAAAGAAAGCATTTGCCTCGATCAAAGGTCTACGCTTTGCGTCAGATGCATACAGGCCGCCTCTTGAAATCCGTGTCAAACCGGTTAGAGAACGACTGAAGAGATTGGTAACCCCATAGTTTTCAATGCTTTTTCAGATTATAATCATTTTCGAGTTTCATTTTGGGAATGGAAATCTAGAAAGATCATAAATGCAGTTAGCCTGGAACTTTCTCCGCACACCCAATAATGAGGATTCTAAAGGCAGTGGCTCGACAAATCTCAACCTAGTCAAATTTGCGCCTTCCTGGGGCTTTTCAATACGCTGATCCAGAAAATCCACTTTTGAAAGCTTGAAAACGGCAAAAACGAGCGTTTTTTAATGCCCTCCCCTTTGATATTGGACGAGTGGAGCAAGGCCGATGACGCTAAATCGTGACAGGACCCAATGGTTATAGCGTTGCGGCGGGCAGCCTCCAATGGTGAGAAGGAAATTGCCAACTCGTCCAGATGCGTGTAAGATTGGCTTGCGCGAGTAAGTTTGAGAGCGATTTTCTCGGCAGGGAAAGCATGCTGTGCAACCGGGATTGCACTGTTTTCATAGTTGGGCGATAAGGAACCTACTGCGTTAAACCGAGTTGTTGGATTTTGCCGATCCACTGCCTTTAAAGGCACCGTCCACCCAAAATGGAGGTTGGCGAGATTATGATGGCATACTAGTGTGGGCCCCCACGCTAGACAAACCCCCAAGTTTCGTCGCAAAAGACTGCTTCTGAAGCGAGAAATCCGCTCCGGAAGTAACAAAGTGGGCGGGGCGCCCCCGGCGGCCATCCAACTCGAATTCAATGTTTTTGTTGCCTTCAGGCTTTCTGAAAGCCCTGATTCCGAATATGGAGTCGGAAATTCGCGAAACCCCCAAAAATCCCTGTTTCGAGAACCCTCTGCAGAATAAGTGCAGGCGAGATAAAGCATGCAAGTGGGCGGGGGGACCGGGGGCGCCCCGCCCACTTTTGTTACTTCCGAAGCGGATTTCTCGCTTCAGAAGCAGTCTTTTGCGGCGAAACTTGGGGGTTTGTCTAGTGTGGGGGCCCACACTAGTATGCCATCATAATCTCGCCAACTTCCATTTTGGGTGGACGGTGCCTTTAACCGTGAAAGCAAGTTTTGAATTGTTGTTCATTTTTTTCCTTGAGGCCAAATCTAAAAATTGAAAGTAGAGTACAAGCGCAGTTCGATGAACATCAGAGACTTTTTCTTTTCAAAAATATATTTGAAGAGTAGGAGGTCTCCTCGTAAGGTAGCGATAAGATTTGCACGACATCATTCTCAGCATACAGGCGTTTTTTTTGCAATCGCTCTCATGAACTTTATCTATAACAAACAGCAAATACCAGCTACCTATATGGTGCACATGCGTTGATCAAGAATTTTCTTTTGCCTTTCCTTATTAGTTGCAGAATGATAAGACATAGCCGTCGTTGTAGATTGCTTGTTAAATACGTGATACCATCTGGCTTTAAAGCAAATCGCATTTAATATTAGAACGACTTCATCTGAAACAAAATCTATGACTGAGAAAAGGATAAGGTGGAAAGCGCTTTTATGGCATCTTCTATTATGATATTGTTGATTTTACCCAACGTATTTTCACGTACAAAATTGTCGATTTCAATTCTTTCACCTTCAATTTCCACTTGTGTTTACATCCATTATACCTTGGCAGTTTTTGCTGCCTGGTTGAAGCCACACGTCTTGATCGCAACGCCATAGTTCTTGACAATTATGCTCGCATAATCCTTTTTTATCGAAAATAGAAAAAGATTGTTTTCTCACATTCACAAACCAGACGAGGTCTTACAAAGAAAGCAACTTTTTACAAATTTTACACGGGAATAAATAGGAGAGACACAGAAGATATGAGGCAGAAATGAACATTCAAAAAATTAGAAGAGTGAAAATATTGAGTGAAGTCGGAGGCCAGGGAAGTGAGAAGAAATCACTTTCCTTGGAGTGCAGAGCCATTCCTAGTGAAACAGACAGTTGAGGGATAAAGATCGACGAAGGCCTAAACACATAACGGCATATAAATTCAAGTCTGCTAAACGAGTGCTTCTTGTGTTATCATTGTGTTTTTTCCATCTCATTCTCATTCATAACCAAACTTGTGCCTGCCATTTCAATGGTACAAATGAATAGTTTTATGTCTAGTAATGTTCGCTTTTTAGTATAAAAAGTAGTTTAGAGTGAGGCTTGGGTGTCTATGAGTAGTTTGGGTGAGGTTAAGGGCAGAGATGCGATGAGGGGAGCCGGACCCCCAAAAGTGAAGGTGGTCCCAGCTACCACTGGCCGGCCAAAACACAAGGTGGTAGTGCCGGACACTCACCTTCCAAAAACGTCGACCGGGGGAGGGGAGAATGGACGAACTAAGCTATCCTTCTAGGTGGAACTATGACCGAACGGCCCTCTTTAGGGCCACAGATACGATGAATATAGCAGCATAAATATTCTAAATAAGCGTGTTTGGTAATGGTGTGCTTTGAAGTGAAACTCAACGAGACTTCACGATTTTATTAAGGAAATTTTGTTATAACGTACTGCGAGAAAGTAGGTCGATCCAGGCAGTAACCGCCGAGAACCAGAATTTCGAATGATAAAAAACGAAAAATCATGCGATATTTCCACTGTTATAAATCTGGTGCTTGAAGATGTCAGCAATTGCGAGTTTACAGGTTTTGAAGAGTAAATGGTGTTCTATCAGAAAGTGAATTTCAAAAAATCAGGCCATTTTAGGTTGCTTAGTGACAGCTGACAGTTAAACTCATATAAATCCTGAATGTGAAAGTGTATGATGTTGCGACTCCACAGGCTTTGTAGAGTAAGGTTGGCCTTACCATAATATATCTTACAAGGGAGGTCGAATCAGTCGAAGTGGCCTTTCCAAATGAGTCATATACCATTTTGAAGAGCGTTGAACGCTGATTCCGAATCTGCCTTTATTATCTGCCGAGCGCTTCTGGACGTCGAGTTATAAAAATTTTTTGGAGCGAAAAATGAACTCAGAATTCAAGTAAAATTAACTATTACGGACTTTTCAGCGCCTAAATAGAGCAACATGTAGTATGAGTGTTTTGGACAGAAGGTATCCTTTGTAATGGAGTGCTCTGATAACCAACTTCGGACCATTTGAGCAATTCTGACGAATTTTGCTCTAATTACGCACTAAATTTTTCAACCAAAGGAACGCTCATAACTCGGCGTCCAGAGGCGCTCGGCAGATAACGAAGACAGATTCGGAATCAGCGTTGCATGCTCTATAAAACAGTATGCATTTCATATGGAAACGCCACTTCGACCAAGTATCCTTCCCTTGTTAGTCGTACCGATCCATTGAAACTGCGCTGAGATCTAGGGTCTTGAAAAAGCAGTAAAAAAGCGCTTTTTGAACTTCGACCGCTCATAACTTCTTCAGAACTGCATCAATCATGTTGCGACTTCATAGATTGGATTCTCTTCTTCAAGCTTCCAGATAATATAAAATGTGTGGGGGTTTAAGGCCTCCTACGACTTATCCCCGTGGGGATAAGTCGACTTTTCATAATAAATTCTCCCCCCAGCCCACTTTAATGTATTGGATGGAGGCCGACAGGGGAGAATTTGTGCTGAAAAGTCTCCACCCACGACCTAAGTCATGAGAGGCGCTCTTGATGAGAAAATTCTAACCTATGCAGTCGCAACATGATTCATGCAATTTTGAAGAAGTTATGAGCTGTCGAAGTTCAAAAAGCGCTTTTTTACCTGCTTTTTCAAGACTCTGGATCTCAGTGGAGTTTCAATAGATCGATACGGCTAGGACATATTCTGATAAGGCAAACTTACTCTACAAAGCCTATGAAGTCGCAACATCACACACTTTCACATTCAGGATTTATATGAGTTTGACTGTCAGCTGTCCCTAAGCAACCTAAAATGGGCTAATTTTTTAAAACTCTGTCTCTCGGCAACCACTTCACAAACCGAACTGATTCTTTCACTTTCTGATAAGTACCATTTACTCTTAAAAACTTATGAAGTCGCATCTTCAAGCACCAGATTTGTAACAGTGGAAATTTCGCATAATTTTTCGTTATTTTATTATTCAAAAGGTTCTCGGCGGTAACTGCCTGGATCGACCTACTTTCTTCGCAGTACGTTATAGCAAAACTTACTCAATGAAATCCGTAAAGTCTCGCTGAGTTTCACTTCAAAACACACCATTTACCGAACACGTCTAATTTAAACAACTGTATATGCCGCCGTATACATAAAAAATATGCTTTCAATAACCTTTTTTGCGTTTGTTTTGCTTATTTTCCTTCTTTATGTCCAGCGAAAAAAATTTTCATTCCAAAAGTGAAGGTGGTCACCCTGTACCAGCTCAAAAGTGAAGGTACGGGGAGAATGAGCTTCTATCGCACCTCTGGTTAAGGGGCTAAAATAGGGCTTTCTAGCTTAATTAGGGGTGGTTACAGTATGCCGCGGGGGACATCTGGAGCACAATGGGAGGGCTCCGGAAAACGAGTGGCGAACCCCCGCCGAGGAGACCCCGGCCATCCCCCATTTTGCCCTCCTTAGGTAGCTGTCTGAGGAGAATAACTCTCAACAGCAAAGCATAATTAAGCTGCACTGGGGAGGAAAAGTTATTTTGTTGGCAGAAGTTATTTCCAGCTTCTTCGTAAATCTCAAGATTATGTCCCTAATAGCAAACAGAAGTCAGTAGTATCATACAGTCCGCCCCGATCGAGATCAGGCCGAACCGTCGGCTGGATTTGCGCGGTCGCGGCGCTAGGGGTCTGCGCTGCATACGCGCGCTGTCGCAAAGAGCGAAGAAATTGAGGAGAGAGCAAACTACCTAGCCCTAAACGTGACGCAATATGCTCGCGACAGGACTCCCGCCATGCCAATTTTGGCCTGGTTGGGATTGGGGCAGACTGTACCTACAGATCAACATTTGTGCGAGAACTTTCGACTATGCTGGACTATATTGAGGGTTTCAACTACTAGAGACATATTTCAACTCAAAAACGGTTTGAGAATCGTGAAAGTGTAAGCAAATCTTACTGGTACTTGCAACGCTTTTATCACTGAAAGCAGTCATTTACTATACGCCAGTCTCGAACTTAGCAGTAATACTTGTCGCACCGAAAATCTCTCATACGTCGCAACAGCCATTCAAGGAATTCTGACAGCAAGCAAGCCCCTAGGTCCCGACACAGTGGTGGCCCGCGCGCCCGCCCGCGCAGTCGTTAAGTAGATTTAGATGGCGCCCACGCCCAACACCTTGATAAACACCTTGTACAAGAGACACTTTGATTTTGAGATTTTACGCAAACTGTGTAGGACTCTTCTCCGAGATAGATAGAACGCCTACATACAGATATAGGCTGCTGCATGACGAAGGCGCAATATCTTTGAGAGGGAACGCGGTTTCATTTGCCGCAGAGCATGAGGCGCAGGATTTACAATGGTGAAGATATGCGCGCGCAGTTCGCTCCCGCTCTACTAATGCTGCTTGTGCGCCTTCGTCATGCAGCAGCCTTTACATCAATTTATATAATTAGCAGTGATAGAGCAATATAACGAGTTTCAGAGTTTGGTCAAGTCGTAGTTGACCCAGTAAGGTTTGGACTGCTCCATTTGGATGCAGCTGATGCGGCGCGTATGCGTGCGCTTTTCCAGGAATGTTGTCCCGAAAACCTTATTCAAATGCATTTTGATTTTGTTCCTCCGTTTACTTTCCTGGATATTACCGAGTATCTAGTGATGGAATTAAGCAATGCAGAGGAAATGTTTAGGTGCGGCCATGGCGGTAGCAGACAAGGAGGTGGACTTCCCCAGAGGGGGTGCTGTTCATGCTTCAAATGTAAGGAGTTCTAAGTCAGCAGAAAGCACGTCAAAAGAGGAGAATCAGTTATTTGGGTCAACGAAAAAGGTTCGCTCATAATGCTTTTTTTTGATATATGGTCAAGAAAAAATTAATTTTCGTTTTGATATGAAATCGCGCTTGGTAATCTTGTTTTCAGCGGAAATCAAAAGGAAAAACCGATGAGCCTCCAGCAAAGAAAAAGGCTGAAGAGAGAGCTGCGGTTTGGAGCAAACCGATGACTCGGGAACTTTTGACTGAAGGTGTCATGGGGCTTGGAGTGGTCACAGAGGTTTGTAAATGAATCAGTTTTCAAACGTTATACACACTGATACCTTCGCAATTGTACCTTAGCAGAAACAGCAGTGACGGTTTAATGAGATGGGTTACTGTATCCACATATGAAATTGTTTTGGTGGTTGCGCCTTATGTAAGAATTGTACGAGAAAAATTGGTCTTCGCAATGAAACATGCCCAACTAGCATGACCTCGCCATAAAGGCTTTCCATTGTACTATATAATGGTATAAAGCTTGCATAGAGAGAGTAGGCAAATTTGTATCTTTACTCGTCTACCTCGTGCCAGTCATCCCACCCCGTTTGAAAGCGCATGGCGACATTCTCGTTTAGCATGTTTTGCTTTCTCGCAAGTCAGCACCGTATTTTGTGTTCGGCCTTATGAGAAATTCCATCACTTAATCCTTTCCAGTACCATTGGTGTTTTTAGGTGCATGAAGATTTCGTGTTGTTGGAGACTGCAGACTCGTGTCGTGTCAAATTGCCGGCCACTCAGGTTGGCAATCATTTTTTCCCAGCTATTTCCCATATAACTCGAGAATCACATTTCTCAGATATCGAAGAAGTTCACAGAGTTACTGAAAAAGGAACAAATCTCATTGGAATCATCTTTCGTTATTGGACAGATGGTCCCATTCCGCGTAACGCAGAAGAGCGTAGAAACAGGTGAGAAACTTTGTACTGAATGCTTATGGTTTGGGTCTATTTTTTGAGTAACAGTCACCAAGAAAAAAAGCATGGATGGAAAGAAGAAATCATTCTCTCTACCACTCGTGAGCTGTGACCCAGTAAAGTTGAACGCTCACCTCTCTCCCACGAGGCTCGTACCTGGTCTTGTTCTGCATGCTATTGTTGATAGCATAGAGGAGAAAGGTAGCTCTCCCCTTCCTTGGATCTGTCAAATTAGATATACGCTAAATGTTATCGTTAAGGGGCTTTGCTTGACATTGGTCTTCAGTCTGTGCAAGTTTTCTTGCCAAACAAAAATCTGCAGCGAACAGTCCAGCAAGGTCAGCCTGTAATCGTTCGTATCGAAACTGCGAAAACTTCGAGAGTGGTTGTTGTTACTTCTTTCATTGAACAGGTACGCGGTCGTTAGTGTCGCAGTAAAGCATTTTTGACCATTTTGTTTGTCTTTTAGGACAATCTCAGCACAGAGGCATGTGAGAGCCTGCAACTGAACCATCTAATGCCAGGCACAATCATCGACTGTGAACCAGACCCAGAGCCTACCGTCACTGCTGGGGTATATGTTACTTTGGGCAATGGTGCGTTACTTTCAAAATCGCTCGAATATCACCGTTTAAGCGTGTTATTTGATTTTTTGTCACATACAATAGCTCCTCAGGAGTTCGAGGATTTGTCGCGAGAAGTCATTTACCCCCGCGGCTCAGAAGAGACATCACTAAAGTTTCACGTTCGATCCGATGTGTGGTGATGTTTTGCCAGCAGAATACACCGTTGCTAGTGCTTTCGGCACACCCGGATGTCGTTGCAGTGAGCAAGCCCGATAAGAGAGCTTCGTTCATGGTTAGTACATTAGCGTTTTGACATTTTGGTCTTTTTTCTTCGCATTCTTTTCTCTTCATACCTGCTATCATATACCTTCCCTTCTTAGTTCCTCTCGGGTTTTCTTGTGAAGTGGAAGATTGGTTTGAATAATGCTGAAAATGCCTTATTCTTGATTTGTGCTTGGCAGGTCTTTCTGCTTCCAAGATGTCCAATGGATATCCCGGCTGTCATGCCTCAGCCTAAATTACGTCTTTCTTATGTTCATTGTTTTTAGGGTTACTCAATTGGCGATCGTGTCAAATGCACGGTGATTGACGTAGTCCCACAAACATTCCTTGTTTGCTTCTCGTTGCCTTTGAGTGATGACGGGAAGATTCCTCTGGTGACTGCCATTGCATACAAGCAGTACTTGAGAAATCCGGAAGAATTAGGTGTGTGTATGGAAAGTATACTTCAACTATACGTTTTCACTTTCTGTTAACATTAACATGTAACATTTCCTACAGAATCGTTATATACCATTGGTTCTGAACATCTCTGTCGAGTCATGAATTTCCGATATGCTGATAGATGTATGATAGTATCTACTAGAAAGGATATGCTTGATCAAAAGATAATCTCATACAGGGTATGCTTTAGGATATTCTTTTCACTTCTGTCTTTTCAGTTGCTGTTTTTTGAGTTGCTTCCGTGTTCCAGGATGCAACCCCAGGTGAAATTGTCCACGCGAAAGTGACCGATGTGCACCCCCGTGGTGTGCAAGTGTCAATTTGCGAAAGTGTTAAGGGTTTCATTCCCGCCGACCTGGCGTCCGATCGTGCAGTACCTCTAGAGAAATCATTCACAGTTGGTCAGTCTTTTTTGAACGATATGATTTTGTGTGCAACTGATTAATTTTCGTTTTTTTTTGTAGTCTTACTAGTATTTTCCCCTTTAGGGTCAAGCATAAAGTGCAGAGTTTGGTTTGTGAATGATGAGAAGAAGCAAGTTTGGTTGACTGCTCGGCCTTCCCTCGTGAACTACAAGGTGATTTTTCTCTTTGCTTTTTTCATTCAAGTCTCTGTACTGTAAGGTGAAAGCCGTTCTTACTTGAATATCCTTACGAAACTGATTCAGGGGACAGTGGTGACATCATACGATGCAAAATACGAGGGCGTCAATAGCGTTGGAGTTGTCTCAAAAGTTTTACCTACTGGAGGTGCCTTAGTACAATTTTACGGAACAGTGCGCGGTCTTCTTGGAGCTAGAGAGGCAAAGAGATTGGGCACTGATCTCAAGTATGCGAAAACTTATGTTTGTGGGATGAACTTAGTTGAAATATGTCTAGAGTGGGCCAAGTTCTTGAAGTGCAAGTGACAACAATTGATTCGGTAGATAAGAAGATGAGCCTAGGTTTGGTTGATGCAGGAGCACAATCTACCGCTGGGCATGTGCTACACCCTAAAGTTGGTTTTTCTTTTCTATTCCAGTCTCCTCTGCTGTTCTTTTAAGTATGTAGTATCCGAATTTGTTCAGGCAGTTTCCGCCAGCTATGTCGCGACTGCATTCTCTGCAGTCGTGGAAGAAGTGAGCGAATCTTTTCTTCCAGGACACAAATCTGAGAGGGTTCTGCTTCAACTTGAATCTGTAAGTTCAGTGTGTATTCGCTGCTCAGAACACTCAAATAACTTTTAGGATACTTCGGTTAGAGGATCCCTTGCATCCAATCTACTGTCCGACTCACTGAGTGTGCCTTTTGAAACTCTCAAGGGAGTTTTTCAAAAAGGAATGACATTGGATAATGTTTCTGCGCTGGGAAGTCTTGGAGCAGTCAATAGAGTAGGATATTTCTGGCCTTACCAGTTGTATAGATAACTGTTACCTGCGAGTATTCACATTTAGTTTACAACGAAACGTTTCGTTTGCACATGGTTGGAGGTGTTCAAGAAAAGCATTCCCAGGTCCTTTGATGAACTGAAGCAAGGCCAGGTAGAATTTCAAGTCGTTCAAATAGCAGCTTCCAGAATTTTAACTTTTTTATTCGTTGGATGTTTGCGCAGAAGTGGCGCTGAGTATGTCGGGTTTCAATAATGTAAGGCATATAAACGCAAGAACTAATTATAGTGATCAACTACGACACAAGCCTCAAACAGAAGCCTTCGTTTTCGTTTTCGCTGCTATCATCAAGGATGATGAAACTTGGGCTTTCTACGCTTTTAAAGCGTGGATTGCTCCTCATAGCTATCTTTAGAATTCTTGCTACTTCTCATTTCTTCGAATCGATGATCTTGAACTCTCCAATAAAAACCGGGACTAGTTTTTAAAGGCAGCGTCCAGGCAAGTCTGGACACATGGGGATTTCACGTGGGTAGTAATTTTGGGGCCCTAACTAAGCCACTGCCCAACCGGCAGCTCAGGTAGTGCTCTGACGGCTGAGATATTCCCCTCGGAACTGGACCCCGCGATCGTATTCCGCAGATGGCGCAAAGCGTGAATCCGCGCGAAACTGCCATGAATATATGCGAATACGACGAAGGGTCCAGTTTCGAGGGAAATATCTCAGCAGTTAGAGCACTACCTGCGCTGCCGCTTGGGCAGTGCCTTAGTTAGGGTCCCAAAAGTACCTTCCACGTGAAATCCCCATAGGTCCAGATCTGCCTGGATGCTGCCTGTAACAAACAACTATGATTCATAGCTGACTAAAGAATCTCTTCTCTTCACCACTCCAATTTCCGTTTCTATTGACTCGCTTCCTACTTCTTCAAACCATTTATCTATTTCCAGATAGTCTGCGGCGTCATATTGCAGCGAGTGCCGGATGACTGCCTATATGTTGAGCTAGCGGGCGGGTGCGGCCTGATAGGGAAGGTAGTCGTTGCTGATGTGGACGGAGGTACGCACTTATGACGCCTTTTTAGCATTACATATATGGATCTACCGTATTTAATTATTTAAAAGCATGATCCTTATGTAGGTAAAGAGGAAGCGTCCGCCTTGCAGATCGGTCAGACTATTGTTGGACGAGTGCGCAGTGTCCACTTAGAGAAGAAAACATTTCGGATCAGTTTGAAGGTGATTACTGGTATCTTTCTGTCATTGAGCGTAATTGTGCTTACATAGGTTTTATATAGTTCAAACATCTCTTTATTGCACACCAGTATGTGCAAAAGGTGAATACAGTCTTTTCAAATGCATGGTAAGTAAAGTAAAAGAAAGGCACGAAATACGTTCGGAAACGATGCGCAATTTGTCCCTCTAGTTCGACTGTACCAAAATCTCCAAAAAAAAACTTCTCACAGCTAATTTATTTTAAACATTATTAGTATGCGTTTGGGTATGTTATTACGCGCCTATACTTCTGATGTTCCTAGATCTGTACGAAGGTTTTAGTTGACGGATAGTATACCTACGGAGAAATTACTGCCCGACGCTCCCTCGCCATCATCTTCCCTTTCTTTGCTTCTTCTCAAGTCGTCTGTAGAAGAGATTTGCGATTTTGCTGGAAGTGCAAAACTCCCGTTGCCTGGTTTGTGAATTTGGGTCATTTCTTATCTCTGATGATAACATGCAAAGCGTGTCATTTTCAGGATCTTCTGTTATCGCTAATGTAGTTCAATTGCTTGATGATGTACTGTTTGTAGTTTTTGAAGGCAAACTGACCGGTTGCGTTCGTAAAGGCAATTATGCCGGTACTATCAAGGTGCCTCTATTCTTTTTCTCTTGCAAAGTTTGCCGGAAGATTGTGTTAAGGTTGGTGACAAAGTCAACTGTATTGTCGTTGATTATGTCTTCCCTCGCAATGATGCGGAATTAATTGTAATAGACACGGCAGATGGACAAAAAAGAAAAAAGAAAGTCCATGAGGTTGGTCAAAATCAAACTGTTAGTTCATACACAAATCGCAGTATTTAGGAGCAATCTTCATATCGCGTAGCGTTGGTCAAACGAGATTATATAGCTGCTTTCTCTCCCTCAAAGAAATGTTTGGTGTTTTTACCTTCCAGGTTTCATCCAAATCAGACTGTGGATGTCAAAAATGGTCAGTTCCTCTTAGATAACCTATTAGAGAACTTTTTTGCGTCTAATTTCATTGCATGACACTTTTTTCTTGCTATATCCTTGATTATTCGTACAAATTCATTGGTCACAATACGAATGGCCCACAATATACCGTTTTTTTAGCATGAAAAGCACACCATTTCAGCTGTAAATACCCGTAAAACACCATTCCAAATCTGTCCTAGAGAATATATCTAATGTGCACTATTCACTTACCTTCAGCAAGGGTTGCTATTGGTGATGCTGTGGAAGTGACTGATACTTTCTCATTGTTCGATAATGTTTACTTCGGATTTCTTTCGGGTGATGAGGATTTGATCGCGAAGTTGATGCCCGCAGTGAAGTATGCACAGCAAACCTTTCCCGGTGAGCTTGACATTCGTTCTATCTCTCCGAACAAACCTGAGTTATTTTTTTAGCAAAGAAAGGATCTCCTAATGATGACGAGGGCAGTCCTAGAAAGACTAAATCGGAACTGGTAAGTTTGTACATTAGGGGATAGGTTGTACGGGCGGTTATAAATCCACATGTCTTTGCAAGCATCATGTATTGAAGGTTCATTTTATAGGGACTTCGCACTAAAAGTGTAAGGAATCTAGGCGTTTATACCGCAACAGTGATTGGACCATGGACATGTGAGGAACGAAATGACTTCGGGAAATTAGCAGCGAAAATAGCACTGCCCGGTGGCAATATAGGCAAGTTTACAGTCACGAAAAAATTCACGTATTTGTGTTTTCGTTCAAATTGAAATTCGATAATGAATTTTGAAATGTTATCTGACCAGTCACGTTCCACACTTATACTTTAGCTGAAACTTGCTGCTTCTGGTTTTTTCTCCCGGTAGTGATAGTGCCGGATTTAGGTCGATTGCATGTGTCTGAGCTGCCCTCAAGATTTTTGTTGGAGCATACATCTCCGCTTGAGGAATTTATAAAGAGAAATCGTGGAAAGGACGTCATTGTTAAGATAATAGATTTCTTCCCAGTCAAGATAAATGGACAAAAGGTATGCAGGTATCTACAACTAGTGGGTCCCAAAATTACTATTACGTTCTAGGCTCGTATAGCTGAATTGACCATGTCCGAAACAAAAATATCTGAATCGCGCAAGAAAGCTAGAGAAGTAGCATTCCAGAAGATGTTCAAGGTGAGCCTTTTTAGTTTGCAGCTGTTTGACTTTTTATACCACTTCTAGCCCGGAGATCTCGTTCGTTGTTTTGTGTCACCTGAGCAGAATGGAATCAAAATGGGTATCAATGTTGAGGTGAATCCGTTGTGGTCTGGCACGGTTGCCCACGAAGCCGTCAGCGATGATCTTAAGGTGATCTATACCGTTCATAGGGCATAACCCCGGCGCCTTTTTGTGCTTTTCTGGTAATTATTTATGTGCATTGTTTTCACAAGCAAAGAGATTAAGATTCGCAAGGAATTTCGCAAGCACTGGGGATAAAAACTTGCAGAACACGTTTTTGGAAAAATAGAACCAAGCTTGCTTTCAATGCTGCGCTTGGATGCCAGCAGGTCAGCAAAGCGAACGTGAGGCTAAAATATAACCTTTATATGCCCATTGTTGAGTAAGCGTGCCCTGCGCGTAGGTGTATCACTGCAGTCTTGTTGAAATTGGTGACATTCTTGTTGTAGAGTGAGTTCACTCAACAATGTATGTTATATTTTTTCTCAGATTTCGGTGCCTGAGCGTAATGGTGAAGTGTTTGAGTGCGCTCCAAAGGCGGGAGAAATGCGTATAGCTAAAGTGCTGAGTGCTGTGAAGAAAAAGAAGAGTCATGGACATGGCGTGTTAAGCTTAGCTCTCGACATGCAAGCGGATACAAAGGTATTTGCCTAATGCATTATACTGTCCTCTTTTATCACAATTTCAGAGATTTGAACCCGGTCAGCGAATAACAGCCCGAGTAACGCATGTCAACCTCAGCCCGTTATCGGTGCAGTTTCATCTTGCAAATGGGCAGGTAGCAAGGTTGTGCCCTACTGCTATTGCACATAATTACGAGAAGGTTCATACACATATAACACATTTCAAACGAGATGGGGTAAGATTCATGGAACCAAATATCTTACACGTGAAATAAAATAGCACTTTTTTGAGATATTCCGGCTGTATGCGCTTCGGCAAGAACTGAACCCTTTGAGAAATTACGTTGTGGCAGAAGGCAGATATGAGGCTTATCTTAAGCAGAAGGAAAATACTGAAACTCCTGATAACAGAGCCTTGATCGTAGATCGAAATTCAATCCAAGTAGGACATACGGTAGGTGGTTTGTCATTTTTTCTTGTGCTTATCTTGGTGAATGCTGTTTTGCAGTTTGATGGTTTCATCATCAAGCACACACCTGATGCGATCGTTGTTGAGATTGGACCGGGAATTGTTGGAAGGATACGAAAGCTCTCTCATCCGTGAGTATCGCCTTTATGTATAGTAGTTGCTAAAGTGAAGATTCAGGGAAATCTCGACTACTCCATTGAACTCGATTGTCACAGTAAAGGTCCGTAAGATTGATGCACAGGGTCTAATCTCGCTAGCTCTGGTTGCCATCGTGAGTGAAGCCCCTACAGCCGTGAAGGTACGTGAACTTGCCTTTTGAAAATTGAATGAATGAATGAGAGAGTAGACATTTTCGCATTTTTGAAAAATTGAGGTGTTGTAGAATTATTTGCAAGTCAAGAACTGGATGTATGACTTGATCTGGTGCTTTGCCTCGAGGCCCGATCACTTTGAATTTTTTTAAATTTTACATCGAGGCACCGATCATTTCACCTTCTTTGAAAGTTAGTTTTTTCTGAATAGGGATTGCGGTTTCCGTTGCTGTCCGTTTTTGACAGTCTTCCTACGTTCGCACTAAATTTTTGAAGTTGTAATCTCCACCGCCATTTTTCAGTAACGGTTATGATTCTGCCTAATTAGATTCAAAAGGAAATGTTATAATGAGTATTGAAGCTTGCTCTTTCTGATAGGTCCCGATCAAGGCCGGGTTCCTACTGATCCGTACAGTTCCAGCACAGCGCACAGTCTGAGCGCTGTGTTTCAACTGTTCCGGAACTTACGGATCAGTATGAATCCAGCCTAAAAATTACCAATGGAAAGTCGTGGCAGTGAGGCTTGAGATATACCTGACGATAGAGATATAGCGGATCCTGGCGAATCGCTGATGTCTGCTTTGCCTTTAGCTGCTCGTGGCTGCTGCGCTGGGTACGCTCGGTGCTAGAACGAAGTAGTCTTACCCCTTACGAGCTTAGCTTAGGCCATTAGGAATGCAAGTCTTGAGAACTACCAAGATTGAAAGATACGATTATATGAGATTCAGATAAGTCAACCTGTTCTCAACAGAAATGTTGCATATACTGAGAAATTTATAACCATCAAATATCCAAGCGAGTGTCGCAGTGGAGCCTTGATGTGTGCTTGAGGCAACAACTGAACTTTCCAGGTCATAGCTGCCATTGATCTATTGAGGTGTACTGGTAACATCCCACTAAATCGTTGAAATCTTCTAGCTTTTCATTGTTAGCACACTTTGATTTTACTGCTTCGCAATCGCTAGCTATAGCGGATCTGTTTCGCGTTGGCTGGCAGCGAGAAGCAGCAGCGTAGCCTGGCGTCAGTCGATACGCACAAAAGGCGCTGCTTCTGGCAGCGTCTTATCGTCAGCTTTAGCGACCCATCGTCAGGTATATAGGAAGCCTGAGAGAAAAATTATAAGATGATAGTTTGATTTCGACTTTTTCCTATAGCCTCATTAAGGATCGAAAACGTGTTGCTGAGGATGAGGTCGTCGTTGTTGCTAAAAAAGAAAAACAAGAGCCAAAACCTGAAAATGAACTGGAAGAAGTATCGGTATGTTCAAGAGCAAACTTATCTTTGCATACTTAAGCATTGCATATAGTTAGAAGATCCCGGCGTTGATTGGTCGAATGCTGGTTTCCTGCCAGAAGATCTAGCTGCTGTTGGAAGGTTAGGAGACGATGAACTTGATGAAGAAACTGCGGAAAGCACCTCGAAATCGGAAAAAGCGAACAAAGTAGATGATACGAAGATGAGTGAACGTCAGAACGAGAGAAAACCAATGAGTGGGTTTTTTTTCCTTGAAGCTTTTTCAGTATCAGATAGTAGATGTCTGCGATGTTTCAGCAAAGGAAGAGTGTGTTATGGAAAAGGAGCGACGGTTGATCCACCGCGAGGTCGAACTATCAGGAGATTTGCGGCCTGAAACCCAAGAGGATTTCGCTCGCTTGTTAAGAAAGGATCCGAACTCTGCAGAGCTGTGGATTAGGTCCGTTGATATACACGTTTCTTTCAAAAACCTTACCGTGTTGAAACTGGCTACAGTTTCCTGCGCTCAGAGGTGGATGGGATAGACGGTTACATGTCAGAAACATCAGACATACTCATCTTTTTTCGTCTTTGTATCGTGCATTGATATTTCTTCCCAAGAATTCGCCAGAGCGATCATTCTCATCTTACTTCACCATGATTATCGATTTTTTCCAGATACATCTCCTTCTTCTTAGAGAAAAATGATCTCACTAAGGCACGAGCAACAGCAGAGCGAGCACTAACCGTCATCAATTATAGGTGTGCGATCTTCCGCTTATTTTTGCAGTATCCTTCGAAAAAGATTGTTTGAAGAGAAGAAGAAGAAATATTCAATCTCTGGATTGCTTATCTCAATATGGAAGTGGCTTACGGCGATGAAGAGAGTACTAAGAGTATATTCCAACGAGCTTGTGGCAATGCAGATTCATTCAAAGTGCACAAACAAATGGCTGCTATTTACGTGGAAGCCGGGAAGATTGATGTGATACCACCTCATCTCGTTTTCTGCATCGATATACCACATCATTTTAGGAAGCTGATGAAATTTACGAAGCAATGGTGAAGAAGTTCCGAGCAACTTCCGATGACGTGTGGACTTTGTACGGCGATCATCTTATTTCCACGGATAGGGCAGAGAAAGCACGTGATCTAATGAAAAGAGCGCTCACCAGTGTCCCTAAACAACGACGTTTGTTTTGCAAACATGTTGAGATAGTGTCATGATTTTGAACTTTAGATGTTCCCCTTATTAGCCGATTTGCTCAAATGGAGTTCCGGAAGGGAGATTATGAGCGGGGACGAACTCTCTTCGAAAACTTGGTGAACTTTGCATCCTCATAAACGCTGCTAACTTGCCCAGTGTATCAGAGTATATCGTATAGTATATACAGTAGTTCTTTAGGTTACTGCATATCCAAAGAAAACCGACATTTGGATAGTTTACGCGGATCTTTGCTTGAAGCACTTGGGAATTGAAACAGCTAGGTAGAAACTTTCCTATTTTTTTCGCTTCTTTTGAGCAGTAATCCTGGATTTAAAAATATTTCTACACTCAGAAGTTGTTGCAAGCACATAATGATATCTCCGAAGACGGAATTTCTTTTTTCCAGGCAAGTTCTGGAGCGAGCTTGTGCACTTCCACTAAGTGTGCATAAAATACGACCCCTCTTTCGGAAATGGATGGAGGCGGAACGGAAGTACGGCGACGATGAATCGCGGCTGCTGGTCCGTTCCTTTTTCGTATCTTATTGCTTCAGTACATGAGGGCGTTTACAGCTTCGAGAGAAGGCCGAGAAGTTCCTACAATCAAGTATAATTGATATGGAGGAGATGGAAAAAGATTGATTTGTTTATACTGTATCTATAAAAGATAAGATGTCTACATTATTTACCTACTATTTTTTTAATTGTTGTTGTTGATGTACGAAATCCGTTGTTGTTACACTTGTTATCTATTGTTGCTCCCATTTGTTGGCTTGTTAGTGTACTGTTGATTTCCCTATAAAACTTCAAACACGCAATGTAAAACGAACCAAGGTTAAACATCCTGCTTACTTGTTTCCTTCTTACGACTCACAATTCGTCACGTGTGCTTGACAAGTTCGTTTTCTTGTTTCTTTTCTGCGCGACAAAAGTGGTGGAAAGTACAGGTAACACCCTCGCGAGTATGAATTTGAATATGGCAACAATGTCCCTCTTGTTAGCGAGCTAAAGGGGAACTGATAATTGACAAGTGTATCAGAAATCCGTAGGCTTAGTGTGGGAGTCAGTCAAAGGTCACGAAATTCGAAGAGATCCTGAGTTATATACTTCTTCTGCGTACATGTAGAAAGCGCAAAGATTGCTCTCGAAACATCTTGTCGCATTCACCTAGACCTCATATCGCTTTTGGGTTATTTTTTCGTTCTCATCTAATCGGTTGCTGTTTGTGTGAGCCCGGATTCACATCACAAGGCTGGACGATGCATGGAACTGTTCCAAATTGTTGGTTAGCATTTGGTTGTCGCAGCGATCTTTTATTTAAAAATTCTTTAGCGATTTTGCAGTCAATTTAGCATTCATAGATGCTAAGATTGTATAATAGAATACAAGAAATAGTAAACGTCTGATACAACAGTCGCGTGTTGCATGCACAGGGGCAATTGGTCATCGTCATTTCATTCGACATTGTGCATCCTTAGCAACAATACTAGGGAATTCTGAATTTTTCTTCTTTGAAAAATATGACATTTAGTTTTCTTTAGGTACGAGACTTTTTGAAAATGGTCACTGGGGACTCATCTCTGGTAATCGACTCATCCTCACCATTTGGACGGGTTGGCTCATCCCCTCCAGCTCCTTCCTCACATGCATTGTTCTCACTTTCACGATTTAGGAATAGGCTGGGTAGGAAAACACCTTTATTATGAATTGAAATCGATCTTTTGTTTTTGAAGGTACGGAAATGAATGAAATCATACCAAATCTCTTTTTGGGGAGTTTGCGGGATGCTACTGACATTAAACAGTTGAAAAAACACCATATACAAGTAAGTAACTTCATATGACCTAGACACCCGATCTGAGACTTTCTTTATAGTGTGTCGTTTCTGTACACGATTTAACGGCACATCATCCAGCCCACGAAAACCTCAAGGCTCGTTGTTTCATTCTTCACTTATTAAAATTTTTGAGTTTGCTGTTTTCCTTCTAGGTGCTCAAGATTCAATTGTCAGATTGCTCAACAGCTAATATCTCATCTCACTTCGCTGCTACAAACCAGTTCATACATGAAGCTCGATTGAAACAGGGTAGTAATCTTCTCCACACTTTTCGTTCTATATGGAGTAATCAATTTTTAGCCGCTGTACTTGTGCATTGTTTGGCTGGCGTTTCCCGCAGTGCCACTGTTGTAGCCGCATATTTGATGACACTATGCGATATGTCGTTTTTCAATGCCATAAATTTCATATCACGTAAACGGCCAGTCGTTAACCCGAATTTCGGTTTCCGCATGCAGCTATGCAACTTTGCCGACCGAGTGAGTTCCGCTTCAATTACATTTCTAATTTTGTTGATTTATATCATTTATCCATTTTTATGTCTAATTCTAGGCCCTTTTTCTTAGCACAGGTTTTTGGTTGTGCTAGGGGAAGGAACTGAAACACGTTCAAGTGTAGATTAGCCGCTCTTTTGTTTTGACGAATTTGATAGGCTTCTAAAACACTTTAACTCACTATTAAATGATTACTTGCAAAGTATCACCGGTATTATACAAAGTAACTGTGCAATGATGCTACGAATACAACATGCCGAAGCACCAAGTGCATTTTACTTAGGTCAATCTGTCATTTTTATTAGATATCCTTCTCGCAGCCAAGATTATCCTGATATATTTTAATCTTCAATCAGCAGTAGTTGAAATGTTGATGTGCAGGAGATGATGGATGAACGTCAGCGACTCCGTGAACATTTTGGACCACACGTATTCGACGCGCAGTGGGCATTGGATAGAGCAGTGACTCGCTCCAAGGTTGGTCGTTCCAGCTGTGCGGTTGTTTGGTAAGTGTGTGCACGTCCTTGTATGTATGTCATACTAAAAGTAAGTGCACGTTGACCACATACTCTCTCCATGTTGCTTTAACATGTTGCTGAGCCATGTCGTTGTGTGCTTCACTTGCAATGCCGCTTATGTACTTGCCATCTAAAAGTTATTTTGAAGGTGGGCAAGTGAAAGGGAGGGAGCTGATTTGCAAATGTGACTTGATCATGTGAAAGCTTGCGTTCACTCTATCCATGCTATGAACTGTCTAATAGATAATGGCACATTTTGTTTATATATGAAAAGCAATCAGTACATGTTTATGTGTCCACCTGGCTTTGCTAACTAATAGCAGGCACCTATGTGGTCATCGTCAATGTCTTTTGATGAGTCAGTTCTCCGTTAATGCCTTTTTGTATTTTTAGATTGACATGGAAGGTCAAGAAATGTCTTCCCCATCATCGGTAACTGTATGTACTAATTCTGATGTGACAGCTGTGCCTCCATGCGCAACTTCTCCTACCAGTCCTTTCACCAAAGCTGACTCGACGATACGGCGGGATGTGAGTATCAACAACCCATTGGCTCAATCTTTGCCCATTCGTAAAGTCGTTGCTCGTACTGTACCACTTCCTCAAACAATGAGGGTTGAATTGACGTCTCGTACATCCAATTACTCACAAAAATAGTGTTCCTGTACAGCGAGCAAGACTGGCCATCATGACTTCTGTATCTAGCACTGCATCATTGTCGGTTGTTCTTCCAAGGTCTTTCGCATTTCATTGCACATTATTTTTTGTATTATACATATATTGACGATTCCACAATCATTGTTGACTTTATTGCCTAGGTCATGTCGTTTGGCTCCTAATTTACGTTCTCAATCTTGCATCTAACCTCTAGTCTGCTATTAAACAGTGAGCATAATCACTCTTTGTATATCTAGTCAAACCTTCTGCCAACTACCATCCTAGCTTTGGATCATAATCAATATGTGACGTTCGGTGCGTACAATTACTTTTTCAGTATTTGGAGTTCCGTTTACTGGTTTTAAATGTTTTTTTTTCAAATTTTGATCTCCTCTTTGACTTAGTGGATGAATGAATGAATGAATGAATGAATGAATGAATGAATATATTCTCAGCTCTGGAAGTCAACAAATTTAGTCTCGTCCGTACGAGCTTTCTATCTACAAGTGCTGGCAAGGAGATAAAGCGCAACCACTCTATAGTCCACTCAATTTCCATAGAAGTATTTACGGCGTATCTCCTTCTTTAGCGTTGAAATGCCGGTTAATAGTTTGAGAGCTTTAAAATTGCAGTTCAAAACAGTTTTCACAATCAGATGTCGTCAAGTGATGATGAACCACTTACTGTTATAGCAGAAAAAGCTAAGAAAGAACGCAAAAGAAAACCAGCAAAGGAAGACAGGTTTGTCTAAAAAATCACTTCCAGTGTGTTTCATTAGCAAAATCCTTAGATAAAGTGAGTTGAAGCACTATCTTCACGCTGCGTTTATAGCTGGTCTTGAACTTGCTAGTAACGTTACAGTTAGTTTATGCTCACTCCTTTTTCCCTATCCACAGTCCAATCTCCATACTTTGTACACGGTAAGACACTTGCAAAGTTTTAGTGTTGTCTTAGGGATGCTTCGGACTGCGCTTGAACTGCCTGCACCCGCCGCAGCTCGCCTGAGCCCGCCGAAGCCCGCCAGAAGCTGCAGTATGAAGAATGAAAGCGAGAGATATGCCTTAACGTTAGCATTTTCGAGCACCTGTGGTATACGCGCGCGCTGTTCAGTGTACAGTCGCTTCATTTCATATGATCATGTGTGCTTTTGCACACACAGTCCACTTTGGCGTCATCCTGGATTTGCAATGCAAAAACGCAAGAGACTTACCGATTGTTATCGATTAAACAATTTGAGGTGACTAGTAACTAAAAAGGAAAGAAAATGCTAAGAACACCTTGGAAACACTTACCTGGAGGCTTGTTTCTCCCACGAATCCAGGATGGGGACGCCAAAGGTGAACTGTGTGTGCAATGACACACATGATCATATGAAATGAAGCGACTGTACATATAGTGCACATGCAATCTGTAATGAAATGGCTTCGGGCGAGTTCAGACAATGTCAGCCGCGTAGCGCAATCTGAAGCTTTCTGATAGAACTGCGATGCCCTTACACAAGCCATGCTTCTCGTCAAAATTTCAAAAACATGGTTCCAAGTATCCATTACAATGTCATTATCTATTGCTACCCACGACATACGCTTTTTATGTATCATCCATCATTTGCAACCTGGTATTGCACAACCGCGTACTGCACAAAACGCGCACCATTTAGCAAACTTTTCCAATAGGAATCTGTTGATATTCAGAAGTTTTTCCCAGCTTGTTTCTCTCATTTGGTGTGATTGGATGAATGTGAAAGAATACGTGCAATTCATAGTTTGTCCGGTAAGATTTACTGCTGAGCTGCCAGTAAGATGTTGTCGGTTGCTGAGCGCAGTGTGCAGGCTCGCATATCAAGTCGCAAATGAATCGCGCATATGCCAACTCATGTTCGATGAAAGAAATGATAGACCGTGATTATCGGCGTGCTAAACTTCTTGTACAGTCTGTATGCGTTGTATTCCCTCATCCAAGCTACTTTCTGTGAAGCATTTAGCCCGAGCAAAACTGAGAGTGGGGGATTATTCTCGGCTACATTTACGTTCCGGAAAGGGCATATTTCAGAAGTTCTATTACTGAACGGAAGCTAGTTTTTGCACGAACGACGTCATGACGGTGGCGAACTATTGTAACCGGTTGTATCTATATATTCCATTTCGAAGGAATTTTACCAGCGTGTGCATGCGAGAACGCAAACTGATCACAGCACTGAAAAACTGAGTGGTTCTTGTGATTGTGATTTGCCCATAATACACAGATAGCCGTCAGCCGTACTCTGAATTGTGTGATTGCACACAATATGTACATAGCGTGTAAAATAGTCCACAGCTCAGACAAATCTGCGCGCAGACGGCGCGCACTGAATCAGCGAGCGATGTGCCTTCCCGCCGTCTGTATGTGCAGTGCGCGCCGCCTGTGGATTGAAGGTCCGCCGCCTGCGCGCTATCGTCCTTTCACCCCCGTTGTACAGTAAATTTCGACCCGCTTTAGGCGGAAATTGGACTGGCGGGAGTTCGCCTTGCAACAGCTCGCGCCGTTTCGCAGCTACAGTATATCCTATCGTGCTGAAAACCCATGTCTGCGTCTCTTCAATCTCCTTAGTGTTTGCTCGGCAAAATGCCAGCGCTATGCGCTCGCGAAGCCTCCAGCGATGCGCATGCGCTGCTCCACGTAGGATGTCTCGCCTAATCCGGGATGAAATCGACTGTAACGGGCACGCAGCCTCAGACGCTCTCTCGCGAAGCGGTTTTGACCGCGGCGCAGGGTCGATACGGGTGATCAGCTGTTTTTCCGTCGCTGCCACAAGAATCGGTGAGTTTTAGATAATTTCTTCATATTTTTGCTTGCAGGTGGCAACAAAAGGATGGAAGGTAAATCGAGAAACTCTGTTAAGTTTATTTATAGGTGAAAACTTGATTACATGAACGAAAATTTTAAAAAAACTGGCTGAAATTGCGCTTAGATCGGATAGTCAGCTTTTTAGCAAGCAACTCACTTATAAATAAACTTAACAGAGTTTCTCGACTTATTTTCCATCCTTTTGTTGCCACCTGCAAGCAAAAATATAAAAAAATTATCAAAAACTCACCGATTCTTGTGGCAGCGACGGAAAAACAGCTGATCTCACCCGTATCGACCCTGCGCCGCGGTCAAAACCGCTTCGCGGGAGAGCGTCTGAGGCTGCGTGCCCGCTACAACGGGGTGAAGGGACGATACGATACGAGAAAAATTTTGGCAGGAATCTGAGGATGGGTGTCCTAGGACACCCGTCTTCCGGGTGAAGCTGGTTCGGCTCTGCCGAACACATCATGCACACGACGGTAGCACTGCTGCTCCGCGCGGTTACTGCGACGCGTCTGGAAGCGCGAAATTTTCGCGAAGCAGTGACGTAAAGTAGTACAGGAGCTAGAGCTCCTGATGCAGAGTCACTCAGGACATCGTTATGTATCCACTCGCACCCCCTCCCCTTTTTGCCACTGGAAATTCTTGTAGCGGTGAGTTTTTATGGGACACAGACTTGAGCGCGGCAAAGCGGCAGCCGTGTTCGAAGTGCCTAATATCGTAGAGCAGATCTAGGATGGTAACGCCCTGTTCCATATTTTGCGGCGCAGCCTGAGTGGAAGGAAAGGAGAGAAGTTCCATGAGAGAATGTGGGAAAGATAACGCTTATTGTTCTCAATGTCGCGCTGCAGTAACGCTTTGCGAAAGAATCGCGCAGATTATGGATAGAGATCGCGATCCGATGAGTTCATATTGATTTCCAGGTGTAGGCACAGCTTCAGGGCCTTGCCGAGCGCTTCCCTTCTCCCCCTCCGCTCCCTCAAGTACGGAAGCGAAATTTTTGAAAGTGGCCTACATGGATTACCTGCAGACTTGTTTTCATTGTGAATAAATAATTATAGCACTCGACAAAAATTGAATTGTTTTTGTAACTTCCTTCTTTCTTGGGTCAGAGTTACAAAGGCGTAAAAAAGAAAGCGTCGATTTTTTCGAAGGGCATTTCTAACGCTTTTTTCTTTTGCAGAGAAATTCGTTTGCATTTACTCCGAACAAAATCTCTCATAGCGCCTCCTAAATAGGCCCTGGGAATGTATCGCGAACCTTTTGAACGTTTACCACGTGTGTTATAAAAATGTGCAAGTGGACTTTTACTCCTAAAGAATTGGTAAGTTTTGAAGTTCTTCAAAAATCCAGATCTGGAAAGTAAGAAATTTTTTTCTGAAGCCACACCCCCTTTTTAGACCAGATTTGTACATCCGAGAAATCAAATAGGAATAAGTATTTCTTCGGGGGGGGGGGGGGGGGAGCGTAGCTTACACCGCACCAGTTCATTTGAAAAAAAGATCTGTTATGCCTCCCCTGGCAAAGCTTCTCACAATCAGACCCCATTTCTTATGAGTATGTGTTCTTGATGGCCATTGAGTAGTACCAACTCTTTTTTTTAGGAGGGCGGGTTCGGACAGGAGGTAACTAGAACTTTGCCAAACAGTTGTGGGTACCATCGCTGCAAATCACTCTTGCTACAAATTAGTTGATGTTCGCTTCAGCCGACTCATATGCGAATTATGCTTATCTTATGGCATATGACACTGATTCTGTGACTTTGAAGAACACGAAATGAGAACCCTGGATAGAATTATCTCCAAGAGTTTGGCACAATTGAAGGCTGTTTATAACGCTTCTCAAAAGCGCTTGATATTCCCTCTCTAAGCTGAATACTTCAAATTTTTTTCTTCCGAAAAAATCTCTTAAAACGAGAATTGAGGTGAAAGGTGGCGACTTCATACGTGGTACTCGAAAATGTGATGCCTGAACACTGTTTGATCTTTGGTAACTACCACAATTCTATAATTAGCCTGTATCTTCTGAAAAGCTAGCTGTTACATTGAAAACAGATTTATTTATCGTTGCCGTAGCGATACGGTAGGATCTACGGCAGCGAAGAACCTGTTATTATGGTAACCCCTTCATAAATTTTGGAGACTGGAATTTTGTGTTCAAAAACAAAGCTGATGCAATTTCTAAGATCGCTCATAAATTTGAAACTTTGTTGGTCTCTTATATGCAGCATTTGGCCAAAATTTCGAGCAACATTTCTTTCGCTTACCTAGGGCTATTCTTCCCGTTAATTGCGAAAATGCAGCTTGCAGAGTGCGAAAATGTCGAAAATGGGCTATTCCAGAAGCTGCTGATTCCGAATATGGAAGCTTGCCGCCGATATTGAAGGCAGCGTCCGGGCAAAATTTGGAATGGAAATTTTTCGCTTACTTGGGTTTATTCCTTCCACTGATTCCGAAAGTGCAGCTTGGAAGGCACGGGCCTTCCAAACGCCGAAAACGGGCTTTTCCAGAAGCTCTTGATTTGAATTTTGTCGCCTGCCGCCAAGGACACAGACACAGAGTCTTTGTGGGACCCTACATCTTGACTGTGTGCGGTATGCGCACTCTGGCTTCTCGAACTAACTCGTCCCCGGTCGCCGGGGCGTTGCGGTCGCCACTTCTGAAGCGTTTTTCTCGCTCCAGGAGCAAATTGGCGCATTGCCAGTTGGGCAAGGGCCTTACCAGGACGGGACGAATAGATTACAGGACGGGCGCCCCTGTACTCTATTCGTATCTGCCCGGACGCTGGTTTTCTCGCTTCAGAAGCAAATTAGTGCACTGCCAGTTGGGCAAAGGCTTTACCAGAACGGGAGCTCCTGCACGCTAAAATTTCATGTCTTCCCGGATGCTGCCTTTGAGGTCGTTGTAGGAAGGCTATAAGCAGAACTTTCAAAAACATCGAGACAAGCTATTACTATCAGTCATAAGTTTACGAAAGATAGAAAGAATTGTATTTCTAATTCTCAATCAAACTTTGATTTACTCTGGAGCTTCCAAACTCATTGAACCTTTTTAGGATCAAATTCAGAAAAATCGCTTTCTAGTGGATCGAAGCCCTCCTTAAGGGTCATCCATAATCTTACAGTGGTGAAGACGTATCAATGTTTTTTCCTATCTGCAGATCCAAGTTGATGTCAATCTCTACCACATGTTGCCCAAGGCACCACAAATTTGTATGGTAAAAGTTACTGAATGATCAAACAGAGTTCTAAAACAAACTTTACGATTAGCTGTAAGCCAACTCTTATATGATTTGTTTTGCTGAAGCTTTAGCTTACAAGGGAATGGTCAGAAATCGAAGTGGCCAATCCGCACAACCTGCATACCGTCAACACCCTCAGGGTACGCTAGTAGCATATCTACCCTCGATATCTGCAGAGCGGTCTTGTATGCGAAGTTATGGGCCCTGATTCCACCAGGATCCCGCCGAGCACATCAAAACACGTAGCCCAGTTGCTACCTAAAGCGACGGCATAGCGCAGGGGCAAGTGTGCGGAATGATACGATGAGGGTCAGGGGTTCGATCCCTTTTGCTTTCATTTCTTTTGCAAGGGAATTTTTAACATCTATAATGTTGTTACGAAGTGACACCAAGGTCAGAACAGCTACAAAACCTGTGAAAATTTCAAAAAAAAATGCTCATTCGCGAAAATACAAATAATATAAAAATGAGACTAGATATTATAGTTGATATGACGACGATAAAAGGAAGAATGATAGAAATGTCGAGGTAAGCAGTTTTAAGGATATGAGAGAAAGAAATGTGCATCAGGAGCATCTGCCTCTCACTCTAGAGCCAGAGATGCTCATTTGGTCAAAGATCAAAAGCAGCAAGTTGAGATAAGGTAACAATTTCGAACGCAAGTTGGCTTGATCGCTATACTGCGCAATGTTCTCACCGGAGGTTGTTCTCTCGTATCTCGTAAAGGAGTTTGGATGCTGCTCATGAAGTTCTAGTTCGAATTTTGATTTATTGTGTATTCAGAATGAGATTTTATAGCTGTTCTGACCTTGATGTCACTTCGTAACAACATTATAGATGTTAAAAAATCGGTTCCAAAAGAAATGAAAGCAAAAGGGATTGAACCCCTGACCCTCATCGTATCAGTCCGCACACTTGCCACTGCGCTATGCCGTCGCTTTAGGTAGCAACTGGGCTACGTGTATTAGTTGTGCTCGGCGGGATCCTGGTGGAATCAGGGCCCATAACTTCGCATACAAGACCGCTCTGCAGATATCGAGGGTAGATATGCTACTAGCGTACCCTGAGGGTGTTGACGGTATGCAGCTTGTGCGGATTGGCCACTTCGATTTCTGACCATTCCCTTGTTAGAATTTTTCCATCTTGATACTTGCTTTCAGAGTCAAGCATTCTGCGAAAAAGAAGAAAGTCATAGAAGATGAATCAAGCGACGAGGTTAGTTACCCGTTTTCCTCCTTTTCTCCGCGTTTTCCTCATTTCAACACTCAGCATGTTTTCTAGTCTGGAATCCATATTTTTCTTGTTCCTTTTTGACAAAAAAAGTTAATCGTCTTCAAACCTAAACATGAGTATTTCGAATTGTTAAATAATGGTGATCTTGTTGATCCATGTTTGGATCTTTTTCTGTTTTTCATCCAAAAGTTTCATATTTATCCTTGAGATTCCTTGAGTTTGCGAGAAGCCTTGTTGCAAAATTTTTAGTGTTGATGAAATTATCCTTTTGTTGGTCATAAAAGGTGTTGCCTTCTTGACCCGTTACACGAAGCTGCTATAAGATGAAGCTGTGCTCAAAATTACCCAGTCCATTGTTCAATACAATTAAACCGAGATAGGACTATGAGAGGCAACCCTGATTTTCACAGAATCTTGTCCACCGAAATTCAGCTAAAATGCATGTCTCCAAAAGTGCTAATCGACACCACATCCGATGAGGAGGATGACCACAAAGTGAGAAGGAGGAAGAAGAAGCCTGTGAGCGAGTTGGTCCCACAAGCACAGTTTTTCTAGAATTAGTGTCACAAAAAACCATTACCGAATTAGCGTAATATTGAAAGTCGCATCAATGACTGCACATGCTTCGTCTTATTTAGCCATTAGAAGATGAATATGCTAGTGATGAGATTCCGCTAGGAGATCTAGACGACGATGAAACAGCAGGAACTTCTGCGAACTCGACGAAAATCGAGGAGCCGATTCAGAAGGATGAGGAAAAGGATGAGGTTAGCAGATTTTTGAATATGTAGAGGCGTTCTCCACGAATATTGAGGGGGTGGTAAGGTTTTACCGCTGTATACCAGCAGGACCCTAACTAAGTATAATCAACTAAGTCCCGCTGCACTGAAGATGAATTCGGAAGCGAGCAATTCGCTCCATGTGGTGGAAGCGGCGATAGTGGTGGCTCCGCCCATTAGCGCGAGTGGTACGAAAATAAAGTGCGAAAGTGGGCTTGAAGGCAGTGTCTCGGCAGAATTTCGTTTTCCAGCTTTTCATCTTTTTAGAGCCTTTTTGCCATGAGGAATCCATATCTGTGCTTTTCAGCGCACGAAATGGCGAAAACGAGCTTTTTCCGTAGCTTTCCAAGTCCGCATTCAGTGAAGATACGCCGGAGCTCTTTCGCGCCCCACCTCCCTTGTTCCGGGTTCCGCCCACTTACACATACTCACTCTCCACTGGTTGTGGACCTGAAAAGCCTCGGAAAATCTCACATCTTTTCGGCGCATTTTCATGCGCCGAAAAGCTGCCCAGATATAGATTTCTTATGGCGAAAAGGCTCTGAAAAGGTGAAGAACTGGATGACAGTTTTAGATACATTACACCCAATTTTAAACTTAACATCTTCAGACCACCCAAGTTATGGGCGGAGCTTCCACCTGGATGTATGCGCAGAGGCGCCAGATGGACATCCAATTGCGCATAGAGTGATGAAACATTCTAGGAGCAATCAAATTCATGAGGAGATATACAAAACTGCATAAGTTGCTTAATTTATCATCTCGAAAAAGTTGGAAACAGTTTGTCGTTGTTTCAGAAGATAAAAAATTTGGCTTAGAAATGGAAAAGTTTTTGGGATGCAACTGTAAATTCGATTGCTCTTTATCTCATGTTTACAGCATTTTTTTTTTGCGTTCTTAAGGGCAAAAATGGGAAATCAGCAATAATTAATTCTGGCAGCTTTTTTGAAATGTTTATGCTTTTAAGAGTTGCAAAATTCCACAAGTCCAAACCTACAATATATGGCCAGCCCTACCTAGTTTCAGCTAGGCGTACTTTTGATGTTTAGGAAAAGAGCTCCAGTACGGATATTGACCGAGTCATAGAGAAAGCAAACAAGGAGGAGGAGAATGAGAGTGAAAAGGTTTTTCCATCCAAAATTGACCACGTACCATGCATGTTGATTAATTTCAAGTTTAGAAGATAGATTCAGCAACAGACTCATCACGATCATCACTGGAGAAAAGTGAACAAAAAGGATCGAGTTCTGCAGAAGCATCTTCGAAAGAGGTATGGTTATCTGATAACACGCGTGGAACCTTTTATTTATGCCGAAAATACCGAAATTTTTGCTGGGTTGAAAAACGAAATAATCACATGAAATTGCCACTAGGAACATTCGTTACGCTTGTGCCTAGATCTCTATTTTTTGATAACTTTCTAATTCTATAGCAGCTAGACAACCGGGTTGTAGACTCAAACTCAGCACAGATTTGTGGGTTTGAGATGCTGGCCATGAGAAAATCGAATCCAGTCCTTACATTTTCGCTGTTGTTCTCAGAGCTGATATGGGTTTGTTACAGCAAAGTTCTGTTGGATGTAATATTTCGCGTTTTTTGTGTAAAATTTGTATTTTTAATTTTATAGGGTACGAACTCACCTGAAGCTCAGAGGCGGAAAGCAAAAAATAGAGTTAGGTTTTGTTTTTCGATTGCCTGCGCTTTCTATTGCTTCGTTACAGAAAAATCAGAAATCAAATGCGAGTAAATCGAAAGAAGCTACGAAGAAACTGCCAAGCAGCTCGGATTCGGACGACTTGGATAATGAAGAAGGAAAAGGAGATGCGAAAAAGGTAATGATCGTTCTGTTTCTTCAAACAAGCGTTTCGTGGGCTGCAAAAGTAGTGCTCAGACAACTGACCGGAACTTCAGCAGTACGTTTGGGGAAGTTCCGCCGGGTCACCTGTGGAAGTTCCCATTTTCAACGTTTCCGCTGTTGCAATAGTAAACAAAACCCTGCGGAACCGCTGCAAGTTTTGCTTGTCCTGCGAAAGTTCCGGAGAATTGTCCGAGTGACTGCCTGTTCGGAACTTGTAAAAACATGGCTTTAGTGGATATCTGCGGCACACTCCACAACTGTAGATTCTTGACATACTGTACAAGAAGAAAATAAGAGCAATGGAACAGAGTGGGGGTGGAGTAGACGTACGCAAGCTGACATATAAACAATTTATAGCTATTTTTGTCCCGCAACCGTTATAGAGAAACTTTTGGGGCGAAAGCTATAGCTGCCATGCGGGCTTCGTTGCGTGTTTCCTCAACTTGGTCGATTGAATTTACTAAAAAAAACTTTAACAAAAACTAAAACAATGATGAAGTAGTTACGAGGTTCTTTGAGAGTGAAGTGCCCCAGAGGCTTGTCGCCCCCAGTGCTTCTTAGGGTGCCTTCATACTGCGCGGGCAGCCGCCGCTGGCAGCCCGTAGCAGCCGCTGGCAGCCCGTAGCAGCCCACAGCAGCCGCCAGCAGCCCGTGGCAGCCCGTAGCCGCCGCTGGCCGTTTTTGTCATACAAGCGCAAAATCATCAAATTCTTACTATTTTAAGTGCAACCGCCTACGCCCTCCATCCTCCACGCTTATTCCTTCCTGTTGCCGCAGTTTGATCTCATATATCAACATACTTTGTCCGTTGTTGTCATTATCTTGTCACCGTAGATTGGTTATCCTATCGATGCTCAGTTTCCCTCTCGCAATGGAACCATATTTCGCCAAAGTTTCTTCGCAATGTGATTTCTTCTGACTTTGGATGCGTCCAGTTCCTGCAGGTTCCTACTTGTTGATTTTTTTAGGTATGTTCTGCTTCAGTCATATCACATCGGCGTGGAAGATGGAAAGTATGGGCAGGCGTAGGCAAAGGACTAAGAATTTGATAATTTGCGCTTCTATGACAAAGGCGGCCAGCGGCGGCTACGGGCTGCTGGCAGCTGCTACGGGCTGCTGGCGGCTGCTACGGGCTGCTGGCGGCTGCTACGGGCTGCTACGGGCTGCCAGCGGCGGCTGCCGGCGCGGTATGAAGGCACCTTAAAGGCAGTGTCCGGGCAAAAACTCGATTTTGAGATTTTGTGCTTATACGGGCCTATTCGCCATGCTGAATCCAAAAATCCACATTGTAGAGCGCGAAAACGGCGAAAAAGGGCTCTAACACAGGAGGGAAATCAGCAGGTGGGCGAGGCTTTCCCCAGTGCGATTTCACGCTTCCAGCTCCCGGAGCGATTTTTTCGATTCGGCTAGCCGTCCTAACATCGCTACCGGTCAAGTGCGAATGAGTGAATTGAAACCGAAGCGAGAAGGTCGTTCCGGAAGCCGGGAACGTGAATTCGCAGTGGGGAGGACTCCGCCCACATGCTCATTTCCCTCCTGTGTCAAAGCCTTTTTTCGTCATTTTCGCGCTCTACAATGTGCATTTTCGGATTCAGCGTAGCGAATAGGCCCAAGTAAGCACAAAATCTCAAAATCGAGTTTTTGCCCGGGCACTGCCTTCAACTAAAATCAGGGTATTTGTGGGCTGACCTTTTATAGGACTTCTTAGTGAGTCGAAAGACTTGTTGATCCTAACCTAGGATACTTGTTGGATCTAAGCCGACAGGCTTGTGGAGAGACTGTCAAACTGTTCATTCAGCTGCTATTTATACCCTGCGTCCTTAAGTTATAACACGTCATTGTCAAGTGATTTAGTAATAAGCTCGGACACATTAACTTGTGCAGTCAAATTAGAGCCAAGGCACCGATCCACTGATAAGGTGTTCGCATTAACTTGTACTCACTGTTCTTGTATAGGCTACTGCATGACGAAGGCGCAATAACTTGATGCGCGAACGCGGCTTTATTGGCCGCAGAGCGCATGAGTCGCAGGGTTTACAACGGTGAAGATACGCGCGCTCCGCGTTCGCGCCCGCTCAGCTAATACTGCGCGCGCCTTCGTCCTGCAGTAGCCTTAATTCACCAAAATACAGACAATAGAATAAACATCTCACTAATCACTCAGTATAATTACAAGCGAATAAATAAGATCACACGCTATCAAGGTCTCTCATCTAATATACTTTGACTGCATAGAGGTCGTTGGCGACGAATTTAATTTCTTTGTAGACTTTGAAGCATTAAAAAACCTCCTTTTCCATAATTCCAATCCACAACCGTTTATTTGAAGAAAGAAGACAAATCGAGTGATTCTGGAGAAGAAAATGTTAAAAAACCAAGCAGCTCATCGGATTCGGATGAGAATTTGGCAGCGCTGAGAGAGAAGGAGGTACGAATGCCCTGTTTCCATCTATACTTGGTCTGGTTTGAGATAATCTGTAATTTCAGAGAATGAGAAGAGAAGAGGCTAAGAAACACAAGGTTTTATCAAAATCAGCTAAGGTGAGAGTCCTGCATTAGTTTTGTGTTCTCATCCAATCACATTTTTTTCAAAGAAGAAGCATGATAAGGAAGGGTCTGAAAAGTCATCGGATGAGGAAGAAGACGAGACGTCAAAGAAGGTGTGAGCATCTTTCATCTGGTCTTTGCAAGCTTTTTGATTCTGATTTACATACTCTTATTGTTTTTCAGAAATCGCAGAAGAAAAGAGGGCGACGAAAGGAAAAAGAAGAAGTTCCACAGGTTGGTGTAGCCATCAACAAGAAGATGTCATGTGGTTGCGCATAGTATTCCAGCTTATTCCACATATTCCACACCCCTAAATGTCAATTTTGCTTTTTTTCAAGCAAACGTTCTCAGCAAACAGGAGGAGATGGAAAACATTTTCCACATGAGGGGAATCGATAGTGCAGTGCCGCTAATTGTAATGAAAAGACTGCCTTTAGGGCCGGGCATACTTCCGCGATTTCGGTCGCGACACGATTTGGCAATTCGCCAGAAGTCTTCAGATCCAACACTAGCAAACTGCACATGCATAATGTGTATAACTTACGTAGATTGATAAAATGCCCCATCTTCTGTACATTCGCAATGTGCTTACAATGAGTTATGGACAGTTGGAACATTGCCAAATCGCTTCGCGACTGAAATCGCGCGAAGTATGCCCGGCCCTATTGATAAATTCACGCCTCTTGAAATTCAAAATCCAACGAAGGAAAAACTTTCAGGATTATGTTTTAAAGTATGCATCCTGCAGTAGCACTGTAGAGAAGCGAGGATTTTTCACAAAATAATTTTAATATTAGGTCGGTGCAAAAGTTTTGTCAGTTTTTTCAACCCATCGGCAAATACGCTGGAATGAAGATAAACAAACACATCGAAATGTGTCCAATGCAGAATTTCTTCCTCTTTCCAGTGCTGAACACCCACTATGTTCCGATGAGAGAGTGATGAGATATTCGCTGGAGATTGCAAGCATTCGTTTTTACCATGTCCAAGTTTCACTAATTTTCAAAATTTTTGTCTGAGGTTTTCGGAGCAGCCCTAATAACCACCAGATAGGGCAAACCTTTTGCCAACTTGTGCAATTTTTTTCCTTTTTTCAGCTACTATTTCAGATTTTTGCTAAATAATTTTCTAAAAGTACTGTATTTTGGAAAAATCGCATAACTTGTTATTGCACCAATCACTGCAATACCTGCAGAATACCGAGGTTTCAACACTCGATTATTACTACTACTACCATTACAAAGTAAATGAGCGATTTTCGCTCTAAATTATGAAGATTTGGAAACCTAGGTTACGTCAGTGCACACTCCTGAAATTGAGAAATCCTGCAATTTTCCCCAAAAATTTTGCCTGTCTCGGTAAAAAAGACAAGTGTTAGAAGGAGGAGAAAAAGTTGCATCGAATGGTGACTGAATTGTTTAGCATTTTATGTTCCACGAGGTTAAAATAGGCACAATTTGAAATTTGGTCACCTCAAAAAATAAATCGTAGAAATTCTGAAAGACAAGCCGTAGGGCTACGAAAAATTGCTTCTGTTGGCAAAAGGTTTGCCCTATCCGCTGGTTATTAGGGCTTCTCCGAAAGTCTCATACAACAATTTTGAAAATTAGCGAAATTTGGACATGGTAAATACGAGTGGTTGTAATTTCCAGCAAATTTCTCGTCACTCTCGCAGCGAAACGCAATGGAAGTTTAGCAGCTGGAAAGAGGAAGAAATTCTGCATTGAATACATTTCGAAGTGTTTGTTTATCTTCATTCTAGCGTGTTTGCTAATGAGTTGAAAAAACTGACGAAACTTTTGCACCGACCTAATATTTTATACTTCACCACGCTCAGTCAGTTTCCTGAGCTCCCCCATTCGCAGATCTTCTGTGTTTGTTGGCTATCTATTCTTAATTAAACACAACTCAATTCGAGTGTAATTTCTATGAGGTGCAATTTTCAGAGTTCCGCTTCTATACGGTTATCCAAATTGAAGAAAATGGTGATTTTGGCTGGGTTCCGGTGCGTTAGGTAATGTTGCATGCATAACTTAACTGGTTTTCTTCCAGAATTCCGTACAAGAAATTATTCGAAGATGTACCGGACTCCGACAAACAAAGAGTCAAAGCTCTGGAAAAGGAGATGGAGCGGCGAGGACTCACACGTAAGTTCTCGATAAAGAGAAGTACTCTGTTATTTGCTACTCGTTCTCCTTAGCTCCATTCACCATGGAGTCCTGTAAGGCTTTCAAGCTGCACAAAGAGCAAGAAATCGAGCTGGCCGAGCTTTCGAAGAATAGCATAATTGATTTGGGAGAAGAGACACGTGAGTTACATGTGGAACATCTCGACTTCATATTATTTCGGATAAAGAATGTTTTTTTTTGATGTGGCGTCACTTTCTTATAATTTTTTGCTTCAAGTGTAAATTAGGGCTATATGGGTAGAAAAAAAAATGGAATAGCAAGGGTGTCGTAGCAGGTTGGAAAGAAAAGGATGTCGTTTCATAGCAAAGCGAGGGTCGTAAAAATTTTTTTGAGGGGTATTGATAGGGTAAAGAAAGCGCTACTGACTTTTGAACTCTAGCAGAAGCGTGGTTTACGCTAGGTTTACAAAACGTAGGAGCAACTCATGATATCAAACATTGATTTTCGCCCCAAAAAATCCTACAATCTTTCACTTACTCTTGATGTAACAGACATATGCGCTTATCCGTAAGGACGCCTGCTACATTTTTTTGTGCTTAAAATTAAAAAGAAATCGAAGGACTGAAATTGGCAAGCTGCGCCCCGATAGTTTTGGCTCCTCCTTTATAAGCCGTTGTATACCACCACAAACCTTCGAAACTCAATTCGTAAGAACTGATCCTCGAATATGCCCTAATTCTTGAGAAAAAGTTGGTTAGTTGGAAAAGTTGGTTGAAAAAACTGTTGAGAGTAAGTTGAAAGACCGAAAATTGCGGCATTCTTTTCTATCCAGGCTGGTATTTGTATACTGCTCAAAGGGCTTCAACTAAACGGTAGACTAAGCAGCAGTTTCTATAGAAGCGGAAATTTGATTATGAGTTTCAGAATTTTGTGAGTAGACTGATCAGCTTCATAGGCAGGGGGGGGGGGTGGCGAGAGTTTATTTCCAAAACATTTTTATGAGTTGCAACTTGGGCAATGATTAGGGCTCAGCATTAGATGGTTTCTGAAAAATGCAGTAAAGCGAAGTCCTTCTTGACTTTCAAGAATTTTTACGAAGTCCTCTCTGACTTCAAACCCTAAACGTAAAAAAAAACCATCAAAAAACGAGACGTCGACTAAAAAACAACTTCGCAATTGTGTCTTTTCAGCCTCACGATACCCCCTTTGCTTTTTGTCCCAAAACGGTATCCAGCTTGCTTACAAGCCACCTGTGCCGAGCCCTGGCAATGATTTTACTGCAGCTTTTCAATCAAAATCCATATAAGACGCCCAAAAGTTGTTTCTGTGAGCGTTGTCTGGTCATTCTGTGGACACTCGTTTTTTGCAGATGGAAGAATTACAAGACGACAGCATCACGAAGCGTTAGCTCGAAAAAGCCACCGTGAAATCATTTTCGAAGAAAGCAGTTCTGATGAAGACGAAGAAGAAAAAGAGGAAATAGAGCACATGAAAGAAGAAACTCAGAATCTGTTCAAAAATCTAAGAGGCATTGTTAGTGATGATGCGGATTCGGACTGACGTCTAGTTGATCTCGTGACGCTCGCATGGATTGCGATCGTTTTTTTACATAAGAAAAATCTTTCCGACTCTGCATCAAATCTCTGTGTTGTTCAAAATTTTCATGTTTCACTTTGTTTAGGCTCACTTTAGTATTTGTTTTGTTTTTTTCTGTCTTTTTCTATGTACTTGTTTGAGAGTTTGTTAAAATTGACTCGGTCACAAATTTAATTTATCTTGTACCATTGGCTGCAAGTAAATAAAATAAATTGGTTTAATGAGTTATTATCAGCGCGAAAAATGGACTTCATTTACTAGATGGGTGATGAAATCGGCGCTGCTGTCTGAATAGCTGAAAGTACACAAGAAGCCCAGTTTTCTAGTCTAGGATTTGAGATTCGCCTAAACATAAACTCGCACACTCTGCACATGAAAATTTCTTCCTTTGAATTAATCAGTTCCCATTCCTTGACTGGAGAGTACAAGATGTTGTAGTAAGATGAAAATTTTCTCACCGTTCTTTGCGATCGGTAACAAACAACAAATACAAATCTACTGAGTCAGCCCTTTTTCCCAACAAGGAGACGCTACACCCAAGGACAAGGGTTTAGGGACTCCGTGCAGATAAGTATTTTGATCGTTTTCAAAATAATCTAGTCAACCCCCCTTCCTTACTGAGGAGTTCCGGGGAGGGGGGGGGGGGGCTGCTAAACATGCTTCATCTCCGTCTAAGGATAGGAACGAAACCCAGTTTCAATTTTTATTTTTATTTTCTAATTATACATCTGAAGTTCCTTGTCCATAACTTCTAGTTAGTTTAATTGTTGGTGTCCATGTTCTCAGGTGAATCGTAGGTTTTTCACTTGTTGAAGGGATTGTAATGTGGAGGGTTGCTTTTTAAGTTCAAGACATCTTCACAATCAAATCAATAACCTGAAGAATATGCGTAAAACGATGGTGCTGTCTGTTTTCAAAAAATGGAAGTGTCCACATAAATAAATTGTTTGGAATTGGAATCGTTGTCGCGTCTCGCTTTTTTCTTGCTCTTCGCTTTGTTTGCACATTTCCGTACTCGAACTCTCAATTTCAAAATTCGCGGAGTTTTTTTGTTCTCTTATCAACAAAGGTTTGGAGTGCAACAAAATTCGAGAATAAAACTTGTGCCAAGAATCTCGGCTTTGAGAAATTGATGCTATATCGAAACAACATTTGTATCAATATTTTGAAGGATACTCATGTGTGGCTATGCTTGACTCCTCCATTCTAGCTGCATTTGGATGAATCATAATGTACGTTCTTCAACCTAATCTTCGGTTGAAATAAAGAAGGTAAAACTACAGGTATGGCTTATAATCTTCGAGTTACCACATGTTTTCATTGTAAATTTCTAGCGCTTTTCCCTTCTTTCAAGGACCAGAGTCTTGAAAGCATCAAGGAATTAGATAAAGTTGCAGGACATACTAATAATGATGCGACTTCGATGCATACTCTTCCACTTCTGTAACGGCTTTCATAATTCAAGTAGATCAAATTTTAATAGAAATAAGCTCCAGAACGTGTCCGGTCTGACTTTACTCGTACTCGTTACCGTAATCCAGCACCCTGAAGCAATCTGAACTCTCATTGCAACCATCAGCAGATTCATTTCAGAGCAAAAGCAAAATTTGGAATGCGTTTAGATTTGTCAAAGTAAAGAATGTAACATTCTTGCATAGCTAAGATAAACTTCAATTTTTTCTTTCTGTTGTTTTTTTTCTGAAGTTTGTTCTGAAATGGTAAAGAATACTTTTTTTGGAATCTGTAGACGTTATCATGACCCAAGATTGATCAAAACAATCATCCAATCAAAGATTGGAGTCAATATTTTTTGTATGAGAGAGCCTGAGAACAGCTCTAAGTGCCTTTTACAGTTTGTTTTCACCTCTAAAGTATAAGTCTTTATAGCCTTCAGTGCACAATAAGGCGTGCTATTTTCACAGCTAATTCTTCTATTCAGCGCGTCCAAGCCCTACTAATGCTAACGAGTGATTGAAGACATCGGTAACAGAATAAGTAATTCGCTCTTTCGGTTGCCACGATACGCTGCTTCTTCGGATTCTCGTGAGGCTGTTCGGATTATCTCTAACAATGGCTTCATCATTGATTTCAACTCACCTATTATCGATCATTACATCGAAGCTTTTAGTCCAATTCGTGAAAGTCATTTTCATCCTATTCTTTGATGAGAAGCGTACTACACAGATTTCAAAAATTTTCAAATATTCATGTTGATACCATGCGTTCATGGCAGTGGCGTACCCAGGATTTCGGCTCGGGGGGGGGGGGCGACAAAAATTTTTTTCCGATGAAGGTGCGCGGCGTTAGCCGCGCACTCAGAAAAAAATTTTGGTATTCTTCCCAAAATTTTCGTGGGCCCATAACCCCAAAATTTTGGACCCGAAAAAAACTTTTTTTATAAGGCTAAATTGGATTTTTAAAAATTTTTAAAAATTATTTTAATTACTTACAAGTACAAATAAGTCTTTTGCACATTTTTATAACCCATGTAAGTAACTTTCAATAATTTCGCGACCCGTTCTCGGGGGGGGGGGAGCCCCATCCCCCTCGGTACGCCACTGGTTCATGGCTATGATAACTTTTCAGGATAATGCGTACAAAACCGTACACAAGCCCGCTCATACCAACTAGTCACCCGTCATCCACACGGACTCCACCAAATCTTCCTCCCGGTCCAGATACGGTAAGTTTTATTTCCTTCGGCTTACATACGGTGACTTTCTGCGCTCTTTCTTTGCTCTCAATCCAGACACGCTATTTTTCACGTCGTCAAACCCCTCACCCCCGTCCCATCCAGATACGGTAATTTGTTCGGGTCTAGTCTAATTCTTCATATTTTTATGCCTACATTTTCTTTTCGCAGAGGAAAGTAAATGATTTAGAGCTTGTAAGCATTGCAATCTCATTTTTTCTCGTCCGCTCTAACAGATGTTCCATTCTGGTTCTATGTATGATCCTATTTTTAAGCGGGTCCAACAAAATGTTTGTGACTCAGAGTCTTGGATGTAAGTGGTCCTCGCTAGCTCAGATCTCTGATCACAAAAATGCAACTTGTATTCCTGTGATGCCAAGAAAAAATTATTTTCAAGATGATTTAAGCGCAATACTTGTCTCGATGTCTTCCCGGTACATGCGATTCATTTCATATTGATGGTTTGCATTTATTACTAGTGCCATTCACTGATGTTCAGTCATCCTCACTCCAGAAGTTACAAGATCAACAACCCTTCGCTAATTGTATTTTCAAGACTCGTCTCTCAATTTCCATTATGCTATTACATAAAAATTTGTGACGCGCTAACATTATATGAGATTGTCGACCTTTTTTGTTGCTGTAACTACTGACCTTTTTCCTTAATTTAATTACTTCGGAAGCCCATTATTCAACTCCAAAGATTGCATAAGATAAAAAAAATCTGAAATCTAAAAATATTTGAAATATTCCTTTCAAATTTTCTACCTGGAATGCTTTTAAAAACTTGTGACATTAGTCACACATCCGAAGTTTTTTCAAAAGGAAAAGGGCTGGCTGATTATCTGTGAAATTGATGAATATCCTCCAACCTTTCTACAAATTGTAATACTAAGCTGTTAATAAGCATCATTTAGCTAAGTTAATCTCATGACTCATGCGTCTACCCACTTTCATTCTCCGTCCTCTTTCGCGTACCCTTCTCGGGAAGACATCCAACTTCCTTCCCCTTTGTTCTGGCAGTACTCAGGCAGTCTATTGCTAGTTTGGTAATTCCACAAATGTATATAAATCCTCACTACACAAATTAGAAAACCCTTAGGCACGCAGCGGACGCGGACCTCGTGGTGGGGGAGCATCCGGTCGAACACTTCTTGCAGCCGTGTGCAGTGGCGATGCAGAAGAGGTGGCCAAGAAGGTGACCCAACGAAATGTGAAGGTTCGTACTCATCCTTTACAGTTCATGAAATTCTAGGTGCTCTTCAGATCTGCCATCCTGTTACTGGCTGCTCTACGCTTCACTTGGCTGTTCTTCGCGACAAACCGGATATTCTCACAGTGCTTCTTAACGTTAGAAATGTTGACTTGAATGTGACAGACAACGTAAGTTTTGTGTTTATTTTTTCGAAAAACATGTCGACAGTACATTTGCAAAATATTGGCAACTCAACTCGGTACCTTTCCGTTAGTTGGACTAAATTTTGCAAAGAAAGATTTTGCTTTTTCCCTTGCACCCCCCTGACATGTTCAACAGGTCTTATCAAGGACACTCACAGACAATTTACTGGAACTTCCATAGGACCAGAATTTGCAGCGGTTCCGCAAGATTTTTTTTACTATTACAACGGTGGAAAGGCTGAAAATGGGAAATTTCGCGGGATTTTCACATCAGATTGGTTGAAAATGGGAACTTCCGCAGCTATTGTTACAAAGCGCTGGGAAAATCCTAGAAAAAAAAACGCAAGTGATTCCGCAGCATTTTGACCTGCCAGTTTTTGATTGTGTTGTTTCCTAAGATGTTGTTTCTTTAACAAATAGAGTGCATTGTCGAACATGAAATGCGTAGTGCAGAAGATAGTAAGTGAGTCTCACAGTCAATATAGCAGTTTTTAAATTTCACTTAAGTGTTCTCTTTTGCTTTTGTAGTTAGCCTTCGGAATTTCCGCAGCACCTCATTTGGGAACTGCAGCACGTTTACGGAATTTTCGCAGGTGGCCCGGCGGAACTTTCTCAAGTGCTCTGCGAAACTTCCGGTCAGGTGTCTGGGATGATGATCTCATTTTATTCAACAGTTTCAATTCTAACCATCATAAATAGCATCATGTGTCCATGAATACATTTGATCTTCTTAGAACAGAGAGGTGGGTTACTGTTCCCTCATCTAACAACAGGCAATGAAACAAGCCGCGGCCAGGTACTTCGAGCCATCATTTGTATTCTATATATACATACATACATACATTTATTCATCCTCGGCGGTTATATACAATGAATACCACGATGATATCTTACTTGGCTTGAGTGCATCTTCGATTCCGATTGTCTTCGATGACAAGAATCTTCTTGCTTGTACCAACCGGCGCATTCTTGTGACATCGCGATCTTGGTCCATAACTTCTCGACCAAGTAGACGCAGTGGACCAGCCACGGTTTCCTCCACCTTGTCTTCTTGATCCTATCCTTGGTGGACGGTATAGGCCAGAGCTAAAGCTAGCCGACCGTTTGCGGGAAGGATGAGGAGAGAAGTGATTTGTATTTGATTTGTATTCTACTTGACTAAATTTGCTGCGGGTACAACGAATATGGGGTGATAATTTTGAACATTGCTGACAGCGACCAATCTTGATAGACTTCTAGGATTGTTTTGCTATTTAAGAAAAAACGCCACAGTTGGGTCATTTCTTGCTCTCTTACCTTACCGAAAATGATTTTGAAAGAAACATTCGATGTGTGCCTGAACGTCTTAAGTTTTATCCTGACATAAGCCAGTGAAGAAAAAAATTTCCTAGGCTAAAAATAGGTTAGGATAACAGAAAAATACCCTCAACTCTTCTTTCAGCCTTTTTATGCGTGGATTCCTCTGGGTCAATCATGCTAGATTATGATAAATTCTTGAGAAGAGCAAAACATTGGTCGAGATAATCCATTCCAATTTCAGGCATAAAGAAAACATCTGAAGACTTCCCCTTATGATACTGTAATTGCGAATTTTAAAGCAGCGCTATGAAAAATCATTACCAATTTTTCCATAATCAGTGCATAGCTTCGCTAATCCCGAAAACTGCATAAAATCTTCGAAATCGAAAACGTGATGATTCTAGGATTTGTAGAGTGAAATGTGGATGGGTGCGCAAAACTGCCTGAGAATGATCTAGCCTAGAAGGGAAACTTTGTCGGCTTTTGGATGTTTCGTATCAATATTCTCGAGCTTTATAGATTTTTAGATGGTAAAAAATTGTGATTTTATGAAAAATACGCATTTTTTTACATATTCAAAGAATGGACAGCAAGAAGCGAAACTTCCTCTCTTCTCTCTTCTCTTGCTTTGCTTAGGGTACTTTTTTCTTGTCTAATTTAGGAAGGTCGGACGGCCTTACACTACGCAGCTGCTCGTTGCTCACTAAACGGAGATCCGACTATGTACTACATGCTCATAGAGAAAGGAGCGAAAGACGACTTGCCAGGTTAGACTGTATCTCATACAACCTCAAACCAAGGAGAAAGAGGAAAGAGAATTTTTATTGGAGATAGGAGGTGACATCTTTTCCCATCTATCGCCAGGTCAAAGCTATAGACTAATTACAAATTTTCAATTGAAAGCATTGCGGCCTGACCTGCTTGTTGTTTGAAATTACTGTGCTGATTTCTGGTTTCTTAGGCTGCGTTCAGAGTTGCCCGTGCCAGCGCTGTGCTGGCGTCCAACTGGGTTCCGTCACGGCGCTGGAACAGCGCTGGCGCAAATCTGGGCGCAGCCTTGCGCAAGTTGTCAGGATAAGTGTAGGTCATCTCGGCAGATTTCAACATTGGTTATTGATGGTAGGGGTCATTTCACGCAAGATCTAGAATTTCTTTTTTATCTGATTCTAATCTTGCCATTTACTATTTGAATAGCAGTATCATTCAGATCACGAAGGATTCACAGCTCTGGATATCCATCAGAATCCTGAGCTCATAGACCTTGAGAGAGCTCGTTCACAGAACAAATGTAGGTGCCATTTTTTGCACCGTAGTCATTTTGTATTGAAAAAACAATATCTGCGAAATCAATAGTCCTATCGCTATATAATTGTCAAAAAGGCTATTCTTCTTTTTTAATCCTTTTGAGCAAAAGAGTTCCTGATTAGAGGATCTCACCCAGAATTTTATTTTAGCGATACGAACTTGGTAATGAATCTGCAATGATTGTGAGGTAGTTTTTAGATTCCACGAGTAGCGAATTAGTTTTTGAAAGTGAATACACAAAATCGAAAATGGAATACTGCTTTCATAACCAACCCTTCTATTATACTGCTTACATAATCAACCCCGTCTATCTCGTATTCTGTAAGGCTCAAGACCGTAAGCAGCTTTTTTTCGCTGAGCTGTTTACAGCTCGTTATATGTTCTCACTAGCTGGTGACAGAACTGTCGAAGAAGATGTATTCAGACCCGTACATTATGACAAACGAATGGGAAAATCTCTTTTCTACCCAGTCAGAAGAAACGCTGACTGATATGATATTGCAAGGTGAACTGGACCTCTCTGGTGCACCACCTCTGCCCCAGTACGAGGAGATGTTCGGTAGATTGGCACAAGTACAGGTACTGTTTTGTTTGTATTTCTAATCAATAATAAATTATTAACAAGGAAAAATATCGTCTTTAGTTGGCGTGGTAAATTTGCAAAAGCATGGAAAGCTCGAACCGTTTGAAGCCTGACAAACGTAGTATTCAGTTTTGCTCACTGAACCATATCTATCGTGACGAATTTGTGATGTTTTGACAGTTTTCGCAGTGTTATGCTTACAGAAATTTTCGCAAATATCAATGTTCAGAAGAAAATCAAACCTGCTCAAGTTTGATCACTTTTCAGAAGTCAAATTGGTTCCAAAAATTACTCATTCATTCTATGTTTTTGAGCGCTGCGCCTTCTCATTGTCAGATCAGAATAGCGATACCATTCCAGTTCATACCGTATCAAACCAATAATTGTTGTCTGTCTAATCAATTTTTTCTTAATTGCTCATTTTCCAGAAACTTTGCTTTCTAAACATTTTGTAGAAATTTTTACTCCTAAACAAGCTTACTTTTCAATATTTGAAAGTAAGTTTCACAGCCCCTCATCCTTACTGAGAAGTTTCGGAGAGGGTTTCTAAATACTTTTACTCCGTCTAAGGGCAGGAACGGAACGAGGCTTTGTGGTTGTTGCATATAGAGAATTAAAATTGTTTCTTTATTACTATTGAAAGAAAATAAACACTGATGAGAATGTCTAGAACAATTGAGACCTAGTGGCTCAAGTAGTAATGGTTATATTTTTTGTTGCTACAGTTATGCATTTTAGTTAGCTTGTGCAAACATTGCAATCTTTCTTCATCGCATGATACATGGAGCTCGATTGATTGTTCCTTATTATACTCTTTATAAAAGTGTTTTACACGTATTTGGAATGGTTTTGACCGTCATTGCAGGCGAATATGCTAGGCATTTGGGATGCGGTTATGGCCGAAGACGAGAAGACTCTGAAACAGCTTTTGTTTCGAAAAGAAATGGCCCTAAGTAAGGACTCAGAAGGGCGGACCCCTCTACATCTGGCATACAAGTAAACCATTGACTATTACCTTTAATAAATGCTCTTTGATACCTTATTGAGACATTTTGCCCCTGAAACCACTTAGCTGAACTGGAACTAAAGAATTTCCCACTATCGCAACATTTCCGGATCCTCTTTAGGTCCACATAGGAATACAAATACAGACGATATCATATAGAATTTCTCATCGTCCAGGAGCACGTTTTGAACAACGTCAAAAACTTCTCATTTGTTTTCAGAAGAGGCCATCAACCATGTATTGACTACCTGTTGAAGCTATGCCCGGAGGCGGAATTGGTCTTCGACAAGGTAAGATTTACCATATATAAAGAAATCCGGTGTAAATTTTGTATGAGATTCCTATCACATCTGATTTCTGTTTGACAGAGTTGCACTGCCTCAAAACCAGAAAAAAATGTTATTTAGCAAGTCTATGGTTTGGGCACACTTTCTACTAGCAATACTTAAAGTCCTAATACTGACTCAGATCTTACGGCAGTTTTTTATTACCTGCACATTTCAGTAGGGCTAGAGTAAAAGTCATAGCTTAAAAGGGAAGAATATTTTTGTACTGTCTTTTGCAATGTGATTTATATCGGTAGCTGCGCCTTGGAACGCTGATTCCAGATCTGTGTTCAGTATCTGTTGTCTGACTCTCTAAATGAAGTTATGAACTTTTTCCTCATATTGATTTCACGAGATCTAGGCAGTCAGGATCGTTAGTATCTAGGCCTTTTAGACTCGAATATATCGGAGACAGTTGTCCTGAGCTTAACGTTGAGCTTTGCTTCATTTGGACGCTGTTTTGTAGTGCTTAAGTGACTAAACGATATTAATGAATCCTGTTATTAAGGCGGTGCAACTTTTGATGGCAAAAAATGTTCATAACTTCTTTCGGAAGAGCGCACAGTAGATAAATAGCAAAGGCTGACTTGGGTCACGGTCACAAGTATCTTCCCTTGTTAGCAGGGCTCGGCACGAGGTGGCTTTTCGAGAATGCAAAAAACGAAATCTCCCTTGATTTTCGCGAATTTTTACGAAGTCCGGTTCGACCCTAAACCCTAATCGTACGAAAAACGCTTAAAGAACCAAACTCCAACTAAAAAACTTCACAGTTTTTGTGTCTTTTCGGCAACAAAAATGATATCTCCTTTGCTTTTTGTCCCAAAAACGATATCCAGCTTGCTTACAACCCACCCTGTGCCGAGCCTTGCTTATTTTCACCTTGTCAATCTTGATGAGACTCTCCTTGAGAATCTTTTGCGTACTAATCAAGCAGTATTCAAATCATTCTCTCATTTGATTCACTTATACCCTAATGAACTTCAGAAAGGACGCCTTCCCAAGGATTACGCAGCAAAAGCTCCGAAACTGATTCCGGTAAAACTACAAGAGCGAAGGGTGGGTTTACATTTCTACTGAGATAAGTATACTTCTTTGTAAGGGCTCACATCTATGTGAATTTTTCGAAGACCCCCTGTTTTGACTTATAAATAAGCCCAGACATAGTCGATACTTGAGAGAGTTATGCTTTGACGAAGATGCATTAATCAATTGCTTAGAGCGGCACATCATAACATAAAATGAGCGATGTGTTATGTTAATCTTAATCCCCTCTTAGCTCTAATTGAGACATCGTGGAAGCGATGCCTTGATCGACGTGGTTCGCGGAAATTGAGAGGATGCGGCGAGAGACTCTAGGTTCTAGGACCCTCTTATCAACTTCTTGCGTTCGTAGTAAGAAACTGGTTTTTCACACATTACCTGCGAAATAGCTCAAAAAACAGATTTGACATTTGACTTTTGGTAATACTTATCGACTTTAGGTAAAAAAGTTCGGACTGTAACCTCTTTGCACCTAAAAAGACTTTATTTAGACAATAAATTCATCCGACTTCTGAATTTTTGCAATTTAATAGCTGTAAATATTCTAAAATGAACAGAGATTAGCGGAAAGTGATCCACGTTTATAGTTTAACCAAAATTTATGATGTTTTTCGTGAAGTCATTGTGCACTTTTGCTATATACGAGCTCTCAGGAAAAGCCAAGGAAAGATTTTCCTTCGCGTAGAGGAAGCCTCTTTACAAGGGATGTATACTTAATGGCCCTGGCCATTTGACATAAGATGCACATTATCTAAAGCACTTGTGAACCTACATTTTGTTACTGGGAAACACGCCCCTGATAGGATTTATGGAAGTCTGAAAATCATGTTTTTGGGTATTTTCCAAGTTTGAGGACGCTCTATGCATGTTAGTGATGTAGCGGTTAGCATGCTGGTAGATTTTAGCGCTATGTGTCGAATACAAATACCAGGGCTCGGCACAGGTGGCTTACAAGCAAACTGGATATCGTTTTTGGAACAAATAGCAAAGGGGGTTTCGTTTTTGCGGCCGAAAAGACACAAAATTTGTCTCGTTTTTTTAGTCGACGTCTCGTTTCTTGGAAATTTTTTAGGGATTATGGTCTAAGGTCAAAAGGGACTTCGTAACAATTTGCAAAATTCAAGGGGACTTCGTTTTTTGCCCACCTCGTGCCGAGCCCTAATATAAACAGCACAAGCAATGTCACCCTTCACCAGTATCTTTTTCGCCAAATATCAGTGGTCTGTATGATTTGCTAATCAGCTCCATCAGTACCAAATGCTGCTTTATTTGTAGTGAAATGGTTATTATCTTGATCTGTGTAAATTATACAAAATATCATTGTTTTCTCTTCTAACAATCCACGCTTGTAAATTATCCTTCTCTTGGCCGCTACCTACACGTATTGTAATCTCATTTCTTTCGTGCCTTGTTTTTGCGGAAGTGAACACTGACAAGAGTTATTCTGAACCGGCTTATCACAACAATGCTATGGATTCATGCGATTATCTCTCTGCTCATGCTCTCCTTAGCTCTGTATCGAAGACTTAGCTGAGGCAAATGTATGTTCACTACTGCAAAAACTCATTACGCAGTTTTTACGACTTTTCCCATCATGAAAGTACGTTGATAGTCGAAAGCTGCCTTTTTTTATCAATCAAATAGTTGAAGGCACTTCCCAAATCTTTGTTTATCATTAGAAACAATAGAATAGAAAAAAGGCAAAAAGCAAAAGACTGCAAAACCACATGAGGCAATTCCAGACCAATCACATTGTACAATGACATGCCAACTAATACTTTCAAAGACGCAGTCGACACCTGTATCCTCAATCATTGTTTGTCCCCAAATATTGCAAAAAGTTAGCCAAATGCAAGATTTCGAAGTCCAGTTGCTACAACCTATGTTTTTTGATGTGAACAACAAAATTGAGTGAAAAATAGCGACAAACTTTAGAACTAAAAACAGCATCAAATTATTTTTTATTAGGTGTCGACTGCTGAGATAAAGGAACATAAAATGAGGTACATACCCTTTACTTTTCAATTAATCTGATGAGATGCAATCTGCACACGAATTTGGAATTATAATGTTTCCCGCATTGCAATATTTTGGTGTATATCTAAAATAAACACAACAATATTTTGATGTATCCATTTGAACCATAAGTGTGTAGTCAATGCCAATTCCTAATGGTGTTCACCCCCCCCCCCCCCACCCTCGGCATCCACGATGAGACTCCAACTAATATATTATAGTTCAAAAGACATGGATCGATAGCGTAGCAGCGACGGTCCGAAAATTTTTCCTTCAGGGAGCTTGTTTTTCATTTTTTTTCTACTAGAAGTAAAAGTCTTATTTCCTTTTGTCTTCTTTAGTCTTACTTTCCCTCCCAAAGAATTTTCCAGGCTAATTGGAATTCCAAAAACCCCGAAGTATTCATTTTACAAGCACAATAGAAATAGAAATGGTGGTAGTGTTGCATAGAATTGTAGTTATGTGTGGATGCATGCTTTGAAAACCAATGTGTGAGAAACTTTCATAGCCTCGTCTCCTTTTCTCACTTGGACGGTGTATAGGATGTCTGGGTTCTTCGTGGAACTCTTCATTAAGGAGAGCCCATGGGATACTCTTTTATTTTTTGATTCTGAAGTGGTTCCAATAAATATCCGTTCATTGGTTGAGGCTATACAAGTCAATTTGTATAGTTCAAAACCCATGAACGACTTCGAAAAGGGGCGTCAATTTTGAACACATACGTCTCAAAAAATGGCATACACAGCGTTATATCTGACTGACTGTCCTACCTTTGACACTCTCAGAGGTAAGGCTTATGGCATTCAACTAGTTATATTATAGGGCTGACGTCAATTAAAAGTGACAACAGAGTAATTATCACCCTTTCTTTGCTACTGTAGAAAAAGGTAGGAGATTTGAAATAGCGGCTTCCCTGCGAATGGTGTCATTTCAAAAATTTGCGATAGTAATAAATTCTGAGAAAGGCTTTAGCCATTCTCGGCAAAATAATTTTGTACAAATCCGTAAAGCAATTTGGATGGTCTGATTGCGTTTTGATGACTATCGGGAGAATTTTGTGGTATACATACCATAAAATATACCAGCAAACCTCGCTGAAGTCAGTGCATATGCCTATATGTGCAGTAAGCGAACCTAATTCGTATCCAGTGTTCTTTCGGACACTTTCGGGGCACAATACCTGCTCTTACTAGCTCCGTGATCGTATAGCACTGAAGAGAGATCGTTGAATTTGGATAGTCGGAAACACAAGTGCCGGTCTAGTGTACTGTCTATGCTACTGAGGAAAACCTTGAACAGAGTGCTGCTGTATTTAGGCTGATTGATTCATGTAGCAGTCGGAAAGACAAGAGAAACTCTTGCACTGACGATTTTGACCTTTCGTATGATGTTATTAATTCTTGGAGAAAAATCATGACTATTAGTTGGTGCAAAAGTAGTGCGCGTTGTCCGAGCTCTCACTTTGACGTGTTATAACTTTCTAAAAGATCTACATTTTTCAATGCGTTAGAAAACATTAAACGCACCAAACTTAAATATGCGCACATCACCCTATACTCATATCGCCAAAGGGCAGAAAAATATGGATTGATAAGCAGAAAAAGTTTTTTTCTGAAAATTCATCTTTAACTAATCATGACTTTCTTCAAAATTTGTTAATATAGATAATAAGTAGCCTATCTTGTAGGCGGAAGTCAGTAGTATAAGAAAGTTGAAAAGGGCTCAAACAAAGAGGATTTGCGAAAAGGAAAGAATTAAATTCAAAATTGTCCGCTATTTTGCACATTTTTTCGCAGGCATAAAAATCCCAAAATATGGAGTCTTTTTTTGATTTTCCGCGTAATGAACAGCTACACAATTCTGTAAGAACTATCAGTAGGAGGTCCATCCTTATGCTTACAGAAACGAGCAAAGCTTTGGCGATTGCCCTCTTCAAAGGAAATTTATAAGTCACAACTAATCAGAATGGCTGCCCATGAGGCGTCGAAATCTCGGTCTACGTAATTTCTGAGAAAATAGCAAAATGTGCATAATGTAGATAATTTCCATTAAATACAGTAGCTAGACTTTCAAAAGTTTGCCTTTATTCGGGCTTGATTTCTGGCCAGAAAAGTAAAAGCAATCAAATTTTGGTTCGAGTGCGGTTGTGTGAAGCTCTATTATTTTTTAACTAATGAAGCTAGAAGCCCGTTTCAACCACCATTGGAGAGAGAATGAAAAGTTTTTTGGCAGTTTGCTAAGTTTTTCGCAGAGAAGTAAGTTTGATGGAGAAAAGTTGTTTTAGAACAAGGGCTAGAAAAACGCGCATTACCAACCTAATACATTTGGGTATCGTTCCCTAGTTATGGAAGACACTCTGTACAACAGTTATCAGTGATTTTACGTCTCTTTGACTAATTCGCTTTGTAATGGGCAATGATGTACATCAAGAAAATCGACCCCTCTCTGACACTTCATACCAAAACAAGAAGTGATGCTTGATTTGTAATAATACCATTAATGGAGGCTCAGCATCGGACCAGTGTTGGAGCCGTTTCTCTTTGGGATTTGGACTGTTGAGCTTCTTTCTTAATTCTTTTAACAAGGGAAGGACACTTCGTCAAAGTGGTGTTTTTTTATGAAATGTATACTGTCTTATAGAGCTTGGAACGCTGCTTCCAAATTTGCTCTCGGTATTTGCGAAGCGCTTCTGTTAGAGGAGTTATGGATAATTTTTGAGATATAAAAATGCAATGGTCTGGCTAAGGTGAATACAGGATTTGAGATCTTTCCGGCATTTGAAAGGAGAATGTCTAGAACAAGTTTAGTAGACCGAAGGCATTCATCGCATAAGCGCCCCAGCAGTGATTCTGGTCCCATTTGAGCTCACAGGCTACTGTTCTGAATGACTTTATTGTGGACGTGCATTGAAAATTTTGCTTCAAAAATTCCGTAACTCCTCTACCAGGAGCGCTTTGTAGAAACCGAAAGCAGATTTGGAAACAGCGTTCCAAGCTCTATAGGACGGTATACATTTCATGAGAAAACACCACTTCGACCAAGTATCCTTCCCTCGTAAGTACCAAACAACAAGTTTTGCATCTGTTGCTTTTCGCCTAATTAGTGCTAGCGTATGTTTAATGCTTGACGCTACTTTTCATGTCGCTGAGAATTTAGGAGTCATTTCAAACAGGCATTTTCTTATTTCTACATTTTTGAAAAATTTGCGAATCCTGGAGAGAGTCTTTGTAATTTTTTCCTGGAATTTTTTTTCTAAATGATCACAATTCAAAATGATGATTATTCCTCACTACTCGCTTTTTGATGCATTAGTATTGTATTACGTTGTTACATAAGTCTTGTTACACTTTAACTTCCTATGGCGATAAATCATGCACCTCATATTCTTTACAGGGCTCCAGGGTACCATTCGATAGAGCAAAGCAAGCTCCACAAGATGGCTTCCAAACTTTGCACCAGCTTCGACTCACCGTAAGTTTGCACCCAAAAACTGAATTACTGAAGGCGTAAAAAATCGCAAAAAATTCATATCTTTGTCCAAAAAATCCTACGAATTTCCAACTTGCTCATAAAAGTTGCGCACTATATCAGACACACACTACCGTTGCCATGTTTCTTCCTTATCTAGAAATCGAGAAAACCAAAAATTTTTAGTTTTTACACAAACGCAATTATGTTGTTTTTATTCATGTAGTTGTATACTACAAGCTCTGAGAAGTATAACCCTAAATTTTCAGCTTTCCAGAAGCCCTAGTTTTCGAAAAATACCAAATTTGGCTTCTCTCACTCGGGTGTTCAATGCTAAATTAGATAATTTCCGAAAACTAGGGCTTATGAAGAGCTGAAAATTCAAGATTATATTTTTAAGGGCTTGTATATACAGTTACATGAATAGAAATAGCATAGCTTCGTTTTTGTGAAAATCAAAAAATTTTCCTTTTCTCGATTTTTAGATGAGGAAAAAATACAGCAACGATACATCTGAGTGTCTGATATAGTATAGGGCAATCTTCATGAACGAGTTGGAGATGCGGAGGATGTTTTTGAACAAAGACATGAATTTTTCGCGATTTTTTGAGCCTTCACTACGACTCAGATTTTGGATGCAAAGTTATAGTGGGTCGAAGTTGGTGCGAACTTTTGCACATCATCTTGTAGAGCTTGCTTTGCTCTATCAAAGGGTATCCTGGAGCCCTGTAAAGGATATGAGGTGCATGACTTATCGCCGTTAGAAGTTAAGTGTAACAAGATTTATGTAACAATTTAATATTTACAGCAGGTGGCAAGAATGATATGCTTTGACAATGAATATATACTTACCGCAAACCTGTTGCGATATTGTCTGCAAAATAATTGTTTGAACCCCTTCAAGTATAGCTTTTTGCCAAACACCTTGACAATCATTCACTTTCAGTAGAATTTCTGTCGATTTTATACATGGAAGATGAAATTATGGGAAACGTCTCACATGCACTCTTTTTTGTCCATTTCCTGCCTATCGGGCGTTACCAGCCTTTTCCCGATAATCTTCAAGAATCCACATTCGCATCGTTGCAAAGCCTAGCAGCAGCATGTCTGAACTACCACTGAAGTTACAGGGCTCAAGGACTCGAGTACTCCATCAGTCCAGATTTCATCACGCGCATTCAGAACCCAGACTAATGAAGTGAGTGGATTTGCCCGCGTTGAAGCAAAATATTGATCTTACTGTTTTTCGTTCCGCTTTTTAGGGCGAAAGCACCACAATTAGGGTTTTCAGTCGATCTCGATGAGACTATCGCCGATCGTATTCTCAACATCGACTTCAACAGCGAAAATTTCGATGTTGGTTGTCTGAAAAGCAATAATTAATTTTGGTTCGATTTCTATAATGCGAATTTAGCCTTAGATTTTCAGGTGCTGGAACAGATTCAAATGGAAGGAAAAGCTGATCAAATATGGGCAACAGCACGAAGAAATCCGAGTAATGAGCCTCTGAACAGATACATAGCGGATTTTAAAAGTTTGCAGGTGAAAATCTTTGTGATAATTTGATGTGCATTTCACAGTCACCTTTTAGGTGTTCTTATTAAATTCTAAATGAGTTAATGATATCTGAAATACACTTTGAAACTCTCCTCATTTTGGAAATCAGTCAGAAAACTTAGAGCATTTCATGGTTATCTGTTTTTTAGATGGCCCTCTGGTGTCGTTGATCAATTAACGACCGCGTTGAGAAAAGAATAAAATAAGACTTCAGCTAGGAAAACATTTTCATCAACAATTATTACTCATATATGTATATAGACTCCCAATTTGATAGTATTTTTATCAAAAAATTCTTACCTTCTTCTTCAGCTTCGTCTCAGCTCTGCGATTGATGCTGTAGAGAAGAACAACATGAAGCAGCTTCGCCAAATAAGCGATGACGATGTGGTCAGAGCTCGAGATCCAAGAGGTAAGCCATGTTGTGCCTATTTCTGACAGCGAAACTAGAGAGTAGTTCAGCAAATTTCAGTTCCGCACTTTTTTTTCGTAAATTATCGTATATGCCAAGAATTCCGAAATTTTTTGGCTCACAAACCCCAATCACTCGCATTTCACCCTCAACCTAAAGGCGACATTACATAACGTAGCACACTTGCTTCAATCGATTCAAGCTATAAAGCCTATAGCTATATGAAGAGCAGGAAAAATATGATCGATCACCAGAGAAATTTAGAAAACATCTTTTGAATCAATATTCACCTACCCACAGGAAAAATCATGCCAAATGTTTGCAAAAGACCAGAATTTTCTACTCATAGTAAGTAACCCTTTATTTTTGTGCCCGAGAACTATCTAAAATAGATATGTACCTCATCTCCATAACGACAACCACTACAAACATTAGGCATTTTCAAAACTGTGACACTGTGGCTGATAAAAGGAGAAAACGTGCTCTAGTCAGATTTCGTAAAAGGCAAGTAAAATAAGCTACACCGTATCTGCGAAAGGAGTTTCGGTTATATGGTTTGGAATCGGTAAGACTTTGCAGAATACGACCAGAAGCACCGCAATCGCTAATATTGACTTTCTCAAAAAATCATCAAAATCACAAAAGCATGCTGTCGAGACTCCTCTAAATAGTATGATTATTTCGAGGTATGCGATTGTTGCATGTTGCTGTGCTGAAGGAAAGACACGAAATGGTCGAATTCATCGCTACCGAGTTTCCTCAGGCAATCAATCTGCCTGACCAGGTAGGGACCATCACCTTCCCCCTTCCTTCTAGTTCCCCAGAAATCTGTGTTTAGGCTGGCAGAGCACCAATTCACTACGCAGCTGCTCAACCGAATGCTATCTACGACACGCTGATAGACCTCGGTGCCGATCCTCGCATCACGGATACGGTCAGTGGTGTTAGCGTAGCTTAATCTGCCCCAGGGGTAAAAATAAACGTCATGTGAGCAGCTGAGCCCCTTACGTGGCTAAGCGCCTATCACGCATGAGAGTAAAATCGCCTTAGCAGTTCTTGCAACACAGAAATTCTCGGTACTACGACTGTTACAGTAGAGCGACATCGGTGACGTGCCGGGATTCTACTATTATTCAATCATTTCTTGCTTTTCTTTGATTCTTCAGATACATGAGCATTTAATGCGTCCTATGTCACTTAAACATTCATTGAATTCTGGGAGAAGATTGTATATAATTATACCAAATCTCAAATGTTTGTGAAAGCGGAATAACCTCCTTCGCCTGCTCAGCCATCTTATCTCATGCAACTGGCTAAAATCCAAAAATTTCTTTCCTACAGCATCTGTAATGTAACACTGAAGCATACCGTGGGGACAATAGAGAGACCAAAAAGAACTGCTTAGCTTTCCTGCTCGTAGCTTTCCCTTATTTTATTACAACTGTACATCACGTTTTAGATGTTCTCCAGAGCGTAGCTTGAGAGGGAATATTGCGGCTGTCACATCTGTATTTTTCATATATTTTCTTTGAAAAGAATTCCTTTTGTCCTCTTCTTGTACAATTCAAGAACGTCCCAGAGCAAATTGTTTCACTCAAGTGACTAACAAGGGAAGATTAATTGATGACCGTGGCCATTCAAAAAATTGTAAATCAAAAATGCGCCTTTGTATGCTGGTTCGAAAACTGTCTTCTACAGTTGCGCAACGATAACCTGAATGGAATTATGATTATATTTACAAGAATGAATTACGCCGTTGGAGACGGTCAAAATCATCAATAAAAAATTTTCATTCCTTTTTCAACTGCTAAATAAGATTTAGAAAGTTATAAATACAACAATAGTCCGTCTAAGATTTTTAATAGCATCTAACGGTAAAGTAGAACAAATTTGGTGATTTTAATCATTCGAAAGTGTGCAAAATTGCAAAAAATTCATAACTTCCTTCAGAAGACCGCTTTGCAGATATCGAGCATAAATTAAAAGCAGCTTCGAGACGCATCTTCTGATATACATCTCATTTCAAATGCCCACAGTCACCAAGTATCCTTCCCTTGTAAGAGTATATATCCTAACTGTAAGTTCAAAGCAGTGAAAGTCTATACATGATAGTTTTCGTTGGATAACTGGCAAACTATTCAGAGCGCAAGTCATAAGTACATCGATCACAGAAATAAACTCCATTCGCATTACATTGATGCACTCTCTTGAGCGATAGAGATGTCCGTATACTACTGCTCCCTTTATTTTTCAAAATGATTTCAAGTGTAGCTTGCATGCCATTTGATTTTCTGTAGCGTTAACAATTTGCCAGCTCAAACTAGCAATAAAAAGAAAGATAGTTTTATATATTTTTACTCCGTTTCGTCCCTTTCCTTGGACGGAGTTTTGAGATCTCCGGGACTCTTCAGCAAGGAGAGAGGGTCTAGTTTTGTTTTTCAAAAGATCCAAGCATCTTCAGTTCTTTTTTAATTTAAACTAACAATTCGAACCCTACAAAAGAGAAGAAACCATTTATTTGTATCATATTTTCATCACATGGCTAATCTCTAAGGAATCGAATATCCGCTTTGGTATTAGTGCAAAAAGATGAACTGAAGGTGCTTGCGTGGAAATCTGTTATCAGGAAAGTGCAAGCTCCACATGTCGATTAATCTCAGAGCGTGAGCATACATCATTTCTTAGCTTCTAATGGAGTGCTGCATTATAGGAATGCTTTTTTCTTATCGAATATTAATTAAGTTTAGTCTGTCACTAGTTAACTGGCAGGAAGTTTGCGTATCAACAAGTACTATTAGAAAGTGGCAAAACCACGAAAATATTGCTTTTCTGAAAGCAATATGCTAAATTTGAGGTTCCGAAAACTAGCGCCGTAGAATGGTGAATGTTTATGGATGTACTGCATTCATTTGGGAGAATCTCTGTCCAGACAAGACATCCTGCTCACTGAAACTTCCGCAGAACGTTTACGGAACTTCCGCAGGTGATACGGCGGAACTTTCTCAAACGTTCTGCGGAAGTTCCGGTCACTCGTCTGAGGTAAGCTGTCTAAATTCTTAACACATTAACTTCGACAAATTCACCTTTTCCCTTTCTCATTGCGAACGAAACATTTTTCGCTTCGGCAAATCAAATCACCTGTTGTCCGCACTATCTCTATGTTGATAGAATTTCCAAATGAGTGCAGGATTTATTCCTATAAAAACTACTCAGTTCACTGGCTCTGAATATGACAAAACCGTTTTGCTAAAGTGCGACATGGTGAGATTACGGTAGGAGACCAAAATTACGAATTTGATTGAAAATCCATATTTGACAGCTTAAACAATTCACCGGAACTTTCGCAGGAAAGCAAAATTTGCAGCGGCTTCGCAGGATTTTCTTTAATATTACAAACGTGGAAATGTTGAAAAGGGAAATTCGCAGTGCTTTTTACAAACTGAATAATGTCAGCGGTTCCGCACCTTTGATCTGCCAGTACTTCCGCAGGACTTTGAAATGTGATCTCCTACGATGTGGTCTCGTCAACAACTAAAGTGAAGTGTTGATTATGTCATCCATATTTCTTGCTGAGGTGTTCTCTTTTGCTGTTGTGGTCGCACTCTTCGGAACTTTTTTAGCACCTTATTTGAGAACTTCCGCAGCACGTACGGAACTTCCGCAATGAGCCGGCGGAACTTTCCCAAGCGTTCTGCGGAAGTTTCGCTCAGCTGTCTCGGAGTATGTTAATTATATATCGTTTATCACTTTCATTCAAGATGATATCTGTGCGTATGGTAAAGCATGGTAAAAAAAGCAAAAGACTGTAACCAGGCTAATCCTACTCTCAATCTTTTTTTTCTCAAGTTTCCACTAAAAAAGCGGCAAAGCACCAACTGTACCCTATGTGCACGCTTTTATCATTGGCATGAAGCAGGAAATTTGATTACACAATTTTTGTTACGAGAGCATCATGAATTGAACTGCTAATAAAATTCATATAATACGTTCTCCGGAAATTCGCCCCGTCTTACAGACCTATCCTCAAATTGTTCGATAGAGAAGATAGGCTCTCAAAGCTCTAAATAGCATTCGCTGCAGAAGACCTTCCTCTTTCTAGAGTTTTGTTCCGAGATCCTTGGTGGTTGCTTCGAATAATTGTCACTTCCAACCCGTGGTTTTTCTTACCTTTTAACTACTTTCGGAAATTTTCGCATCAATTTTTTGGAAAAGCTTTGACAACAGTTGGATCGAGTAAACAAAGTGCATAGTGCATTTTTAGACATCTGCAGCTGGCTTTTCGAAATACTTGAGAATATTTTTTGATGCTAACCTGAGTCATCACGACCTTAAAGAGCATCAAATATGTAGCGGCATTCCGGCACCACAGCAATGCATGTTCACAAATATTTACTTTTCTGGTTTTTGGGATACCGATTAGTTGGTAGGCAGAAACAGGCAATACCCCCAGTTTTTAGAGATTAGTATTTTCTTACAAATATCTCAATAATGAATTGATGCTTTTGAATAACAACCGAAAAATAGTGACGTGCTTCATAAACAGCATTAAGACAGTTTCAACAACTCTGTAAAAATGGCTCTCTTAGCTCAAGCCAATCATTTTCTTTGATGTAAAAAGGCTTTCACTGTTTCAATGCGCTATATTATTTTGGAGCGAAATAAGTAAATAAAAAACCAGCAAAGTTTTGTGAGTGGTAGTTCATTACGATAATAACTCATTGCTTTGATGAGATTGGTTTCATCAACATAAATTATGTACATTTTTATCTAAGCTTATGCAGATAGAGCACCTCTACGGGAAGTCATGATTTTGTGAAGCAAAAACTGCGAATTTGAATGTTTTCTTGAATTCGTAACTATCATAGAGACCTCGATTAGCATAAGATTTTTTCATTCAAAAAATAGAGGCCTTATAAAATCATGCCATCAATTATTTGATTTTTTATTGCAAATTTCCAAGATATTTCGGTGAGCTTGCTAGAAATCACTACAGGTTGTGTGATGTTCTTCGTCTTTCATCTCCCTATGTGGTAAGTAGTGAGAACGCATTGAAAAAGTAAACAATCTTTATTGTAGTAGACTCAATGTTAAGCAAAACCTTTATAAAGGCATGAATTTACGGTTTTTAACAAACAACTTTCGGTTTTGCTTGATATATTTGTAACTTACGCGCAGTTTCAGTGCAAATTCTTCTAATTTTCTGCTTAGAAGTATTTCTAGGTGTATTTCACACTTTAGAGCTAAAACAGCGATAGATATCCAGAAAGAGAGAGGAGTACCGTAGAACCCTTGCTTGGTCCGGTCGTACCATCCATCTTAATTACTCCCAAAAATTGAATCAAGCTGCTCAAAATATCAAAATCAAATTGCTCCCAAAAAGCAAAAATCCATAGCAACAGTTAGGCGATTGATTTGTTTCCCATTGTAACTCCTAACCAGCGATGGGTCGCATTGTCCAAATCGGTGATGTTCTCGGAAGAACCTAAGAGGAGCAAGGGGTTCTTCGAAAGTTGTTCACGAGACTGATACGCGATTCCAGTGGGGTTACGAATTATGCGGTCCTCGATCAATATAACATTTTTTGATCTTACAGGTTGACAATTCACAAATAACCTGGTAGTTCCAAGTTGTAACGGGTCTTTCAATGATATTAATTTATATAAGGAATTTGCGGCGGTCCTGATACTATCAAATAATTTACCCTTCCTGTTTGAACTTGTGCTGTAACACTATCGCATGAAACCAAAGGTTTGTTGACTTTTTTATAGTCCACAAGTAAATTGAGTTGAAGATCGACGAGTACATATCAATTATACTCAGTTAGCTTCCTGGTCTTTTACAACGTCTTGACAACCTCAGTAATAACTTGCTTCGCACGTGTCGAAATGATCTTACTATTACACATAGTCGATATCTAGAATGTGAAAGAAAAGTTTTACCCGCCACCGTTGGTTGCTATCAGCACCATACCATCTTCAAAAATCAAGAGAATTTTAGAGGCGTTTTCGTTATACATATGACAAACAGAATTAGGTGGCATTATCCCATTCTATTTCCCTGTCGAAAGGCTTCATATTCATACTCTTCTCCTTACATGAAGCAAACTCTCGTTGAGTTCTGAGTCGTTTTTTGCTCAAAATTTTTTCGTTCAATATCATCATTGAAACCTACAAGTTCAGTTTTACGCATGCATTCGAGTGAAGCTGTACACAGATAATAAATTATGATTTGTTATTAACTACGGGCTTCATGCGACGCCACTCAAATATAGAAGTTTTATTGCAGGAAGGCTACTCTGCTGAAGCGTTCCGCCGATCTCCTGATCGTCTACGTCGTCCTGCGTCGGCTGATTCTAGTTTGATGCTAAGATCGATGTCGACAGACGATGAATTCTATGATCCAGGTTGGTTTATAGGGCTCTACGTCGTCAGTCAAACTTATTCATATTCTAAAAATTCTTCAGCACTTGACAGCTACCACTTATTCAAAAAAAATGATCGCAAAGCACAAAATTGTGGATGGTTCCAATTACAATCTACTGCGAGTCGTCTCATGTTAGAATTCTAATTTACTGTAGGAGAACAATGTAATGTCAAATATCCTTGCCGTCATTTTGAACCCTATTTTCTCCTAGGCGTATTTACAAAATCGTATTGGACTAAGCTTCCGTGAATTGTATTTCTCATACGAAACGTCCAACTCCACGAACACCATCATATTTGTGATGTTTTGAAGTTGCTCACGGGGTTTGTTAGATGTGCGACTAAATTATTACGATACGATATATCAAATTTTGAACTCTGAAGACTGTGACATGGCACTTTATGAACTTAAATATGTTTGTGGTGGTCGCAGATCTCCGTTCCGGTGGGGGGGGGGGACAAAAATTTTGCCCGAATGAAGGTGCGGAGCGTTAGTCTCGCACTCCGGAAAGTTTTTTGGGTAGCTTCCCTAAATTTTTGCCGCTCTGCAACCCCAAAACGGAAAAAGGTGGTGGAAATCACCATCTTCTATTCCATCCTTAAGGTGATGAAGGATAGTGACTCGCTTTACATTCACTTTTGAGTAACAATTTACCACTTAATGAAGTAATAATCGGAGGTTTCTTCTGTACAGGGTGTGCCAGAAAATGTGAATTTTTTGATTGTTAATAACTCCCTTGCTTTCATGTCTTTCGCCGAGCTTGAAGCACCATTCTATAGAGCGAGGTACAACTTAGATCTACAGTATGAAGTGACTTATCAGCATCTCTTCATTACTGTAGGATTACGGTAGGAATTTCGAGGAGGATTTTAGGCCATTGGAGGCCATATTCTCCTCGGAACAAAGCCAAACAAGACAAAAACTTTTATACTATGGTAATGGAAGCCGCTGAGTTCGAATGTGAAATTTCCACTTTAATGTTGATGCTTCTTTCCAAGGTTATCCCAGCTAAACCGAAAATGATTTTCCAGCATTTGTCAGAAATGTGACTACACCGTCAAAAAAGCTAGAAGCACTCGTCAAAAGTTGTGTAATGGAATCAGCGTGCGCGAAACCCCTAGTATACAATTTTTCAGATTTTTTGAAAAAAAATTTTGTCAAATGGCATTACAATAGATCCACATGCTAGAAGTTCATACCGTAATCCTACAGTAAGGAACAGCGAGTGATTCGCTCCATATTGTAAATCTAAGTTGAGTCTCGCTCTACAGGATGGTGCCTCAAGCTCGGCGAAAGACTTTATTAACGATCAAATGTTCACATTTTTTTGGGACACCCTGTATATAATAAACAAAAGTCTCAGTAAATTGTTTTTATGATGGTCTTCGTCGCTTGAGAGGAAATATTAGCTCATTAAAAGAAAATTTGCTGGGAATTGAGCCGAAAATTCTTGAAAGGTTGATGAATAACAAGTCACTTCCAGATAACTTTTTTAAAAGCTCGTTCCCGAAAAAAATCCGCTAGCTAGCTTACATATTGTGTTGAGCTAAATCTTCATTTTACAAATCTATTGGCTTGAGCTTCTGCATCACCTAGCTTATTATCTGGAACGCTCTCACTGAAATCATCCTTTATCCTTGCCGATGAAAGTTTGATAAAAATTTTACCCATGGTTACCGAATAGCAATGTGCACGTTTGATTGAGCTTAATAACGAAGGGGCACATAGCCAGGGCTCAGCAAGGTGGCTTACAAGCAAGCTGGATATCGTTTTTGGGACGAAAAGCAAAGGGGGTTTCGTTTTTGTGACCGAAGAGAGACGCAAAATTGGCGGCTTGGCGACGTTTTTTTTCTTTTTTTTAGTCGACGCTTCGTTTTTTGGGGGATTTTGGGAATATTTCAGGTTTTATAGAGGAAATTTGGTTGAGGGTCAAAGGGGACTTCGTAAAAATTCCCAAAATTCAAAGGAAACTTCGTTTTTTCCATTTTCATCTAGCCACCTCGTGCCGAGCCCTGCACGTAGCATTACATCAAGGAGTTATTTTTGGGATGATGACCGGATCCATCTTCGTCATCACTTGCATTACTGCATACATCGTTTCTTATTACTTATGAGGGTATCCCCAGAAATCTCGCCAATTCTCTCATCGTCCACGATCTTTGGATAGCAATCGTCTGCAGACGAGCAATTATATTCAGAGATCGCTACTTACTATGTGTCATGGCTTCGGAGTTGCGCGTGTAGAACGCGAACCATAGTTTATAAGACTTTGGAAGGGTCTTAAAATTAAAAGCTTGCTTAATTTTCATACAGTTCATAAAGGACTCTTGCAAGTGTCACATATTAAACTGGTAAATTTGCGAATTCTACTCGCGCGCATTTGTAAGTGTGAACATTTTGATGGCTTGATTGAAACAAAGGAAAGGTAGAACTATATAAGCATTTTTTTCTTTTTATTTATACATTTAGCTTACGCTAAGAAAATCAGTTGAATTTTAGAACATTTGATTAATTTCAAAGAAATAACACCACTTAGTGCTGGGTCTTTCCATCTTTGCCTTTGCCCGCGTGTGAAGTTCTTATGACTTTTGATACTATACGTGCGTACTGCTCGTGCTCCTTACTCGATTCCTTTAAATCACTTACAAACAGCTTGCTTGAGGATTTACAGGTAGACTTGCTAGGGTTGGTGCAATTCATTTTCTGAAATTGCGTTGGTGTACATAATTGTCTACATTGCTTTGGAAAAGTCTCGAATTATTTTATTTAGAAATGACTCATCGTCAGCGACGCTTTTTCGTAAACGGATGTGCCATTATTTATGTGTTTTGAGCACTTCCACGGAACTAACCTTGAGCGATTTGTCTTTTTCCATTTCCCTGTGATTAAATGGCCAGCATACCAGGAAGTTTGCGAATTTTGCGGAGGAATGACACAGGGCCCGGCACGAGGTGGGCAAACGGGGTTTTCCAAAACGAATTCCCCTTTGATCCCAATAAATTTTACGAGTACCCCCTTGAGCCCAAAAATGATTTTTCGTGCTTGTACGACGAGATTACCGGCCACACTTCGCCTAAAAGCGCTCAAAAGCGCCCAAATTGCTCAAATTCCTCAAATTACTCCTCAGCTGTATCAAAATAGAAAACAGGAAGAAAAATAAGCAAGAAGAATGATTAAGGAATGAGAAAATATCAAAGAAACGCAGTCATAGGAATGAGAGACGCCGTTTCCGCGCGTATTGATTGACTGGGGCGCGCTTTCTATCTTAGAAAGCTAGGCTGCTGATGCGATTTTGGGCTCTAACAAGGACAAGAGGAGGAGTTTCGGAACCAAAATTTCACCATGTAGTAAACTTTAGGTGTACAACAGATTTATGTTAAAAATTTGAAAAAATTATGTGAATTGAGAGTTTTGCCGACCTCAGGTGGGAATTAGGTCGGCAAATGCCGACCTAATTTGGAAATTAGTTAAGCACGCTCTTCATTCACATAAGTTTTCATAATATTTCATACTTTATTACTTAGTCCTATTGCGCATATACACACCGAAACTCGCGCGATTTCGTTACCTCTGCGTTGCAAACGAGCCATTTTTCCATTTCTTTGGTAGCGCAAAATTTTCAGAAAAAAAGTTTGCCACAACCTTCAGTCACATAATTTTTCAATGAAACTCCTCAGTTAAGCCCTGCAAGCCCGTGTGCATGTACCTACCAAGTTTCATACCATATCGTTCATCTGCGCGTCCCAAACGAGCCGTTTGAATTCACATCTTCATTTACCAGTTTTGCGAAATTCTCGGAAAAAATGCTAATTACTCGTTCCGTTCCCATAAGTTTTTCATAATTTTTCATACTATGTTTCCACTAGCCCCTCTCCGTTCGCATACAAAATTTGGTGCCATATCGTTACACATACATTGAGAACTAGTCATGTATGCAGTTACAAATAGCATCGCTTGGGCGACGTTGCGCGTGCGGCAATTAACGACGGCGCGGTTTGACGCGCGCGAACTCCAGTGTTCGCCTGTTGAGGCACATAACATGTCAAGATAACTAGCGAGCATGAACTACCAATTTTTTTCCGGGGCTCCGCCCCGGACTTCGCAAAAACGATTTCCCCTTTGCTTTTTGGCCCCAAAACGATTTCCAGCTTGTCATTTGCCGACCTCATGCCGGGCCCTGGAATGACATTCAAGCTTGATTAGGGGTCTTCGGTTGCTTACGGCATAACGCACGTCATGGGATTACTATTGAAATGCCATATACACTTGGCATCGGGGAGGGATCTGCGGGCGAAAAGGTTCATGGACGGCTAAAGAAGGCTGTATCTGTGTTTCATTAGTTATGTAATATTTCCAGTGACCATCTTGCATCCTATGAACCACACAAAAATCCCAAAATTCAATCAGCTTCTTAATCTTTATCATCAGCATCTTTCTTTTGAACGCTCATTGCATCTTAAGCTCAAGATCTTCGTTATTCTGCCAGAATATTTGTTTAGCTGTGTACGTGGGGTTAAGAATATATTGCCTAAAACGTGCTCGCAAACAAGAGAATTTTCTTGTTGCTCATTTTCAGTTTGCAAAGTATGTAAACAAGTCTTTTAGCTTTACAAATACCTCAAATCAAAATCGCGATCCTAGCAAGAATTTTACGCATATCTCAACCGTTGCTTTGATTGCTATAAACATAAAAGTAGTCCACAATTTTGAATACATCCAACGAACCTGCTAGTCAAAAGCTGAGACCTTATGCGGTGAGTCGTCCGTGCAGTCGTTGCGTTCACAAGCTAGAATATTTATGAGTGGACGTCACGATATCTCGGCATGCGAAATTTTCGTTATTTGTAGGTTTTCGCGAGACTTTATCGATTAGTTGAATTCATGTTTACATGTTTACTACCTCAGGCGCTGTTGTTTTCAATTAAAGAAATGGAAGATTGTGATAAGTCTCGCTTCGCGGATGTTGACTAAACTTGTTGTCAGGACTCCTCCATTAGTAACCCTCAAAAACTTGTCGTGATTTAATAGCGTGCTAACATTTTTTATCTTGGTTTGTCTGGAAATTTAACGGAGAATTTTCATTAGGCGATGATAGATGTGTGAGGATAATCCTCCCTTCGCTCTGTTCTACTTCATGTCTTCCAAAGATTTTATTGATCGCTATCTTCTTGAGCGGCATGGTAAGTGAATGAAATTGAAGAGATAATTTTCTACTACAAAAGCTCCCCGAAAAGCCAGTAAACAAAAGAAATTTCACAAACCAATCACATCAACAATTCTTATTTGCTTGCTCATCCAAGACGTCGCTCTGGTCTGTTTAGTCGCTAAACGCCACTAAATTTTGAAGGAAGACTTTACGGAAGAAAAAACATTATAGTCCCAGATTTAACCGTGATAGGACCCTGCGTTAGCGACAAAGCTTTTCATGCTGTTGGAAATGTATAAAAATGCCTTGTCCAAGAAATAATCTTGCAGTACGAACAGCACCTGCGCTTGAAAAACTGTCACAGAACGCACATTCTTTAGTTTTGTCCTCATTTTTACAAAAATGCGCAAAAAGCTCACTTTACTTCCCGTTGCGTTCTCAGAACCATATTGTTTCAATCGAAATCAAATCTGAAAATTGAAGTAAAACTGGATAATGAGAAGGATAAATGCTCTTTTAGCATAGGTTTGGAGTTTCTGTCTTTTATTACAAGAAAAAGTGTAATAAAAATTGTATACTAATATAGTACAATGGAAAAGATACCAGCGGAATGAATCAGGAATAGATCAATTCGTATGAGGTATTTCCTTCTATGATAGGATTATGTTATTTTTGAAGCTAAAACTTAGTTTGATCCCTTTTAAATTGGATCGCAGATGTACATATTTAGACGCTCCTGCTGAGCCTATCATTGATGAATGGATTTCTTCCGGGGATGTAGCAAAATTGGAGCAACTTGTACTTGATGGACGCGGTCATATGTTGAAGTAAGTTCAGGTTCACTTTCGGGTCTATTTGTTTGAAAAATGAGCATATTTTAGAGAAAAGACAGCAGTAAACGCAGCTAGCAAAGAGTTTTTGCGAGGTCTTACAGTTTATCAGGTAACTGTTTTGTGCTTGCATCACCTTTATGTATCGTTAAAGTATCTCGGTCAAAATTTCTGATTGTGAGTCTAAAAATTTATTGGATAGATGATTATTCGGAAAAGAAATTTGTTATGAAAAATCGAAAAAATCAAAAATCTCCAGTATCAAAAAAAATTTTCAGTCAAAGATTGATGCTATCCATAAAGCAGTCGAAGAAGGAGATGTCCGAAGAGTGAAATCACTTATCGACCGCCAACAACTTGCTCTAGCCAGAGACACATACGGTAACGTTAGCTAGATGAAATACAAGAGCAAGCCACAAATCTGAGAATTTAGCAAAATAGTTTATACTGGAGAAACCATGTGATCCACAAGTTTCGTCTGGAGTCAATCTTTGAAACTGATAAAAATAATAAGCAAAAGTCTTTACTTATCCTAACGTGCTTTATTGCAACAGGTATGACTCCGCTACACAAAGCCTTACTACACGGACAAACCAATACTGTGAGACATTTGCTGGCAAAATACCCTCAGTGCGTGAATGCCACCGATCATGTAGGTTTGCCTCTGTTTTTAATTAACCTCAAACCTGCGAAGAACTAAAGGGAGCGTCCAGGCAAAATTTCGCTCTCCTTTTTTTCACCTTTTCGAGCCTTCTCACCATAAGGAACCCATATCTGGGCTTTACAGCCTGAAACTGGCGAAAATGAGCCTTTTTCAAAGATTTTGAGGTCCACATTCAGTATACTTCGGAAGTCTTCCGCACTCCTTCTTTTTGCTTTCGGATCCCGCCCATTTACACGAATTTTCTACTGAACGCACACCTGGAAAACTTCGGCAAAAGCTCATTTTTGCTATTTTCTCTCGCTGAAAAGCTCAGGTATGGGTTCCCATAGCAAGAAGGTTCCGGAAAGGTGAAAACGGGAAAAATTTGCCTTCAATGGATAAGTGCATGATAGGAATTCAGAACTATTTGACGTGCATAGCTCATCGCGAACACAAAACGAATCTGATGTCTTACGAATATGACAAATAAGAACTCTGCATCTAAAGACCTGCATATCGTTGAGCGATTCAGTAGCTATCTGAATACTGCGGAGATAATCACTTTACAGTTCCAGGAGGAATTATGTATATAGCTAAAGTTGATTACTGAGAAAGCTGGTTCCAAAAACATAGCATAGCTTATGTCTTAGTAAAGTGGAAGTCGAGAGTGCGGCGGAAATCGGAAGTCAAACACTGCTAACATTAAGACTTTGCTAGTGTACGGCATAAAACGGTAGGAGAAAACCACTCAAATTTTGTTTTGATTCTCCTGCGTTTGATCATAAAAATCTAAAACTTACAGTGGAAAACAGTGCAGTCAGCATTGTAGGTTTCTTGACATGCTTCCTTCAAATAACAAGAAAAATTTGTGCTGTTTAGATGTCTCTATGAAAAGCTACGGTTCTCGAAAAAATATGTGATAAAAATCAGAACTGCTTCGACAGGCACAATCTTTGCTTAGTCAAAATAAGCAGATTAAGATACCTAAAATGATGATTGCTCCGATTTTTATTGCAAGTTTCAGCTTTTTTGTGACCGATTCGTGGGAAACAGAATTTGAGTGACGGTCGCTAGTTCGCACTGTTTTCAAAAATTCATCGAATCTATGGATTTTCCAAAAAGTGCGACCTTTCGTTTCAACCTAATATGTCCCTATAATCACCATCATATGAATGATCAGTGAAGCGTTTAGCGTTTTAAGTTCAGTGCACACGTAAAAGAAGCTATTACTATTACTAAGAAGCTACTGCTTGATAAGGGTGTCCCATAATTTTTTACCGCTTTTGCTGCAGGCCTCGTCCTTTTATAGCTTTCTTTCAACTAAAGTGGATCAAGCAATCATTCGACAGGGCAAAGCAAGCCCTACAAGATGGCTCTTAAGGTTCCGCACAAATCGTATTCCACATAAAGTTTCAAGCTGAAATTTGATAGCAGTCAAAAACGAACTTTACTGGAAAAAAATCGTACCTCGGTCATAATAAATCTCAGAAATTCCTAATTTATTTTAGCATATGTTTGAGACATGAACATTTAAATGTACATTTTCCGTATTTTTTCCATGGTTAGAAATAAAGAAAAAATCAATGGAGCAAGTTGACAAACTTTGCCCCTAGACATCCTGAGCTTATCCCAAGCACGTGATCATATAGCTCTTACATACAGAAGTACGACCATGTGTTTGTACCCTTTGAAAGTGCCCCAGTTCTTGAGAAATGCTGATGTTTAGAGGAAAACGGTAAAAAAAATTATGGAACGCCCTACTATTTTTGTTTGCATTTGGGAAGCTCAAATGGAAATTTCTACAGAGCTGTACCGAAAGCAAGCATGAGTTATGTAGATTCAATTTTTTTTCTACCTAGCATTCCACTCTGCCATGTCATTCTTGTTATTTGCGAATTCTCTCAGCGAAACGAAAATCAAAAAAGTTGTGCTATATGGTAAAACTCGTAAGCAGCTTTTTAATACGTTATATGTTGACTTGCCCCAATCTAGCAGTGGAGATTCGACATTAATTATGAATGCCTACATACCAATCGCGTGTCGAATGTAATGAACGCCTGCGTCACTATTTTACCTTAGCGCTACATGTCGGTGGCAAATCTATTGCAGTGAAGCTACAAAGATGCAGTTCAAACCTTGCCAGTATGATTTAGAGGACCTAACATTGTCAGATCTTTTCTTGATATCTACGATATATGCAATACTAGTTGGCATACCCGGCTCCGCCCGGGCCTGTCATTATTATATTCGTAATCAGCATGCTCGATTACCCCCCCCCCCCCCTGTGCCAACTCCCAGCCCTGTAGCTCAAATTTTGCAAAAAATCGATAAAATCGATATCGATTGATAACGAAAAGTAGCCTATGACACGCTCCCTGCCCCGAAGTATATGTGTGCCAAGTTTGGTCCAAATCGGTCCAGAAATAAAAATTTCTATTCCGCACATACGTACAGACAGACATACAGACATACATACAGACAGACATTCAGCTTTATATATAAGATATATATATACGTTGGATTCATTATATTCATTATCTCTGAGGCTACGGTGGCAAGGTTATCACCTCCACTGCAACAGAAAAAAAAACTATTTCTCTTATTTCCACCAAGCTTTGTACTTAAAGCATCCATCTTGTAGCTTGAGTTGTCATAATTTGATCGTGTTTCCAATCTTACCGTACCTCCAGGCCGGTCGCACTCCGCTCCATTATGCAGCTGCTGATCCTAACGGTGAACATATGATCAAAGTGCTGCAGAAAGCAGGAGGAGACGCATTCATCGACGACAAAGTGAACACATTTTTGTCCCCGATTATATGTGGCTCAAAGCTATTTTGTACATTCAGCACGGTCACACACCGTTCTATTACCGTACCCACGGACAACGACTGAATGTGCGCAGCATGAAGGACAATGCTGTAATGAATCAGCTGATGTCTGGACAACTTAGTCGGACCCTTTTGCAAGGTGAGTCAGTGAAAAGATATGAATTCTGGTCAATGTGTCTGTCTACTACGGATGTAGCTGCGACAAGGAGGAATCTCTAAGTAATTGTAATACCTTATTCAGATTTGGAAGAAGACATCTATGATTGGATTCACACCGGAAATGTTGGCAAACTTGAGGAGCTGGTTCTAACTGGTTATGCTGACCTCTTATTGGGCAGAAACCACGAGGTTGAGAATTCAAAGTATTCTCAACACTGTGAGATGTGGGTAACGGTGAATTTAGGTCGAAGATGCTGACAGTATTGGATTTCTAGAAGTGCTACCGCAATATCAGGTAAACAATCTCTTGCAAAATAGTGAATGCTCCGATCTTAAGATAAACGATAGCGCGCATAATCCTCTTGTCCAACTACATAAATAGTAGTGTAAGTATGCAGACCCTCAACTTCCAATAAAACATTTTAGAATAATTCTAGCTGCTATCAAGTGCATGTCTCCACCTTGATAGCTCCAGAGGTTTTTTCGGAGATTTTCCAACCTATTGCAAGTGTTGATTTCATCGGATAAATTAACAACTTCAGGACCACCAACATTTCTGTAAATTAACAGATTTAACATACAGAAATATGCCAGTATTTATCCTTTGTCAAGCTAAATCTTTCCCGTCTAGGCCAAAATCCAAGCAATTCACAAAGCCGTCGAGACGGGCAACTTGCGTGCAGTAAGGTTGCTGACTGATCGCAAAAAGCTAGCCCTGTGTAGAGATTCTAGAGGTCTTAGCCCTCTGCATAAGGTATGCCCTGTCTTCCTACGAAAAGTCTCAAACGCCTCGTAATCTAAAGCTACGTTTTTAGGCGATAGTTTTCGACAGAGCAGACATTGCAAAATATCTCATCAGAAATTACCCACATGCTGTGAACGCTATGGATCAGGTAATCCCATTGCCTAATCCCACTCCATTTAACAATAATATCTGTTTCTAGAAAAAGCGTACTCCTCTGCATTACGCTGCAGCATATCGAGACGGAGGCTATTTATACAAGATGATGAGAAAAAGCGGTGCCGATCCGAATATTTACGATTGTGTAAGTTTATCTGCATTTCACAGCAAAATTCATTTGAGAATATTTTGTCGATAACTGTAAAAATGGCAATTTACGGTATTTATCGTTAGCGTGGGAAACTACATTAGCTATATCTTTCCACATTTCCTATCAAACTCTGGATGATACGTATTTGGCATCAGCATTGGCTAATGTTTGTAAGCACATTACAAAAACCAAAAAAGAAGTTCAATTCCAACGCGGCCTAAGACGGAGTAAATGATGTATCTACCATATAATGAAAAAAATTTGGTGGCTCATAAATACAACTTTCGAAAGCCTCCTTGCAGCATGGTCGTCCGGCAAAATATTATCTGAAGCATCCTGGCGAGATCGACCTTCCGGCAATGCGTCTTGACACTAAAGCTGCTCTGAAGCAGGTACTAGCCTCTTGCCAAATTTCTGTGAATCGCCCTCGCAACTATAAAATGCCAATGAATCCCACAGAAAATAAATTTAGGTGCTTCACAACCGCGTGGCTCCAAGTTACTTGGAGTCTTCAATACAGCAGTGGTTGAGGGACGGTCAACTGGCAAAACTTGAACAGCTTGTTCTTTCGGGTAATTATTTTCCGAAAAAATCGAAAAGCAAATGCTACAATTGCATGTGCTTTTAAAGCGAAGTCTTGATATAGGATTAGGGATGAATTTATGCCGCCATCCATCTTTTGCTCTCGATAAAATTTCAATGTAGCTCAGCGGAGTTTATTATATCGGAGCTTTGTATAAGTAGGAAAAGGTTAGATTGGACTAATGCAGCGATGATTGTGAAATTACAGTAATTCTTATTCAAGATATTGGGGTCAGAAACACTCCTAATTCTGTTTCTGAATTTGACATAAAATTTCGCTTAGTGCAAGCTGTGTATTTGCTAGCAAATTTTAATGGACGCTGCCATGTGATTTCGTTTAGATTTTCTTTGTGCACATGCTGGTATGAGTTTGATATTCTATTACATTTGTGAATGTTTACCAACACATCAACACAAAAAGATTTTAGGTTGTGGAGATTTGCTCCAAAACAGAAATGCCACTAATCCAGAGACAGCTAAGTATTTGGAAAATCTGCCAGAGTACATGGTTTGTGTTGATTTACATTATATGCTAATGTTTTATAGTAAGTCATGAGATCTTACGAAGGTTAACAAAATTCCCCTTCTATTCAGAACTCAGAAAATCTACTGGTTACCGCCATGAAAGCCTAATCAAAACACAAAGTCATTTCAGAGCAAGATCGAAGGAATACATCGGGCCATCAAAGAAGGTGATCTCGAAAAGGTGAAAGCGCTGATGACAACGAAGAAGCTTGCTATAGGTAAGGCCTCAAATGTAGAATAAAAACGCCTAAAATCGGAAGTTTCAGCTCGCGATCGCTTCGGCTGCACTCCACTTCATGCAGCTGTAGTGCACGAGCACACCGAGATTGTTCGCTACATTGCCGGTCATTTCCCTTCTGTTCTAAATGCACCAGACTATGTCAGTCTAAAATTTCAAAACGATTATTTGGAAAATTTAGTCATGTTTTGCAGAATAAACGCACGTCTATGCACTACGCAGCTGCGGCAAGAGACGGTGGTCATTACCTGAAGATTTTGGGCAAAGCTGGAGCGGACCCGATGGCTGTGGACAATGTAAGTGGGGATAATAAAGATTATGAACGATGCAAAAAACGTTTTTAAGAATCTTAAATAACTATCAATTTCTTCTCATGAGAGAGAGAAAAGCATTTTTAACGAGCAGCGAGTCCCAATTTCTTACTCAAACAATAATGGTTTTCCGCTTTTTTCAAGGTAAATAATCTCAGCAGACCTGAGCTAAACGAAAAAATGATACCATTTTTGATTCTTGAGTTGTTTGTAAATAAACAGAACCCAGAGAATAATTGGTTAAGTCACATGGATAGAATTATCCACGACTTACAGAAAAACAGTGGTAACAGTGGTAATGCTTATTTTGTCAGACAATTGATTCGCACTCTCTAATTAGTTTCTGAGTAATTTGTGCGTGCTCAATACCTCTTTCATCCGCATGTACACAATGGTTAGTTGTTTTGAATTACTCAAGAAGCTTATACTCGAATTTTTGGACTTGTCATGAATTGTGGAATGTAGGGCAATATGGGTTTTGTAATGGATTGGAATTACTATTATTGATTAAAATCCGCTGCTTAGCTGTAAGTGAACTGAAAAATGAGCTAAAACCAACTTTTCCTAATACAAAGCAATGTTAGTGTCCAAAAAAATATCAGAAGCAAAAGAAGTCATTCGTAGCTCTGAGAGAATTATTTTGTGCATTTAGCTCCAATAGCATTGTTCCTAAATTATTGTTACATGAATTGTTACATGAATCAAAAAATTTTTGAAAATGGTATCATATGTGCTACGTATTAGGTTGATGCAAAATTTCTTTCGCGCCGAATTCAAAAATTCATAACTTGTTGAATTCTCAACGAATTTACAAGGTCTAAATTTTGTATAAGAGAGGAGCTCATGCTCTTTGCAGATGTTCCTGAACTGTTCGTTAATGTGTACAAATGAAGGAGATAGAAGCTCAAAACCAAAATCACTCAAAATTTGAATTTTTCGTGTAGGGTCATAAAAAATCGGAAACTTGCAACAAAAATCGGAGCAGTCGGTATTGCAGGTTCCTTCACAAGCTCTTTCCAACAATGCAAGGTTAGCGCCGATTGAGCGTCTCTGTGAAAAGTTATGAACTCCCTGAAAAATGCCAAAATAAATCAATTTCGCCTTTTTGTATTGCTTGCTCGAAAATCATAACTTTTCATAGAGACTCTCAATCAGCGCAAACTTTGCATAGTTAGAAAGAGCTGGTGAAAGAACCTATGATACTAACTGCTCCGATTTTTGTTGCAAGTTTCCGATTTTTTATAACCCTACAGGAAAAATTCAAATTTTGAGTGATTTTGGTTTTGAGCTTCTATCTCCTTCATTTGTACACATTAACGAAAGTTCAGGAACAGTCGTAAAGAGCATGAGTTCGTCTCTTACACAAAATTTAGATCTTATAAATTCATTGAGAATTCAACGAGTTATGGATTTTTGAATTTGGTGCGAAAGAACTTTTGCGTCAACCTAATACTCTACATCGCCAGAAACATTCCGGCACTTTCACAAAGCTATTAGGTTGTCCCAAAAGTAAACTCCATTTTTGATTAAATTGAGCTGTTTCTGTTTTCCTCCTAGACCTAGGGTACCATTCGATAGAGCGGAGCAAGCTCTACAAAAAGACCACTAAAGGTCCACCTAATTCGTACTCCAGGTAAAATTTGGGGCCAAAAGCTGAAATTTTTCAGCTACCCTAAAAATCGGATCTCCTTTCAGAGATTTCCCACGAACTTCCAACTTGGTCCTTATATAGTGGACACATAGTAGTACTTAAAAATGTATTTGGCGGATTTTTTCCGGGGCCAAATTGAGAAAAAAAGGTGGTCCAAAAATGCCAAAATGCCACTTTTTTCGCGTTTTTTTTTGTAAAACTTGGTATTTCTCGATTATGAGAGCACATACATGGGTAAGGTTTTGGAATTGTGCTTAGTAAGGCTTGCAGTATACAATGACATATGTGGGAGGGGCTGGGGACGGAAGAGTTTGCCAGTTTTGGACATTTTTTATTTCTCGATTTCTATGCTCGGAAAAATTCGGTAAATGCATATTTGAGTACTACTATGTGCCTATTGTATAATGACCAAGTTGGAGGTCCGTAGGATTCTTTGTCGCAGAAATCCAAATTTCAGGTGACAAAATTTTTTTCGATTTCAAACCTTCCATGGAATGCAACTTAGGCGGACCCTTGGCTGTCGTTTTGTAGAGCTTGATCTGCTCTATCGAATGATACCCTAAATATACTGAAAAAAACAAAAGCACAGCTTGAATTATTCAAAAAAGGAGTTTACTTTTGGGACAACCTAATAGAAATCAAAACAGCTTCATGTAATTGATAATGCTGATTTACAGGAAGGTCGCACTCCTGACTACTATAGAAGAAATGCAGTGATTGATCTGAAAATGATAAAAGAAAGAGATGAAGATTACGATGTTGTAAGCGAAGATATGCTCGATGGAGAAGGACCGATGCTGGAAAGCCCTGGTAGTGCTGATAGTGGGTCGGAGAGGTGAGGAGTACACATTATGAAATTTGTTCCTGTGCAAGAAAACTGTCCGAAATTCCTGGTTCAAATTTGAAAGCATGATTTATTTCCTAGTTATTTTAGTTCTGTTATTGACTCGGCCCGTCCACAAGAAGAAGACGATGAGATGGATCGACATCGTTTCGAGAAAATGTTGCACGGACGCACCGATTTGCCCACTTCGGAAAATGGAATTTATCTGGCGAGAACAGTAGCTCCAGTGCTTACAAAAGCACTTGCAGAGGTCTGACTCATAAACGAACAAAATCTCTTGCAATGAAATCTATTTTAGGTGTTATTGCGTCGCCCTGCTGACCCGATCGGCTTCATTTCGGATTATCTGCAAAAATATCACAGCGAGCTCCCTCATCGCTCAAATGGGAGGCTTATATAATCACATGCTTACATTAGTATACTACTCGAATTTCTTGAGGGAACAACATTTGTCAGCTAGGTTATATAGATTTCAGAACAAACTGCTGATTTTAATTAATTGATTTTGTGATCTCATGAAAAATTGTACATAATTTATGGAAGTGCTGGTAATTTTTTCAGATTGATGGATGGACGGAGCGCCTATTTTGCGCAATTTCTATCATACAAGAGTCGCAATTGTATAGAAGTAGCAATAAAGATGATCTATTACTTTCTGCATCATGGAATGTAAAGCATTTTGAAGACACCTTTGCATGCTATCACAGAATTGAAAGCAGAAGCAGATGGCATATTCAAATCCGAAAATTAACGGAAGATGTGAAGGTTAATTTTGGCAGAAAGAACGCCCTGATTCCAGTAAAAACGCACTTAGCAAGATATTTCGACACTAGTTTGACCTCTGCAAATGGAAGTTTCACCTCAGTCCTTGCAGCGCTAAACTTTACTGAACTCAATATCTTAGCAGCTGATGGAAATATCCTAAACGTTAAATTTATGCCATATCTATAAACCAAAATTTCCAAGATCATTACTATCAAATTTATTTTGAAAAAATCACACGAAAGGGCAACATCTCATGATGATTATACAGCAATTTATGTATGCTTGAGAGCGATATATGTGGTACTGTGTATCAATATGATGTAATACTAACAATAAGACCAGAAATAAGACAAATGACTATGACAAGATTATGAACAAGGATCAAAATTGCGAATCTATAGTACAGCATATTCACAAGAAAGTCGAATGGAAGCGTAATGCTCTAGGTCTATAACGGCAGGGCAGCTCAATTCACCTTACTGTTCACTTAAATAACAAATTCTTTTCTATTTTTACATGAATCGAAAAAATTTTCACCTTTAAAATGGTCATTTTGTGACAGCGTACACCAAGAAGGAAGACGGTTTCTCCGGGCCCCTAAAAAATTTTTGTAAGCTATGTGATACTCACAAAATTAATACGCATATGCAAAAACAATAAAACGCACCCTATATACTTTTCAGCAAACTTCCGACCATCTTCGGACGGATCGCTGAATGCAACTCTGAAGATAAAATTTGACTATGGCAAAGATGTTTGATATGTTAAATTCAGGGTTCCGGTAGCTATGCCTTCTTACCTATTCCTAGGGACATGTGTTCCGGTGAAATACCATCTCCTTATGACGTCAAGAATCTCGGTGGCAATGCCTTTTCTTCTTGCTGAAGGATGCGTCCAAATGCGATTTACACCAATGATAGAATTCTCGTCACGTACTTCCTGCAAACAGACAAACCTCTTTTACACTTTAGGTGGTAAGAAATGGAGGATTACCATTCCGGATGCCAAATCTTGAGCAGAATTTAGCGGTTCGGTTACGATGATTCCAGCTATGCAGCGATTGCAGTTCTGCAAAAGAAGCTTTTTATGAAGTTGCTGTATGGGTGTGGTCAGAAATCGAGAGTGTACATTTACATTAGAAAAGACTTAATATGGGGAATACGACTACAAAAGACTTGATCTGGGAAATCAAAACTAGCGTGCAAAAGAATGCGGCAATACTGGAGCTTCAATGCTGTCGTGAAAAAGGCAAAAAATTGAAAATGAATTGAAAATCAATCAAAAAAGCAAATTATTCCACATTTCCAGATAGCAAAACTCTTCTTCCTTCCAGCAATGCCCACATGTGAGTAGAGTTATAAACGTAGTTAGTTAGTTATTTTTCAAACTACTCAACGAAGCACTTTCAACAAAACATGCTCTCAAAGCTTGTCTGAGTAGCAAGTCTGAATTTGTTTACAGTTTGCTGATGATTTTTCTCAGACAATAAAACTTCAGCGAACATTTATTCTCATTTAGCCCCGAAAGTTATCGGTTGTAAATTTAGTACAGTCATGACATCATTTCTCAACGAACCTCGTTATCAAATCAGCAGATTAGCTCAAGCAAGGGAATTCACAGCGATAAGAATGACAAAAAAGACCACACCTCAATAACGTGCACTTTCCTTATGAATTTTCACTTCTCACATCATGCCACTCAGACATTCAAAGGGTATGGTTACGTCAAACCTACTTTGGATTAGTCTCTTAGCTTTTCTTAACGAAGTAATGCACCATATTAACTTTACTCTTTATTGAATTAGCTCTCACAATGAGCGATCTTTTCATGAGGAGCAACAAATCTTCATAAGCTAGAGAGTCACATGATATTCTAGCCTACCTCAGTTGTTACTGAGACCCATACTGTTCTGCGTTGATCCCATCCCCAGATAGAAAGGTCCGTGGAGAATCCAACGCTTGGATTTACTAATTCCTGAACACGAAGACAGGGTAGGCGACATGATATGATAAAAGATTATGTTGAGGGTAATAGCCTCTAAAAATAGCCTTCAAATCAATCAATGAATACACAGAAAACCTCAATTATGTTCTCTGCCTTCCTCTTCAAAGACGTAGAAGAATCGGGTACGATGCGAAACACATATCCATGACCTGTGGAGTAGTGGCACTCTTTCCTAAAGCAAACACTTAGCATAGTTTGATGTATTTCAGTACACTACCTTAACCAGATGTTGAGCTGTGACGCAGATATTTTGACTCTTGTTATGTCGCAAAATCGGCTGTGGTGCTTATCGTGCATAGCAACTTCGGAAATACTGTCGACACAGTATATCATGTCGCACTGAAAATACAGATTTTAATCTGAGTGAAAAAGGGCATGATCAAGTGCACTCTTTCGAGAGCTAAGACTGAACTATGAACAAAACTTCCAAAATCTACGACACATCCTGGCTAACTTTCATGAGAATTACTTTTCACGTTCATACCTAGCAATTTTTCGGTTGAAACCTGCCGAGGGATTACCTTGCAGGCTGATCGGTTACCATATTCATTTCGCGTGGAGAAACTTTTGAGATTACACTCAGACTTTCGTTGCGTACCAGCGGCGTACCTAAATGGCTTTGCGTACCAGCGGAGTGCGCTTAACGTACCAACGGCGTTCCTTAATGCGCCCTACCAGCGGCGTACCGTCTTTTGGAGAGCGGCGTTCCATCAACCCAAGCAAGCGAGCGGCGTTCCATCAACCCAAGCAAGCGAGCGGCGTCCCATCACATTACCCCACGCTGTAAGCGTAAGCCGTACCCGTATGGGATACGACGCAGTGGTTGGGCCGCCTCAGCATTTTAGTGGTTAGCTAACACTTCCCGGCACTTGACAAAGGAATAAGGTTGAGTTGTGCTCTCACTGAGTGACCCGATAACACAGCTGGGTGTTGTAGGGGTGGCCCACAATCCCCCGATTTCGATTCAATGAAGTCCACCGATCGAAATAGCAGGAAATTTTGCGCTGATTTCGGCTTCATAAAATATGACGATATAGCAATTTTCAAACCAATTAATGCTGCAAATTAGTACGTAATCAAAAATCGGGTGAACATGCGGTCCGAAGGCGTACCCTCTTGGCGTACCAGCGGCGTACCATTCTCCTGCCAGCGGAGTTCCACAGCGTACCACGGCGTACGACTGCCCTACCAGCGGCGTTTGCGTGCTGCGCTCAGAGGACAGTCGAACGCCGCTGGTACGCAGCGAAAGTCGGAGCATGGATGTACAGTATGAGTACCAGATTTGCTCCAAGTTTGTCTAATTGGATTCTTCAGAATGCTCATGACGATGATATCGAGCACCCTAACGAACTTTTAAGCATTTAGAACTTTGACTCATCTAATAATATAGCCACCGTAACTTCAGAAAATGGCACAACTGTGCACAAATATGAGATGTATTTAAAATGCCAAATCCCCCGAAAGATACATGAACAACCTGTTTGCAGTAGTGGCCACCGATATTCTTCTGCCCAGCATCCAAAATCGTTTGACGGATGTCATCATTTCTTGCTATCCTTTGAGTTTTTATTCTCTTCGGTGATGGCTCTTCTGCGCTCAGGTCAAATAATGGTGTTCCTGGACTGGATTTCCTCCTGGCCGGTGAAGTAAAGAAGTCGGTAAGTCTGCTTTGCCCTTGCATGGAAACGGGAAAACGTTCTTTTCAGGAATCTGAATGATTACACTTCTGCTCAGTAATCGAAATAGATTTACGAACCTTATCGAATTGACATTGTCCTGAAGATAACTGTATACGATGCTGCAATGGTTAGTGTGTCCTGAAAGGAGCTTCTATCTTCAACTGCATATATAGCTAAAGGGGAGTTGAAATTACCTCAATGTGAGTATTTTTATTAGTCAGAATATGGTTTTTCAAGACACATTCAATTATCCGCAGCTCCCGCGTAGTGTTCAAGTGGAGCATTTTTCTTGCAGCGAGCACATTAGCGCGCACGCTTCCTGCTCCATGTTCAGTTCATTCTGATATACGGCTCTAAAATGTTATGTACTTTTGTAGATTATATTTCGAAAACGGATTTCGATAAACTCCAACTATGGCTAAAGCTGAACTTGAAGAAAAGGGTGCGTTTATGAATATATACATATTTTTCGACATGTTCAAGATACCAGGTTTTTAGCTTTCGAGAAGATCCAGGAATATATGATCGAGCAGAATAGACCATACAGTTCCACTGACGTGTACACCAATCTTAGACAGGAATTTGGAAAACAAGTATGTTTCTTTCTGACAGTAGCGTACCCAACAATTGCGGTATATAGATAGCACAGTCATGAAAGGCGTTTTACACATATCTCTACTTCTTTAGATAGTATAGTATAGTGCTTTTGTCGCAAACTAGCAATCTGAGGGAAGTCTATCAATTTTATATAGTAAAATTGATAAACTTCTCTACTCTTCTTCCCTTCTTCTAACTTCGTTCTTTTCGATCCTTTGCAATTTAGCGTGTCGGCTTTGCTTTTCGGTTTCGAGCTGGATTCGTGCCACTTCGCATACTTCCATCAAAAACATTGTTTTAAAGGCTCATACTAATATCTTATCGCTTCCGCAGCGTGTTTCTGATGTGGAAAAACTGCCTGCTCATCAGCTGTTGCTAACTCTCGTGAATTCAAAACAAATAAATCTCGATGACGTTTGTTTGTAAGTTTAGTTTTGTTGCAGTTAGTGCTCAAAGTCCTGGAGGCATCTGTGGTTTCTGGCGTTCTCAAAGAGAAAGTAATAGGAAAACAGAAAATATTCTATGTTAATCAGGTATAGTCACGCTGATGAGTTTTCCTTCCATATCTGGTTTTACCCTAGTTTTTATACTCTTGACGCATGTGTTCCACTAGTACTAAGACCCGATATCATTTAGGATAAGTTCGAAAAATATGATGATTCTGCAATTGCCGATTATGATAGAAACATTGACGAACTTACGACAAAGAAAGTTGAACTCTCTTCCCGTTACAGAGAACTCCAGAGCGGTATATGTTCATGTTTTTAGATATCGAAGCATCCTTCGCTTATGTATGTTTCAGAGTTAAAAGAGTTGTCTAGCGTGGAGACGACAGAACGATTGCAGGATATCACTACTGAGCTCAAAGAGAAGGTATTGAGTCTATATCGCCAGAGCCGCTATGATTCATGTTTCAAAAAAGGTCGCCGGAATGAAAGCTCAGCTTGCCAAGTTGGAATCTGATGATAATCCCGTCATCGCTGAAGAAGGAAGGAAAGCAGTTGAGATGGAAGCCTCTATTTCCAAATCCTTGAGAAAGCGCAAAGCTATCGTGAGTTTCACTTGCGGTTTCTTACAGTGTTTGATAATGCCTATAGTTTGTATGGCAAACTTCTCTTCATACGCAATCGTAATGTAGCAAAACTCAGTGCTATAGTCTATTGCCCAAAGGAGGCAATAGTCGTTCCAGTTAGGCGTGACAGTCAATCCGCAGTAAACACTTTTTTCCATATCCAGATGGCGCTTTAGAATAGGGCTTTGCAAATACTTCCTCATACTTTAACTTGTTGTCTGGGTGATTTTTTTTCGAAGATGAGTTCATCATCAGGATTAGTGATAAGTGCTTTCGCAGAAAAATCACCTTTTCATAAACGGTTGCGATACATTCTGTTTTTGCAAGTGGGGAAGTTGATGCTTTGAGCTTGGTGGTTAGAGGAAGACTGCACCGTACTTACTAAGACCTCTGAGACAGTGGAGTCTACGCTTACATTGCCCTCTCCACTCAACCTAATTCTGCTGCATTTGTTGAGTTAGTTTCACAAGTGAATTAAAACCACGGGACTTGGACATTCGGAGTTTTTTAAGAAATTGTTCGTCAGTCTTAGCTTTTTCAGTGTAGCTGAACTACTATCGTGTAAACGCTTGAAAATATGGTGACCAGTTCAGATCATACTCATGTTTTAATCCGAGAAGCACCATCCCAAGTCGAGTGCTAACATATTTCACGTTTGCAGGCTACGAATATGCTCAATGCAATTTGTGAGTGTTCAACTATGAAGAAGAGAGAACTTCTGGTTAGTGTTTGATGTGGCTCATCGAACACGAACTGGTAGAATCAATTGAATGCACTTTAGGAATCGATTGGCGTTGAGTGTGAGCCCGGGGAATTTTGACGTATCCACTGTGCACTTATGCTTTGACTTTAAGCAGTGTAAAACGATTGTTAATACAGGTACAACCTAATCTTTTATCTTGCTAGAAATTTCAACGATTTTTTTTCTTGAAGAAGGTGCCCACTGCTTGACCATCGCAACATTTTTCTTCAAACTCCACGCGTATCATGAGGGACAAACTTTGCTTTTATCTAAGTCAAAAAAAATTAACGATCTTTAGTGATGACGGTTGAAGGTCCTGCTTAGCCTTATTTTTGTTATACTGCATGTTTTTCGTTTCGCTAATAAGGGACTGTGAAGTCACATTATCCTGTTTCTTAAAACTGCTTTACTTTGTAGCAGACGTGCTGAGTATTTCTTGTGATCTGATCTCTTCTAGATAGACTATAGACTGTGCAGTTACATGTATAATTTGTTGTGTTTGAATTACACTATCGTATTGTTTTCTTGTAATCTGATTTCTTTTAAATTGACTGTGCAATTACACTGTATAATTTGATGTGTTTGACTTACAATAGCGTATTGTTTGCAGAGTTATAGATCATCATAATAAAATACTAGAGAAGATTTCATTTTATCTAGTGAGCTTCGCTTAAATTCTTTGACATTCTGGTTCTCTTATGGATTCTGCCTGACACAAGAATATCAGATAAGTAGATGGACGAGGAGGAAAGAACTGTCGTAAGCGCTCCAAGTGCGGTTCCCAGGGAGTTAACCGAAGAAGACAGGGCACGACTGCAGCAGCAAGTAAGTTCCGAGAGCTCGTTGAGAACAAGGCAAAGTGTAGTTGGGGTGCTAGAACATGACCGTGGTTTTATTATGATGCGATACCACTTAAAGGGAGAGCCTTGAATATATAAGTGCTGGGATATTCCTTTTAGTGCTTACAATTCGCGATAGTTATATTTCTGATCGAATACACAGAAGTACAGGGCTTATCAAATGAAGTGTCGCTTGCCCCAGCATCTTCACTATCGCGCTGGACTCTGCGTCTCTTCCGCGGAACATGCTCTCCGGGTACTTTCCCAGGGCGAGCGTGGGAAAGGCGGAGTCTTGATTGATTGGGGGTGATTAGAGAGCACTTCCGCAGCAGAGACGCAGAGTCAAGCGCGGGAGTGAAGATGCTGAGGCAAGCGACACTTCGTTTGATAAGCCCTGTACGTATGAACGCCTCAGTGAAAATCACCCACACACTAGTAGTATTTAGCATTTGATAATACATCATCGCATAAAGTAATCTCCTGTATTTAGGATCTTGTTAGTCAATTCAAGCAGAATAAACTAGAAGCAGAAGCACAGAAAAATTGGGATCGGTTTTACAACAGAAACCGCGATAATTTCTTCAAAGATAGAAACTGGAGTGCACATGACTTACAAGAGCTTTGTCCGGAATTCGACTTCAGCGTGTGTTTAGTTCTTTCAAGATTCTTGGCGATGAGCTGATGGCCTTTTGTTCAGAGTAAGATCGTCTTTTTGGAAGCAGGGTGCGGTGTTGGAAATATGCTGTTTCCTCTGAAGGCAGCTTTTCCGGAACTCAGAGTGCAAGGCTTTGACTTTTCACCCCGAGCCATACAGATGTGTTCAGAAAGAGCAAAGGAACTCAATGTAAGCATAGAATAGGCATGTGACCTTGTTGTTGACTAAGAAATCAACTGACATTTTCCAAGACAGAAATAGACTTGGCGTTGGTGGATCTGTCCACTTCTAGCAAGAAGTCACCGTTTGCAGCAGAAGCCGATATTGCCACACTCATATTTGTGCTGTCTGCCATTCATCCAGATAAACACGCAATTGCAGTAAAGAATATGCGTAATTATGTCAAGGTGTGTAATCAAAGCAAGTGACAACTTATAGTAAGCTATACATAATCTCCATTGAAGACTGGAGGTACTGTTATCGTTCGGGACTACGGCGTGAACGATTACGCCATGATACGGTTCAAGAGAGGTGCGAAACTTGCCGAGCGTTTTTATGTAAGACAGGACGGGACTCGATCATACTACTTCACATTAGGTAGGGAATCTACCTCGCAAACTTTGCAAAGCATTAATCATAACACTATTTATTTTTTTCAGAAGAATTGGAGGAACTGTTTAAGTGTGCTGGATTCGAGTGTGTACGAAAAGAGTATCTCCATCGACAGACAGTCAATCATCAAAAGAATCTTAACGTACCAAGAATTTTTGTACAGGCTCGATTTTTAAAACTTCAGATATGACTAACTTAGTGTCAGTGGTATTCGCTAAGAATATGTCAGTAAACTTTTCCCCACTAGTTTACGATCCGTCTCAACATCATTTTTTTCCTGACTTCTCGAATGACGATTGACGAAAATCGTTTTTCTTTTTTCATCTGTTAGAATCCTCTAAACAAATAATGTATTGAAAATGGGAGCATCGAACTAAAATGGATTCTCGTAGCCCAAATCAGTTACTCATATCAGTAATGAATTCATCACTCACTCACCGCTATCGCATTTACACTACCTCATGAAGCGAATACCATTTCTTGGTCAAATTACTTTTTCATTTTTTCTATCTCTAAGCGCCGATTGACCAATCCTTGTCGTTATTTATTGTTTTACTTCCAAATCTTTACTTATCAAGCCTTGCTACAACACACATTCAAAATGGACTTACACTTTTTTGAAGTTTGGATGTTTGTTACTTGAAGCCAAATATGATCAACCGCATGGGTGGGTGTACAGTCTGCCCCAATCAGGCCAAAACTAGCGGGAGTCCGCGTCGCTGGGGTTTTGCGTCACGCCTTCGGCTTGCTTGCCTTCTCTCTCTTCGTTCTCTTCGCTCTCTCCGACAGTGCGCATAAGGCTGCGTTCATACCGATCCCGAAATTCGGCAACAGTTCCAGCACAGTGTTCAAACTGGGCGCTGTGCTGGAAGTGTTCCCAGACTTTTCGGGATCAGTATGAACGCAGCCTAAGCTGCGCAGAGTAATGGGCGCGCAAATTTAGCAAAAGGTTCGGCTTGATCCCGAGAGGCAGACTCTACATCAGCCCAAAAAACAGCATGTCGTTGTTGTTTACATTATTGTTGTGAATGATCTTGAATGAGTTCTCATTAAAAACCCATCTGCTTTGCGTTCAAAGACTTAAAAAGAGAACATGCATGTTGCTTGCAATAAAGAACAAAAGATCCTTTGCATACATACATTGTAAAACACTTAAACAAATAATCTACAACATTCATCTTGCAAAAAAATGTTAGAACAGTCACGCAAATAAACAAGTCTTTATCAGGAATAAACCCAATTGACATCAAACATAAGGGGAAATAATAGTGGAGACGCCAAATTGACTAATCTGTGATTGAAAAAAAAACCAACTGCCGACGCTTTCAGATTCAATGTAGCATTGAATGTGTTTCTCCTCCACAAATAATTGACTTTGCAGAAGAAGAGCATTAGAAGTTTATACAAATCACCAGTCCGCACCACGCGAACCAACTAAACATACGAGGCCGACAGGTAGCAACAATCAACACAAGTAGTAAAACATATTGAAGAGGATGTGGAACGACGACAAATGGGAAAACCTAATAGAACATTTCATGTAATGTTCCATATCCGCGGAAGAGAAAAACTTGTGTGGGATAGCTGAACCACACAACGAGGAAGGGGGTTTGAGTTAATCGACGTCCTCAGACTTTGAATTGTTGTGGAGGATTTACTGCTGTGGAGGAGCAGGTGAGACGATCGGTATCGGCTGTTGGGATCCACTGGCTCCAGGTTGGAGCATAGTATTTTGAGACTGAGAAGCTTTTTGCTTCAACATGGTCCAGTCGAACGTATAGTCGTACTGAAATAACAAAAATTACTTGAATGATAAAATGTACAAACACTGGTATGAGAGAAGAATCCTTGAAGGCACCTCCACCCAGATTCTCGGCTTCCATGTTGTTGTCGTTCCGGGGCCTTCTCATGTACCTGATTCTGAATATCAGGTCGAGAATCCACGAGAACCCCGACGAACCCCGTTTCGGGGAACCCGCGGGCGAGTTGTGCGGAAACGGTGATTGGTTAGGGGCGCTCAAATGGGCAGGACGACGTCACGCCCACTCAAAAGGGAGGAGCCAACGTGGCGAATCCGTCATCCAAAGCGATTTTTAAAGCAATTTTCGAGTTGGACAAGTATACAGCTGGGGGCCCCACTACCGTTAGGATCAATATCTCATGGACCACAATTTCGGTGGACGGTGCCTACAAGGGGGCAGCATCCGGGCAGATCTGGACATTTTCGGATATCTTAATCGAGTACTACGGCCTCGATGTAGAACTACGCGCAAATCCGACTTTCGAACACCCCCTGCAAAAATAGTTAATCCAAAGCAGAAAAGACCGAGCGACCACGCCCGCTCCCTCGCACCGCCCCGCCCCCTTGAACGAACTCTCCCCAGTCCTTGACGTGTTTTCACGTGACAAACACAATCGAACAGATGTGTCTACCTGTTAGTGCTTGCTTTCGACAAGAATAGCATTAGGAGCACTCGTCCATGGTTCTTGCAAAATTAGCTCAAAATGGAGTTTTTTGAAGAATTCGCGTTTTAAGTGCTACATTAGAGAATCCGCACTATGAAAAGGCCTGGATAAGGCAAAAAAAAAGAATCAAAAGTCGAAATTCTGCCTGTACGCTGCCTTTAAGACGCTACGAAAACATTGATTTGCGCAACCAAGATATTAGAAGGGGCAAACGCGATTACAGGAAAACGAAAAACGCCCATGTGTGATTCGGCAAGATAAGGTGTTTGTAAAGAGCATTTTTGAATTTATCCACGAATTTTTGGATTCAAACAACCTATTTCCAGACCAAGGCAACTGCGCGCGATGGTTATTTATTGTAACAACAAAAGAGGAACTTCGAAAGAAGTGTATCAAAAGGTACTCTGCTGTCCCTTAAACGCCATGAGTGCAGAGCACTACTATATTATAGACTGTGCTTTTCTACACCTGTTCGATTACAAATAGAAGTGTTTTTGAAGCAAAACTTAACTTTGCACAAGAAGTACTTTCAACGAATGTGGCCATTTTGAAACACTTATTATAAACTCCTCTTTATTTCTAGTACGGCACTCCATAAAAAATAAGCGGTTTTTGTTAGAAAAGTCGACATGCCCAAAACAAAACAAATTTAGTACATTAAACGAATTCAGTACATTCACCCTACCATCGAACTGAGTTACAATGATTGCGTATGTTACAGTGCGTGAGCACTTTTTGTCAATTCGTACAGTCAACGCTTCATCCGCTAAACGAAGTACGCTGGCTGATATTAGGTTGGCACGAAAGTTCTTGCGTAATTCAAACAAAATTCAATGACTTTTTAAAGACTAAACCTAAATTCACAATCTTGTATGCTAAAAATATTAGAAGTCTTACGCTTCATGATGGATGTTTAAGCATAAGATTCCGTGAGCTGGACATCAAGAACGAAGCTCTCGAATATGGCGCTTCAAATTTTGCGATTTTGAGTTTGGTGCCAGAAAATCGCAGAGTGCCGCTAGCTAGCCGAAAAAAATCTGTAGAATTTACTTACACAGCTAAAGTCCATACGTTGTTTTAGCAGGCTATGATCTCGCATGGAAACGCGAAAATAAAAAATTTGTGAAAATTCTCATTTCACAAGACAAATCCCCTTATCGCTCTAACTTTTCCACAGAAACACAGCTTGCAACCAGAAATTAGACATAGTGCCTATCCTATTTAGAGCCTTGTGACGTTTTCTCGATTGTAAAAAAGGGGTTTCGCCGGAAAACTGCGGACATGAGGGGATTTTTTGCGCAACATGACTTATTTCACGAATTTTTTGTTTTTGCTTCACCGTGTAAGATCAAAGCCTTCCAAAGTAACATATGGACTTTTGTTGTGTAAGTAAATTCTACAGATTTCTTTTCGGCTAGCTAGCGGCACTCTGCGATTTTCTGGCACCAAACTCAAAATCGCAATTTGAAGCCCCATATTCGAGAGCTTTGTTCTTGATGTCCAGCTCACGGAATCTTATGTTTAAACATCCATCATGAAGCGCAAGACTTCTAATATTTTTAGCATACAAGATTGTGAATTTAGGTTTAGTCTTTGAAAAGTTATTGAATTTTGTTTGAATTACGCAAGAACTTTCGTGCCAACCTAATATTACTTATCGCCAGTTAGAATTTCAGATCCTAAAGACTCATTACTTACAGAGTCTTTCGCAGGCAAAAAATGTATTGAGTACTGTTCATGTTTGAATCCTCACAGATTAGTGATAAGTAGCAGGGCAGACATTGTGTTGCGTTGAAGTGGAGCAAGTGGCTGCTATCAAAGAGAGGAGGTAGTCATGAGGAGCGATTTCTCTGGCTGTCATCAACTCAAAACTTTAATGCTATGTAAGTCTTCAGAAAGTACCAAAACAAAGTGCATTGGCTTTCTAGCTTTTTAAGGTTACCTGCTGAGTTCGGGGCATTTACTGGAAAATAACCGAGATACATGCAAAATTACTATTAATTACATTTTCAATACTTTCTCGTTATCCGGACTCAATTTCTCAAAAGGCTCTCAAATAATATGTTCTTTGACCTGAGAATAAATTTTCATAATTTTTTTTCCTTGCCACGTGCTACAAATAATTTGGTCCATTTCCACACGTTTTTTTTTCGAAATCATTTACGGTAAATAAAAGAGAATTCGATCACCTTAGGGCTGTTTAACTGTTTTACATACGAGCAAAACAATCATGAACTTATTTCAGAGCATCTTGCTTGCTTTCAGCAATAGTTCAAAAATGTCTTTCTCTTCGAACCCTTTTCGCCATACGAACAGCCAGAAAAGACTATAAATAATAACTTGAAGTCTTGCTGCTTATTTCACCTTTTAAATGACGGAATGTTAGCGCACTTTTATACTCCGAGCAAGTCTAAAGTGTTCATCGGTAATAGTATGTCCCTGTTATTATGATAATGTTCATTTCAAGCTATTTGATCGAAACGAGGTCATAAACTGACTCATATACGGATTGATTACGTAGCTCGCAGTGGCTACCCAGGATTTCTGTTCGGGGGGGGGGGGGACAAAAAAAATTTTCTGATAAGGTGCGTGGCGTCAGCCGCGCACTCCGAAAAATTTTTGGTACAGTCAATTCATTTCATATGATCAAGTGTGTCATTGCACACACAGTCCACCTTTGGCGTTCCCATCCTGGGTTCTGATAGGAAACACCTCTTCAGGGACGTGTTTTCAATGTGTTTATTTATATCTCCTTGCTTTCTAGGTACTAATCACCTCAAATTCGTGTAATGGATAACAATCACCGAGTCTCTTGCGTTTCTGCAATTGCAAATCCAGGATGAGAGCGCCAAAGGTGGACCGTTGTGCAGTGGCACACATGATCATATGAAATGAATCGAGTGCATGCTCCCTAAAATTTTCGTGGGCCCAAAACCCCAAGACGCCCCCGAAAATTCTTTTGCAAGATCAAATAAAATGGAATAATTTTAAATTTATTTTAATCATTTACAAGTATAAACGAGTCACTTGCACATTTTTATAACATGAATAACTTTCAAAAATTTCTCGACCCATTCTCGGGGGGAGGGGGGGTCCCGGCCGATCCCATCGGTACGCCACTGGTGGCTAGGTAGGGCAACACAAACTCTTGATATTTCCTGTTAAACACGTAGATGACATGTCAAATTTTTTGGCACGTGGCAGAAGGTTGACACTCCGTGAAGCTGGGACCAAATATGGTACAAGAATAGAAGCAATATCCTTCATTGAAAAAATGGGTGCGGATAACCGGAAAGTACCACATTTTCATAGATTTTTGACCTTCAACGCGTTTGTTCCGATTTGATTCAAGGAAACGACTAAAAAACCCACAACTATATGGTGTATCTCACTCGAATTTTTTCTAAATACTCTTAAAGCATTTTGAAACAACAAATATGTGCTATTTGATACCAATCCGGCAATAGAAATCGCGCCTCTTGACGTACATTATCAAAGAGTAACCCACGAGCAGGGAGGAAAGCAGAGCTACCCACTCTACATCTAACGATTTGGACACCAGGATAGCACAAAATGGGACGGGCAACGCAGCAGATTGCAAACAGCACTTTTACAAAATTAGAAGCGCTGTTAACGACAAAATACCAACCACAAATTTAAACGAAACTAAGCGAAAAACTACCTGATGGTTCAAAGTACGGAAAAGAATTCTGAAGAGCTGACGAAGATACATATAGTCTGGTGCTTCATCAAAACGAAGCCCACGTGTGTAGTTCAGGTACATAGGAAACTCCGCAGGAAAACCTTTGCATAACATCTCCACAGACGTTGACATTTTCTGAAATTGAGATACTCTCGATACAATTTTGAAAACTGAAAATTTCGACGAGCTGATGAAAAAATATCAGTATGCGACAAAAAAGACTACGACGCTTATCTTAAGAGCATTTGTGAAGTTATACCCTTTCGAGAGCAGCAAATTACAACAACCTACGTTTTCTCAATTTTAGAGAAATTTTAAGGAAAAAAGCAAAACATTGGATATTGCGCCCTTGACTAGCACGCTTTCAACTCCTATGTGCTTGTTTCATTATTCTGATAAGATTATGAAAAAAGTTTTCTATCACTCTGAAGTAGTGGTGCAGCGCTAACATAAGCTGACAGATCCACTATAAAAGTGCTCTAATTCACTGTCAGATACAGGTTAACACTCAGCCTTTATACAACTATACTTCAGCTGTTATGCTCCAACGCGTAGCTGTGTGCAGGCAAACAATTACTAAATTCAGTGTCTTCCTGGCGGGAGACGGTCTTTTCGCACGGACGGTCTCCAGCGTCTCCCTGATTTTGACTTGTCTTAACATGTAATGCACGCCGCAAATCTTTCCTCCCCCTGTTTTGCTCAGGCAAAAGCCGCCGCAGGGTGTGTCGCGCGCGGCGGTGGTCCTGTGTGGAAAGCATTACGGTCGTGCGAAACGTCCTACACCCCTTCCTGGCTGATGTGCCTCAACAACAAAATATTCGAATTATGGAAAGGCACTAAACTCACCCCTCTTTTTAGTATACTCCAAATAGTCTGATCAAAGTGACTTATCATGCTGCTACTAAATAGCGTCACAACGTTTGCATCAGCGCCGAAGTAAGAGAAGTTTTGAAGGTATCACACTTTTGTAGCGTTTCGAATGATGATAAAGGTGATTAGATAATTGTTCGCCAAACTGTTATGCTATGTTGTTACACTACGCTTCTCAGTGAACACTGGCGCACCGCGTTGAGAAATAAAAAATGAGAAAAAAATGAAAAGAGCGACTATTACTGCAATCAATAAACTAGCTATTTTGAAACATGCTAAAAGGACATACATCGAACATAACCATAATTTGTAATCTCAAATTTGAAGGAAGAGCAACAAAATTTTACAACGTGATTATCAACTGTGGGATCTACGTCCCCTTAATGCTTCAAAGAGCTGAATTTACCTTTTCGCTAATTTTTTCATATTTCTGCTTTTTGGTAGCTGCTTTCAAGCCTTGCCAAGGAAGCGTGCCACGATTGAAGTACATCAACACGTAACCGAGGGACTCCATATCATCCCTGTAAATGCAAACGATGTCCTAAGAGATATTGCAGAGATGATGATATACCTTCTGCTTTGCTCTATACCAAGGTGAGCATTGATGGAAGCGTATCGAGCTGTACCCGTCAAGTTTTTGTCCTCTCGATAAGGAATGTGTGTTCTGGTGCGAGAGTCTCGGAATCTGTTATGAAAACAATAAACTATATACATGAACATCAAATCGACATAGCGAATGGAATTCAATGAGCAAGAGAGTTGGCAACAGATTTCCAAAAAATGCCACTGCTTCTACATTACCAGATGAACCTTGACGAACGAACGACGAAATAAGTGTAACGCTGCGCAATACCAGGTTAGATATTACAACCAGGTTTCAAATCAACACTCACTTGACGGAGATTTTTCAACTTCTTGTTCAATGAAGGGGAAACCTAGTGATCGATTGCATAAGAAGTGCTGCTCTTACCAACACTGTTCAACTTTACGTAATCGCCAGGGCTCAGACTGCAACTTCTCTCGCAGATATTAGCCTTACTCCATAGCGCAAATCTGATGTCATTGTCCATTTGAGGAGCAGGTCTTTTGCAGATGGTTAGTTAATTTGCACTTCATATTGCCAGAGCGTGAAGAATATTACAAATCAGTTCGAACAATGAAAAACTTGCTAGGTAACAAAAAAAAGGCTTCATCATGAACAAAGGCGACTGTACTAAGAGGATATTGAAGATGCGATTAGCACTGATAGTTGAAACCCACTTCTTCGCGAGGCCGAAGTCGATGAGGAATAATTTGTTGCAGTGTCGGCCAATTCCCATCAAAAAATTATCAGGTTTGATATCACGATGAATGAAGTTCTTAACGTGCACATATTCGATGCGTCCAATCATCTGATCCGCGAGCATTAAGACAGTCTAAATACGGCAATCAACATAAGAAATTGTGAAAAAATTTCCATGAGTTTTCCAGTTCCTCTACGAGTCGCTAACAGAACATTTGTTCATGAAACTGCGATTTACGGAGAAAAAAAAACAAAAAGAAGGGGAAAAAGGGTTCCAAACATTATATCGCAGAAAACGGACTACCACAGCCAATGAGAGTGCTGAGAATTCACAAAACAACAAAGGCATATAAGACAGTGATGACAAGCAACTGTGATAAACATACACTGAAAGTAAAGACTGATAACGGAAGTTGAATTTTCACCATGAACAGCTGTTTTCAGCAGGCGAAAGATAAGGTTTTTAGAGTTTTAGTATAAGTATTTTGGCATAACGATGAAAAAAAAAACTATTAATGATGTTGCGTATCAGCCTTCTCCACAAACTTTCGTGTAAAAGAATGACAAGCACGAACCTTCATTGTGAATCTTCGCGAGCAGAAATTGAACAGGTCTTCAAGGGAAGGACCAAGCAGATCCATAACCAGCACGTTATACTCACGTTCGGTACCATACCTGAGAACGATTCCGATAATAATCTTCAAATGACATACAATAGGTGGGACCAAAATTTAAACCAAGCAAAAGCTTTTTAGTTACGAACACTCAAAAAGAATATGTAAGTGGGATGAATTTATATCTATAACATCCAACAACATATGAGAAAGCAAACATATTATTCTATGACACAAAAACTCCATTCCGCTACGTTTTTTCGCTTCTTGTTCTTCGCATGTAAATTTAGTACTGTTGTTGCGCATGGAACACCTTTGTGAAGAAAAACTCTAACACATGAAAGCTCCAAAACTAATGCCATTTTCCGGCTCCAACTACTCGAATTTTTGTTTGATTTAAACGATCCTCTCTCACTGCTCTTAACCACATCTGAAGCGCATTTTGGTGACAACGTTTGGGACGAAAATAGGCTCTACAATGTACAATATCACGTTCGTGAAATCATTTGAATTTGAGAACGAGCGCTCGTTGTCGCATTCTGGGCCCTCTATGGCCAGAATATTATACAGAATATTCGTGAAGGTATGGTGGGCTCTCAGATTCATATAGAGGCGGAACACTACACACGGACTTCTTATAAGATGACCTCCACGTCAAAGCACTGCTTTTCGAACTCTCTCGCTTTCGAAAACCGCCACGCTTTGAGCTGGCACGTGACCACTCGTATGCAGTTCTGTGAGCCGATGATAAGTAAAAGCGTACTGCATCGCATATCCAAACCCAGCCTTCCAGTAAGTCGAAACATGAGTTCTTCGTTACAAAAGAACTGCCACGAAAAAACCCAGGGATGCGACAAAACGTTACAATTTAGTCCCGCGTCTCATGAAGTCTGTAGATAAATGTTACTATACATGATCGCTGCCGAATTCGTCCCACACAAAACTGACAGCCAAAAGAAAATCTTGTATGAAGTTTGTTCCTAAATCCTTACTATGTAGTATAGAGCCTTCCAAATCGTCACGACGAATCAAACAAAAGATATCGCTTAGGTGCATAGCTTAGTCTTTAATATCTGAAAGCTGTTATGAGTATGAAACAGTTAGAGTAGACATGAAAGCCAAGAAGATGCGGTTGCCGAAACTGCGTACGCGACGCATGCACCGCCGTCTTCGTCGCAAACGCATGAATCTTAAGGGCCGGGCATACTTCACGCAATTTCAGTCGCGACGCGACTTGGCAAATCGCCAGAAGTCTTCAGATCCAGCACTAGCATTCCGCACATGATAGTGTGTATAACTTACGTGGATTGATAAAATGCCCTATCCTATGTATATTTGAAATGTGCTTACAGTGAGTTATGGACAGTTGGAATATTGCCAAGTCGCGTCGCGACTGAAATCGCGTGAAGTATGCCCGGCCCTTTACGTATGGCTAATTTTGCTATCATAAACAAAAAGTGCGCTGAACTGGCGAATAGCTAGTGCTCTTTTTCACTGCTAACAGATGGAGATATAAAATCTCGACTGAAAGATTTCTGTCCGTTTCTTTTGAAATGGCAGAACTTGAACTTGCCTACAAGTCGATCGTAGTTAACCATAGTTAGTTGACCATTTTGAAACCATAACCTACATCGATACGTATAGAACACACCGCCCACAGAAATAATTGCAAGAAGTCAAAGAGGGCAAAGATCTAATTATAAAAATCTTACGAAAAGCTATTCAAAAGATAGTGAATGATGAATATTCTAATTTATTATTATCAAGTAGATCTGGTTCGATATGTGCGATCACAACAAACCAGATCTCCCTGATAATAACACTTTCGTTAAAAAGCGCGGTTACGTCCTCGACGTAAGCTTCAAGTCGAGTTTCGGAAATCATAGAGTGAAACACTCTTCACTGAGGTACTAAGTAGTACCCTGAGCTTTGTGATTGTTTCTGGTTATCTAAGGTGATTAAATGGTGCGCTCTGCACATAAAATGCAACACAGTCCCTTCGCAGCAATTTCATGCCGGATAGTGGTCTTTGTAGGGAGGAAAAAGGAAAGCAATTATGTGAGTTTAACACGTGCCTAAACGTCAGCGATAGATTTTGGAGTGCATATGCCTACCCAAGAAAAATTAAGAATATGAGTGGAAGCTTCGCAAAGCGCTATATCTTCTAGTGAAAATGGAAGGACATGACCGCGAAATATCAACATCCACATTGAAAGACATCAACGCAAAAAAAACCATGATTTTGATAAAACACAGATTTTTTTGAGTCAAATACATCTCGCCACATTCACAAGTAATTAATTGCTTTACCAAGGTAAAAATTCCTTAAGAGCGGAGACGGAAAACTATATAAAGTCCTGAGTAATTCTACCACGTCAAGTGTTCGATAGAGCATCAGAAAAAACGAGAACGCACATATAAACGCTCATATGCGCAGTAGGGATATTAGAAAAGCTATATACGATACAAGACGTTGGACCAATTCTTACCAACGAATATGAGGGATTCCAACACCACCTTGGAGAATACGATACACTTTCGATTCATAAAGTAGCTGAGGGTGACGAGCCTAAGCAGAAGGATTTAATGGTGGCAGTCATTTAGAAAAGAAACATACCCGGTTACTCTCAAGTTTTATAGCAACCTCCTCTCCATTCGTGACATTAATCGATACATAAATGTCACCAAATGAGCCTGACCCGATCTTCCGAATGAGCTTGTACTTGGTTGCAACTATGAAATCCTTATTTGTGATTACGTTAGCCATCACGCTAGGTGCCTTCGTCTAAGGGCACTACCTAAAAGAAAACATAATTTTCGAGTAAAAAGCTGAAAGCCGTAGCTCCACCGCTGAAAGGCGAATAAGCAACCAGGTTTCCGGAGTTGGTGATGGAAAATGAGTATACTCCACACTTTTACTGTAACCCTTATACAAGAACGATTACAATCACTAATCCAGAAACAACATACCTGCCGGCGCAAAGGTACCAACTCCAAGCAAAAGTGACTCGCACTTTGGATGGAACCAATGCTTAGCAACAGAACGCCCTTAAATTAGCATTTTGTCGAGTAATAAATATAAAAAAAGAAGATACGTGCAATAACAAGACAATGCTGAGGAAGTTTGCAAAAAGTGCAGTAAAGAGTGACAAGTAGTAGAGATGCAAGCAAAAATTCACTGCGAAATCTCGCAAAACGCAGAGGACGTCGTTCTATCGATCGTAGCGCGGTGGATCTCTGACTAAAGGCGAGGCGACCGGGGAGAACACAGCAAAATGAGTTGATGAGAGGTGAGATCAGCGAAAACTATGTACGCACACAGGTTGTAAGAGCAGAATGAGGAGTTGGAGACGTCAGCAGGTGAGGCCACAGATGGCGATCACGTAGATGCGGGCGGCTGCGGCGCGGGCACATCGAGCGGCGGCGGCGCGCCAAAATCAAACTGCGTTGCTGGATTTCGGTTGGAGCTTTGCTGCCGCCTGCGTGCGCGAGAAGTTCCGCTTGAACACGTTATTTCGACTGATATAGCTTTGCAAAGTCGTTCTCATTTATGAATTTCGCACTGAGTGTACCGTCTGCGTCCCAGAGAGGTTCCCATGTGAACCAGCGTGCATACGTGGTGCGACGCTGCCTTTCGCTCCTTTTGACACGTTTCGCCTGAGATTTCAACGGAAGTGCCCGAGATTAACACGTTCAAAGTGCGAAAGGCAGCGAGATGACGTGGTACCTATGGGAACCTCTCTGGGGCGCAGACGATACATGAAGTGACAGTAAATCCCGTTGCAATCCCATAGCCATAGAGAGGGAGATCTTGCCCTGTTTGTGTCATCTGTTCCCAAATCAGAGTTGTATAGGTTAACCCACACGTTGTCTGACAGTTGCAAACTTGTTCCACCTTTAGTTCCAAGAAGTACTATCTATCATTCATTCTTCGACTAGGAGACGCGAGACCGCATTGCACACATTGTCTAAACAAGCCCAATCATGTACTTAGCAGGTTTATACTTGTTATTTAGCTCCTCCAGGATTATCTTTTCTTTGGAAACAGGGAAGAACAAACTCAAACTTGTTAAGACAATGTCTGCAAAGCGTCTCGCGTCTCCTAGTCGTAGAATAGATGATAAGTCATCCAAAGTAAGGCAAAGCACAAGTTCTAACTTGTTAAACACATTTGTACGCCATTCCCGATTCCTTTCTCGCAGTCAGAATGAATAACAGCTGGACCAAACAGGTTGTGCTTGATAAAGCAAGCAGCATTGCCTCGGCCATCAATGGCCAATTGTTTTGACGTATACGTCGGGCAGAGTTCAAGCGATTTCTCCTCGCGATTCCGCGACAAAACAACTGTAACAACCATTGCATGTTGAACTTCTTGCATTTCGGTAGTGATAGTTTTCTAACACGACTAATCGTGACTAACTCACAACCGAGATACAAGAGGATCGGCAGGCAATGATTTCGTAACATGTCTTGTCGCCATCGCGACGATGAAATCGTGTGAACTTACAGGCAGCGTCCAGGCAGATCTGGACCTATGGGGCTTTTACGTGGAAAGTACTTTTGGGGCCCTAACTAAGGCATTGCCCAAGCGGCAGCTCATGTAGTGCTGTAACGGCTGAGATATTCCCCTCGAAACTGGACCCCGCGACCGTGTTTCGCATGCATTCATGGCGCAAAGCGTGGATCCTGGCGCGAAACTGCCATGAATCCATGCGAATACGTTCGCAGGGGCCAGTTTCGAGGGGAATATCTCAGCCATTAGAGCACTACCTGAGCTGCCGTTTGGGCAGTGCCTTAGTTATGGCCCCAAAAGTACTTTACACGTAAAAGCCCCATAGGTCCAAATCTGCCTGGACGCTGCCTTTATGTTCAAGGCCCATCGCTGTCAAAGTGGGCGTCGCGGCTTTGTCGTTGCAGGACCTCAGAGCTCAGAACCCTTGTTGCCTTCAAGGTGCTTTGGGGTAATAGGATGGTTAGGGATGGTTATTTTCGGTGATATGGATAGTCGGGCATCTAATCGGTTGTAAAGTACAGTGGGGCGTTTTGGCGCTCATTCTACATTATCTGCAAAAAATCCCAAATCTTACTTTTTATCCGGCAGCTGAAGGCGACTGTTTTCTTTCACACATTGATCTCATCTCCTGAGGTTAAGGTCGGTACACGGTTAGGGCGCCATCTATTCCTACCGGGCTGGCTGCGCGGGCGGTTCGCGCGCGGTACCCATATACATGGGGCGCGCAATCCCTCCCATGATTGCGACGTTAGGTAGACTAGCCTCTTAACCCAAACGTGCTGAGGAGGATCTTCACTCCATTAATGAGATGCCAGCTAAAAAGAACAACGTTGATAAAGGCATTAGCTTGTCTGCCATAATGTTCGCCCATGAACTATTCCTATACATCATTTTCCAAGGATTTCCTTGCCCTTGCTAAGAGGTTATTAACTAGTTGCATATTTCATTCGTTGACTTTGAGTTTCTTGATCACAAAACAAACCTTTCCAAAGTAGTGGACGTAAGCTCACTTTTGCTAATCGGGTCAGACCATTACAATTGTGTACCGAATTGAATCAAAAAATAAGTAATGAGATTGTTCGCTTATGTTCCACAGTCAGAATTCCTAGTGAATCTAATATCTGATGCTCACTTGTTCACTGAAATTTGAAGAGTGCGTAAGGTTTTGCAAATCACGGAATGTAGTCAGTTACAGTAGTTTTCGAATATACACTACATAGTATAACGGTTTCATAAGTGATTCCAACCAAGTAGAGGTAGGATTTTTGAAGCTAATTGTTCATCAAGCAATACTTTGCTTTTACGAACGCTTCTGACGTGACGCTCATGAATCGACCACGGATGCATACATACATTAGAGAATACTTATGTGCGAAGAACACACGAACGCAGAATCCGTGGGGCCATTCCTTGTCTCATCCAAAGTGTCGGCTGAGCTGTATATTTTCTAGCAGCCATGATCTTCTTATTGGTTAGCATTAGTACTCTAACTGCGAAAACACAGCTATATAAGTCCAAAGGAACAAAGGATTCAGCTAAAAAGCTACTCGAAGCTGAGTTTGCTGAGTAATGCTGGAGAAGTGGAATTCCAAAACGTTGATGTCGAAATGTAGGCGACGCAAGCGTTCTCGTATACCTTCTGACCTCCTTACTTATCTAATCCAGCATAATGGGATTATGTTAGTTTGTTAAGTCTTGATGCATACTCTTACATATAGGATCACCGGCACACAACATGTTGACGCTTGCATATGCGGATTACGGGAAACAAATAGATTCGCATATTAGGAAGAAGCCACGAACACACTTAAAACCTTTTCCCTTTTCATATGATAAAGCAATAAGTTCCAAATAACGAATAGGCGCACTTAGGAGTTGCAGGGTATCCTCGGCTGCGCTAGTCAAAGAAGCAATACAAAATGAGGTAGCGGTTACTGAAGTAGAAACCAATGTTTTCATTAACATCGCCTTGCGCAGCCTTCGTTATCTTGGGTTAGGTGCAAAAATCTTTGTTTGCACATTTGAACCGATGAAAGGCGGTACATGGCAATGTCGCATCCATATAATGCGCGCCACAACGCTATTCACGGCTGCCGCGCGCGAACCGCCCGCGCAGCCAGCCCGGTAGGAATAGATGGCGCCCACGGTTAGTGCCGCTCGTCAGGCGGTACGCCCGCGGGCGGCCGCTTTGCCGCGCACGTCGCGTCCAAATCTTGGGACCCATAGAGCTTCCCACTATCAGAGATCCCGGTGGCAAAATCACGGGGGGGGGTGGAGGCAAATATATGACTTGCCATAATAACATAGCACCTGGGATGCTGCTGTTGTATTGGATGAAGTGTGTTGCGGCGTCGCTTCGCGAAAAATTCGCGCCGATCGTACCTCCTGACCGTTCTACCACGGTTATGGGACAAAGTCCCAAATTTGCTCAAATTTAGCATGCTGAGTACGTGATATCGTGTGCCGACTTTGTCGGCACCTCCTTGCAACTTATCAGTTCTTCTAAGCACGGTTAAGGTCATGCCATAAGCATGACCTGCTGCGATACGAGTATATTATTGCCCAAACGTTTGTGATGCTACTTTACCACGCCTTCAATCACGAGCATTCTACCATTGCGCCCATGCGGGCATGTTGATTGACTCAATAAAGCTGCTGAACTACCTTGTCTACCAGCAGCTACACTGCTCCACCAAAGGCGCTATTTCCGCCTAAGGCACTGAAAGCCACGGAGCCACCACATATCGCTTGCGAGCTTTTTTTCCTCTAAACATGATTGTTAGGTGAACTGGAGGACAAGGTGCATCAGAAGTTCGGACGCCGGATATGTTTCTTGCAGAAACTGACGCAGAACCAATCCCGGGTGTTATCACCTATATGTCCTGTTAATCTATGGAGCCATTGGAAACAAAGCTTCTGAGGAACTTATGTGCAGACGGACTTACTACTTACAAAGTTTTGATGATTTTACAAAACCGTGATCTAAAATCCACCATCCGTTCGCAAGTAGGGTGGGGAGGGGGGGGGGCGATAAATAGGCACATAAGGGTTACTGCATGACGAACGCGCAAAAGCAGTATAAGTTGAGCGGTGGTAACGCCATGCTTGCGTATCATCAACGTTGTAAATGCTGCGCCTCATGCGCTCTGCGGCTAATAAAGCCGCGATCGCGCCCGAAGATATTGCACCTTCGTCATGCAGCAACCTATAATTCCGCGCGCGGTTAAACACACATTTGAAGCTGACTGTAAGATTAGGTTGATGCAAAAGTACTTGCGCAATCTAAAATCTGAAAGAAAATCAATAAATTGGAAACTCGTGAAACTATTCATGGTTCCAATGCAAAAAAAACGAAGAAGATTTGCGCTTCAAACAGGTCATCTAGATGAAACTCTTTGCTCAACCCTGGAGAAGCAAGCTGCTGAACGGCGCTTCAAACTTCGTGATTTTGAGTTTAATCGCCAGAAATATAGAATGCTGCTAGCCAGCTCCAAAAAATCTGTAAAATTTCTTACATCGCAGTAGCTGTACACGTTATGGCAGACTTTGATCTCGCAATCTCTCAAAATGCAAAACAAAAAATTCCCGAAAAATGTCGTTTGCAGACAAGAAAAGTTCCCTCAAACACCGCATTGTCTTCCGAAAAAAAAAAGAGCTCGAGACCAGAAAACCTACCTATAATTTACTAAAGTATTGTGCTGTTTTTTGGGTGCTAAACGTAATTTTGTTGAAAGCGCAAAAAAATCAGGGATTTTCAAGGAAAATGGTGTTTATCACAAATTTTTTATTTTTGCATTTTCACACGAGAATGATTGCCACAGTGATGTACAAATTGCTGCTGTGTAAGAAGATTTATTAAGATTTGGGATTAGCTAGCGACTCTGGCGCCTTTTTACGATCGAACATAAAATCAAGAAATTTGAAGCCCGTTTTTGAAAGCATGTTTTTCAAGATTAATTAGCGAGGAGCCTGAATGTCGTGTCCCTTTTCTATCTTTCAAACAGAACCGAGTTTATTGGTTTTCTAAAAGTTAGTTGCATCAATCGAAAAAATGAGAGGAGAGATGAGATTTATGTTTGTAGGTTAAACAAATCACGAATGTCAATCAGTTATTTTCTAGTCTTATATTATCTAGTCTTATGGGAGGCGCAAAGGGGATTTGTGTAGTAGAAATTGGTAGCTGTGACAGTATTAGGCTGCATAAGTTCTCTCTGTTTGCAAATTTCATATTCAAATATCGCAACTTTTTCGAAATCGAGTTTTTGATGAAATTATTTTTTCTGGAGAAGTAAGCTTTTGGCTATCACATGGATTAT